TAATGGCAGGAGCATTTGAGTTATTTATTCACCTATCGATTCCCCCCTTTCTAATGCGCGCTGCTCATTCTCTCAATACAGGTATGTATCATGATGCAATATAAAATACATTTGGAATTGTCATTATAGTTTTACTGGAGTTAGTAATGTTGATTTTGAGAGTACGATAGGAATTTTGAGAGTTCGTAAGATTTGAATGTGCAGAGGGGATTGTAACTGGATAGAGTAATAATTGTTAAATCGAAATAGCTGATAAGGTAAGTTTGATGTGAGTGAGTTTGAGAGTGGGTAAGTGAGTGAGTAATTGATAAAGTGATTGAATAATATTTATATTTGGTTTCAGATTAATTATATCCTTCTCATTTCAGGTACACTTTCTCGGCGAACCACCAACTTTTTTCGTCCTGTCAGTTTCAAATCGCTCTTTGATTGACTACAATCTATAATATCTCCAGTCTTCTCTCACAATATATCACCAATTTGATTAATTCACAAAAATACGGTGAAATCATTCTCACAATATATCATCATATACAGATTGTATGCAGCCAACTATCTAAACAAGAACTGATTCGTGTTCAACAAACAATCGAATGCATATTAATAAACATCGTAGAAAACCATGCAATCAGTTAGTATACCTGTCATGTACAACCAATCCTATGTCAACCCTATTAAATTAGATTAGTTCAGATCAGTCTTCAGTTGCGATTATTACGGTTACCAGTACATCGTTATCGTTATTGTATTCACCCAGTTATCAAGATCTAATAAACACTAGGAGATGAACAAATACATGTCTCCTGACAATAAGACAAACAATATAGAAGATTGTTTACGCTGTACAGTCAGTCAACAGTGCACCAATCGGCTTACAGTGTGTCAGTGTTAACAGTAGCAGTGGGAGTAGTAGGAGTAGGTGACCAGCTCACTTGGATTACTATCTACTGGTGAATAACGAGCAACGAATAGAGAAATAATACAAAGGAGTAGAAGAAGAAGATTTGAAGGTCAACAATGTCAATTCGGTAGCCGATCTCATTAAATATAATGGTACTGTTATTATAACTTTGTCTATTACGTCACATTTACAATGAAAATAACAATGACAATAAGCAATTCATTTGAAATTGAACAAAACAATACTAACAAACGACTATCTCTCTCATAGACAACTTCTTGTTCACTATTAGACAATTAGGAAATTGTTTCGAAGGTCAATGCTATGCTCAGTTGCCTTTCATTTACATAATTTATGATAAGAACAAACCAATAGTCAAACAGGTAATACAAAAATAACCAAATCAAATAAACACAGAAACAGACTTATACTAAATAAATTATACATACATATGTCATTTGAATACAACTATACATACATTTCACTCACTCACATTAATCCTATTTTATCATCTATTTAAATTTGCCTAATATGTTGTTGTTTGGTTCTTTGAGTTGGATCTTTTGGTTGTGCAGCTTTCATTGTTCTCTGAACAACATCATCAGCACCAACTTCACATAGAAGTGAAGTATTTGAATTTCTCCAAGTTTGACCCATAACTTTTTCAGTTAATCTCGATTTTCAGTGGTTGCTGTTGACCTTAAACCTCTCGTTGATTGAACTTTTGTATTGATTGTATCCCCCTTTTGATCTGTGTTTTGATCCTATATCGCCTATGATTTTTGTGGTGAGGTTATATATTGGGTCATTGTCGATGTGTTTTGTTGATTAATGAATTGACCTGAGTGCCAAATTTCTGAAAATTCTCTTTTGTAAATCTGTTCGTTCTCAAGTCCCCTAGCCTCAAGTCACTCATATTTTAGCCACTTACTACTCAAGTATCCCAACATTAAACACAACACATTGTGTCAACGAAAATGTAATACACAAACCTGCTTGCACATTCAAATATTAGGCACATTGCCAAAATCCTGTGTCCTTTCCCTATCAACATTATTTCCGACAATAATACTACTATTATCGTTCCAAATTTATTGTATATTGGATCATGATCGTTGCCAATAGCAACAAAATCAACAGCTACACATTAAAATAAGAGACAATGATAAATCAGAAAATGACTCAAGTGATCCTGCCATTGTGTTGTAGCACTAGCGCATCCATGACCAATTCCACCAGCCACTCAGACACTTTCACCAGCACCAGTGTATGTATAGATTATACGCTTGTCGTCACCTAGCCTGTTCTTGTACAACTGTCCTGAATTTCATGCTTAACGCTAGTTTATCATTCTTATGTGTACCGTTGTGATTCTTTTGTTTTGTTCCTGGGATGTTGTTGTCTGCACATCCCCCAACCTGAAAACTGCCTACAGTGATCTTCACTTCCTTATTAAAGTGGAGCGTTCCTCCATATTTTAATTTATGAGAGTAGTGTGGTGTGATCGGTAGTGAAAATGCATTTTCTATTGATCCGTATATTTTCCACTAAACACGATGGTCTAGTTGCTCGTGTGGCTTCTTTTTTAATACACTTAGGAGTTTAAGTAGAATCACTGCCCTCGCACTATAAATAAATGCACTACCCTAGACAACTTTCGATATCTTTGTAATGTATTTTGCCAATATAAGATAATACTTTAAATAAGTGTTTACTTTTGTATAATATTGTACCACTTTATTAATCAGGTGTAATAGATGTTAGTTTAACAATTTACTTATTCACGTATTTTCAAAATACCAAGTAATCACTAAATAAAGTCAATAGCGAGCGTAGGTTATTTCCCGAAATGTCTTCATTTTGACATGACTCTAATTTTCTTCCGTTCAGGTTGGTGACAAAAGTCTAAGTACTTAGCTAAAGATATACAAAGTTGATAGATTTTTTATCGAAGTTGAAGTTTATGGGTTTGTATTTGCTTTGTAATGAATTCATCTTGAGTTCATGATTTTTCTGGCGAACTTGCAACAAGGAAGATCTCATAGATTTAGTTGGCAACATTTGAAGTAGTTGCCAAAATTACGTTCATCAACTGTTCTTCTGTGGTAGTGTTATCTACCGTGAAACTTGTTTGTAGTCGATAGTTATCGGTAGACATCAACTAAGTTAATTTTCGCTAATTAACTACTACCATTATCGTTATAATTGAGTGGTGTGGTAAAAGTTATGCTCTCAAAATGATAATAAAGTCGGTGAAAATTATGGCTAATTCGTTCGAATTTCTAGTTATAAAAATCGGGACTAGCCACGCTCGAGTGGGATGCAAGGATGATAACACTTAGACGATATTGTTATGACTCGATAATAACTTTTGGATGGGAAGTACAGGAGACTTTTCTTTTCAGATGAAACGTTTTAATAAAAGTATTCTGCAGGTTACGAAAATTGGATGCAATATAAGTGCGATAACCAGGAGCTTTAAGGATACCACTCATATGTTCCAAAATGTTTATGAACAAATTCCATAGATAAGATGGAGCACTAGCTTGAGATATTATCACGCGAAACTGATAAATTCAATTCAAATGTTTGATCCCTGAACAATTATGTTTCTGGCTTAATAACATTTTTATAAAACTGCTATTAAGTTTATGTTCTAAATTCGAGCAATACATGCAGTGCTTACCTGTGTCAATAAACCTAACAGATTATAGGGTATATTATTAGGCATGTCTATTGATAATAATAATTGTTATTTTTATTATTATGATTATTATTATAACAACTTTATTAATAATAATGATAATATTTATAATGACTTCATTCAATTTGATATATTTAATACAACACGGAAATCTCAGCACTGAATGTTTCATCAAGTTTTCTTTACGAAACAATTAATGATTGGTAGTTGGAAGTTAGCGGTTCAGGAGTCGAAATCATGTTAACGTTCATTCTTTTCTCAGCAGCCAACGCGATGTCTGGTATTGTGATTTTTTCAGCACCTAGAGAAGCGATTGCTCATAAACTTTTATAAACTCGCCTGAATAGATTATGCGATCAATAGATATAATTGACATAATGAAGCAAACAGATGGAGACAACTTGTTGAAATGTTCTGATGTTAGGGAACCAGTAGTCCAAGTATTCAAACAGTCCACCAAAGATTAGAAGTTAGGTTTCTAGGCACAAAGTAGTGTTGTTTTGGCTGCTGATAGTGACTTATAGTATTGGTAATGGGGACCAGTATTTGGAGGTTTTCTTAGGTTATCACCTGTTTTTATTCAGAAATCCTCTCACAGCTGTTCTGGGTATGATACCGTTAGTGGTGATCGAGTCGTGATTGACTATGATCCCCACTTAATACTAATTAATAGCCCGTCATTATAAGTGATAATTAGGTCCAGGGTCAAGAATATATTTGAACAAGAAAGTGTGTGAAATAAAGAACAGCATGTAGCAAAGGATGGCAGCAACACAAACAGAAAGTTGCGCGTATGAAGTTATTTTAGTACAGTTAAACAAAAGGAGTACAATGAAGCAATTATTGTTACAATTGTCTACAATAATAAATGTTTCTTTTTCACCATTTGCGTTCTCTTCGTAGAAGCATTCCACTACAGCAAACCCCCTAGAATGGGTTTACACTTCGTTAGAGGGGGCTGGTCGGCCGACGTGCGATTGTAGGGCGAAAAGGTTGGCGAACAGGAGGCGACCAATGAACATCGAGTTGTCATCAACAGTCCCTTACGAGGAACTGTACCAGCTCTAAGGTGACAGGATTGCTGCTCGAGTTGGCGTGCCACACCAGCGTGTCTCGTATCCAGAATCTAAAGATTGCGTTTGTAGGTGTTCGGATCAGAAAAACGACGGAACCAGATTGAGCGCCGTAGCCAGAAATGACCAGAACGACCGAGTTCGAAACCATACGTATGCCAGATACATTAGGGACCAAAACATCTGCTGAGTGCATTGACAAGATCGTGGGTAATCAGGCCATCTTTCGCCAAGATTAACTGAAGTCGACTTTACCAACCGGAAGATGGTCGTAGATGTGGGCTCAGGATGAAAAAATCAGAGAAAAAGAGTATGAAATCCTATGCCGTATCCGTTGTTGATTGGATGGTTAGTCGCGAAAGCGTACAGGTAAGCGTACGCGGTGACCGGAACGCGAGACTGTAGCCTCGTGCGTATCTTGAGAGACTGCGATCTCATTCGAAAGCAAGGGCGGCGTGGTCTGCTGATCTGGACGTGAGACCGTAGTCTCATCTGTAGATAGTGCAGATGACGTGTGCTGTTGACTGGGACGTGAGAATGAGTTCTTTGGTTTATTTAGCGTGGGATCAGAAGGAAAATTAAGGATCCTGCCAGTGAGTTGGACAAATCCAGCATTAAATCTCGATATACCAGGTAGGGCACTGTCACTGACGTGTGCAGGTATAAGACGATCAATTCTGACTGTGCCCATCAACCTTGAGGGTCTTTTAGTGACGAAAGATCACATGAAAAGATACTTCGTAAGGTTGTTGTGAAGGTTCGCGTAGCGAATCTGTTCGTAAGAAGACATGCGGACAGATAAATAACTCTCGAAGGAGAGTGACCTGTCGATGTTCACACTGGAGGCAGTGATCGCATCTACGCAGATAGTCGGTGGGCGTTATCTGATATACATCATGTTTTTGCGAACCGAATGAAGAAAGAAGGCATAAGGCTGTGAGAAAGACGAAGTATTACATCTAGCAAGTAAACTGTCAAACTCACGCTTAAGAAAAATTAATTTGTCTAGCGCCAGTCGACGAGGTTTGGCCATGACTTAGGGTCTGCAGGTGACAAAGTGGCTTACTTACTTACTTACTTACTTTCGCCTGTTACCCCCAAAGGAGCATAGGCCGCTCACCAGTTTTCTCCAACCAACTCTGTCCTGCCCATCCCTTTCCAGTTCTGTCCAATTTTTGTCGATTCTCCTCATGTCTTTCTCCATTTCTCGGCGTAATGTGTTCCTTGGCCTTCCTCTTTTCCTTTTGCCTTGAGGGTTCCATGTGAGAGCTTGTCTTGTGACACAGTTCGGTGCTTCTCGCAGTGTGTGCCCTATCCACTTCCACCGCTTCTTCCTGATTTCCTTCTCCACCGGAATCTGGTTTGTGGCTTACCATATAATTAATCACCGGTTGAATCTCCTCGATTTAGTTTCTTTGGGAAATTTATCAAACATAACACGAGATAAGTAATCATACAAAAAGAAATACATTGGTTATTCGCTACATATCTGTTGGAAGGTTATAACCCTCGGATTTAATATTCGACGATTATGTCATTTTCTCGTTAAACTGATAGTCATAAACTAACTCAGTTTTCTTCATACCAAACTCCGTTTCAGTTTAAAACCGCTTTCAGTTCGCATAATGGAATAATACACTAGTTTGGTAGTCATCAACTTTACACCTAGAACATAAGAGAACAATTTCTTTGTTTATGCATTAGTGTAATATCCTCACCAACTACATTCAGTTTTCCGATCAGTTTATTTGCATTTTTTAAGTTCTCTGTTCATCATGCTTAACTAGCTAGTAGCTCTCATACTTCCCGTTTATCCCCATGCATCAAGGAATCATCTAATTTTGATTGTATGGTAACCAATTCGCTAGATGGTTCTCCTGAACGCTTATTATTATCCATCCTAGACAGCAGCAACGTGTGCAGTTTAGGCTTTTCTTATGTGGCCTCTGCTCCATTTATCCACCCTTCCATGCCTCCTGGTCCAACAACGCCAGTAATTGGCATGCCTCTTATAACATGTTGTAATTTGAGAATAAATTATTACCATTATTCACTTAAATTTTTGTATTTTCTTAAAATAATTTGATGAATTGCGTTATTAGATAATTTTATCTCAACCATTGGCAATTGTTTACCCTTGAACAGGTATGCACAAATTAGTTGTATACGGGTCTTTCTGTACTCATTGCTCATTTCATGTAATTTTTTCTTAAATATGCTCATAATTTTGACTTGTTACCAGCTAGAAGGTGTGATTTAATAAAAATATCTTCAAAGTATTCTTGTTTAACGTAGATTCTTTTCACACCTCTGCTACTTAAATGAAATAAAATTTATTATCTCATCATCAGTAATTCTCTTATGTTTGAAAATTGGGTGCATCATTCTACTGGCGTTGGAGGATTTTAAGTTAAAACTTTGAAAATCGAGACCAAATCGCTTTCGTCTGAAGTTCTCGTACTCCCACCAGATAGTTAGTTGCCAGAATTCCATAAAGAAACATGCTATATCAACTTATTCTGTTCATATATACAAAGATAAATAATGGAAATGGAAAAATGGAAAACAATCTTCAAGGAACACCACGGCCAATCTGCTATCCATAATGACTATAATGCCCAAAAGTTTTTTAAACACTTCCAGGAATCCGTGAATCCAGTCACTCAAACAGTCAGTATTATTGGTTGCCTCAAAAAATTACCCTAAGCGCTTCTGTTTGTGGAGACTACGTAAATGGGCTCTACTGACCCACTCCTATCTCGGCGCAGAAACTACCTTGAGAATAGGTTCAGCACACCAGCTTAAACACCTGTAGTTTCACAGGGGACCATCCTAGGTCCACTACTCATGCTGATATTCATTAGTGATCTGTTAGAAAAAAATTAGTCCAGAGGCACAAATCTACGCAAGCGATAAAAAATCTGGGAGCGGAGAGGATTAAACTGAGCTTTCAATTATTTTACATCTATTGAGGAATAGGCAGTGGAAAACGGGTTAGAACTTGTGGTGAGCGTGTCGAAATACCAGATTGACTATGTTCACCACTAAATGTTCCATATGGTACCGTCATTCATAGCAAAACAAAATAAATCCATGGTTGAGTATTTTATTGAAGGAGAACGTCGGTATTACATGGGGAGCAGGGCATTTAGAAAAATGGCAGCAACGCGAAGAGAACGTTGCGCGCAAGAAGTCGTAGAAGTGTTTTTGGTACATTTAATCAAAACGAGTACAATAATGTTTATTTTTCATAAATCGTATTTTCTTCGTAGAAGCGTACCACTACAAAATAAACCAGCAAGAATGCCACGTTAAGAACATTCTACCTCACGCGACACAAACGACTTACTCTCTCAATGGAATTCCGATCCCTAATGTTTCTTCAGTGCGCGATCTCAGTTTAATACCTACTGAAAGTTCTAACACCATTTCGAACTACATAGAGAATGCAGACAAGGCCAAAATAACTCTTCACTTTATACGAAGACAACTTGGAGCTATCAACGTTGTTTAAGGCATGATCTCTCACATCTTGAGGTTCACAACGTCGTCGCACCCCCTTTCCTCAAAAGAAACATAAATCTCTTCGATCGAGTGCAGAGACGAACAGCAAAATGTGATACGGTTGGAGAATAATACCTATGAATATAAACTCCAGCACTTCGGATTGGTCTCCGATTTAAGAGAGAATCAGAGGTGATATAATAATGGCGTACAACATATTAAGGATGCCAATTCATCCCAAAGTGAGTATCTCAACGATGCCTCACCACCACTCCCCTCGAGGTAATCCTCAAAAAATTCCTCATTAAGGAGTGAACACTCAGATTCATGCTCTTTTATTCTTATCAATAGTAGTTGCAATCTGGAATGCTGTCCCAGCCGTGAAGAGCCTCAATAAAAGGCTTGATAAACACCTACTCTCATACGGATTATCATCTCCCTCTTGGATCTGCCGTGCTTGATTAATGTCTTAAGACCCGCTTATTGTTAACAATGCCTTCTCACATCACCCAATAATCCTGTCTAGCTTATTATCTATGTTTCCTTTTGCTCGCTTACATTTCATTTCTCTCACACAATCTTCACTAGCGACTGACAGACTAAATTATCCATTTACTTACTTAGTTCTGGAATCTTCTTGTTAATATCATCATAATTTTCTCCTTACAATTCTCCGCACTGGAAATAACTAATATCAGGCCAGACAACTTGATAACTGCTGGTATACAGAAACCCTACTGCCCTGAAACAAATGTATTCATTCAAATCACGAAATACAAACTCACAAACGTCTGCCAACTGACGAGAATTAGTGCAGTCGAGTGACTAGACCCCTATCCATTATACACTACCGAATACCCGAAAAAATACAGTAAGAACAATAATCGAGTGCGAATTAATCAATAAGTTTGTACTGAGTCGTGAAAATGTATTGGACTAGAAATTGTATGTTCAATAATACAGAGGTTTTGTTTCGCGGGTCAATAGGAGGATACGGCACTTAGTGCTAGTATGGTTCCTCCCGTGTTATCTTAATCTTCACAGAGTAAGTATTCTTAATTTCCAGTCAGAAGTGTGTTTGTTAAGCATTTTTATCCTGTGATGGTTTTAGTGTTGTATCTGTCAGGCTTTTAAACAATATGCGTAAGATATCTACAACTTCATTGATAATAATTGAGTTTAATAGCCCTGCACTGGTAGATGGTCGTGAATTTACCGCAATAGTTCTAAATTTTAGCCTCACTCTATTCACACTGTAGTTTCAGTATATTTTACTTTACGTCGTAACCGATAATCTCTTGTGAATGCATTTCATTTGCACCATGCAGTCCCGCGAAACTTAAAACGATGATAATAAGGCAAAAATTCTGACTCATTTGAAGGAAAGATGCGCTAAAACATCTTTTTTACTGTAGCGGAATAGCAGAACTTCTATAGCCCTAGTTAGGTCTCGGGATCCGCACAAGTAGTTTACATTTCTCCCGAATTTATGACATACGATTTGCTTTTTGCCAAAACTTACGTTTTATAGGCGACTCTGCTTTCAATTCCACTGAATAAGTAATCGCGAAAATATGACGCCCTTATTTCTAAAGGTCATCTTAACACTGCCGGATTTTTAAGTGTCATTCGTGTCAAAGGACGTATATAGAAAAATTATCTTCGCTGTCTACAAGAAAGCGACCTTAGGGTGCCAGTAACCCGTTCGCATTGTAAGTTGTAAGTAAGGTTATCATAGTGGTAAATGCTCTGTCTACGAAAATATCTCTTTAGGCAAAATAATAAACCAAAATTTTTACACATGGGTAAGTCAGTATGAGCCAGATACGAGCAATCCTTCAAAGACGTCAATAATTGAGTAGAAATAACCTACGAATATTCTCAACTCTTACCGGCCATGTTTGACGTCAGGTAGTCTAGATCTACCAACATGACTCGGTCCACTTGTCAGTGACTTAATTGATTTGTGCCGTGTCTTGGTTTGGCCGCGCCTCGGTTTCTTGCAATCTACACCGCAAACTTTAGCTCGACGAGGCAGTCGGTGGTTGGGTATACGTAACGCATGTCCCATCCACCTCAACTGATGAAGTTTTTGTACTTCAAGTGATTTATCCCTACTTCGTACCATTTTCCTAACTCCACAACCGGTTACTCGAATGTACCAGATACACGAGCAAAGCTTCAAGACAGCAACTCACTGCACAGTACACTCGTCAGTCGGTTAGCGAACGGATATCTCGCCTTCGCCATAAGTGACCTAATAAACGCTAATCGGGCCTTCTGTATCCGTGCTGAGATTTCGTCAGTCATCAGGAGACCGGCACTGAAGAGACTCTCAAGAAAAATAAGCTGTCAACACCCCCAAATGATTCACTCTATATCAATTGTTTGGGTACGGGCTCTAGCTAATCCCTAACATTTTGCATTTGGAGGCGAAAATTGCATCCCGAAAATGCTTACATTGTTGCTTGTCAGCCTCTTCACTAAAGAAAACTGTCATCGACATGTTCTCAGTCGACAAGTGAATCTCCCGGCAAAAGTTCAACTCCTGAAAAGTGCGATGAGGAAAGTGTCGTCTCTGAAAGCATATATGTGGCAAAGTTCAATAAGAATGGGGAGAGTGGACATCCCTGACAGACACCACTTGAAGTAATGAATTCCGGTGACAGTTCGCCATGAGCTCACACTCGACCAGTGGTGTTCGAGTAGAGAGCTTTTATTAGGTTAGTGTATTTCTCTGGTACACCTTTCAATGACAGACACTACTACAGAACCTCACGATCAAGAGTCAAATACCGCTTTTAGGTCCTGAAAGATAACTATTGTAGGACGCCTAAATATGTGTCTGTGTTCCGAGACCTGTCTTAGCGTGAAGATGTGGTCTATACAGCCGCGTCCGGGTCCGAAACCAGCTTGGTTTTGTCTAGTCTGCTCCTCACGAGCTCTACCTAGGCGTCTAGGATAATCGAGTCTAACAGCTTAGAAACTATATTAGTTAGACTTATTCCCCTTTGATTGTCACAAGAAGACTTTTGTCCTGTTTTATAAATTGGGACAATCAGGGATTGAGACCAGTCGGATAGGATTACGTCCAGTTTCCAAATTCTAGCAAAGATCTCAGTCAATCTAGCTGTTAAAACTGGACTATCATCCTTAAAGATCTCGGGCGTAAATCCATTAGGGCCTGTTGACAACAGCTGCTACCTTGCGTTGGTGGTCGGGCTTGCCTATCGTGATTACCCAACCGAGTATTTATTATCTCGAACACCTGCTCCTTCAGGACCCACCATACCAAGTAGGTCGATTGGAGGACAGTAACACTAGAAGCAGCTACTCAAGGTCTGAGGGCGAAGTCGTACTGCTTACTGCGGAGGTGTGACAGCAGTAAGGTGTTTCCCTTAGACAACCAGCATCTGCAGCGATGCTGCCTTCTCACAAGGAAGGAAGGGGTTGGAAATATTCGGTCCTACAAATGTCACACATCACCTTACCTCCCGGATTTCCGTCTCCGGTGATAAGGGCTTCCCACTAAGGGCTTTTGAGAGCGGAGCTAATACTCGAAAAACCTTTCATAAAAAGGCCGTGCGTGACCGGCCTCAAGCAGTTGTCCCGTGGACTCTGCGGTCACGCTGCCAGGTCCTTAAGGCCAACGTTAATATACCTTCCTTTTCAGGTTCCTCAAGAAACACCCACGGTGTGAGCAGCCAGGAAGTAACATCCGCCTTCATACCCGTAAAAGCGCACGAGACCAAATTGGTCAAAATCAAATCTTTTCTACACTTCTTAATAACTCTCTTATCTCCTCGACCAGCTCTTCTTTCGATTGTTTATCACCTCCCACCACTAAAGCAAACGGTATGAGCTCACAAAATATTGTTCCTGATCTCTTGAAACGCTCCCAGATCCTAGCCTTCTGGGTTCTTCAACAACTCTAGTTTTGACTTTCTAAACTTATCTCACTGAATCATACTTCTTGAATAATATCTTCTAATCCTAACCTGTCCGATTACTCCTAATACCTTTACTACCTCTTCTACTATTGGATTTGAATTGACAATTACATCTCTGTGCTGATGTGGTATGGCGACATGAACTGATTTACTTACGTACGAAGTTCTACGTTGCATCTGACTGACTTGAAACCCTGTACTAAGTTGCATATAGGAGCTTTTAATGTTCGGACCCTATGCCAAATAAAGCAACAGACTTCATCAGCTAGGACTTTAGAATCTCGCGCAATCGATGTATGTTTGGTCTCCGAAATGCGCATACATGATCCGAGTAAAATCATCAAGTTGATCTCACCTAGTGCAAATAGAGACACGACAAGGTTTAGGCTTCGTGTTTCTGAAAGCCCTGATGCTGCTTCCAGTGGCCTCGCCGGCGTACTTATAGTATTAAATTTTAGGGCAGAACTAGCTCTTAGACTGGATTCCGATAGACAGTCGCTTATGCGCTGTCCGACTAAACTGGATGGGACGGTCTCGTAAAGATAGGGACACTCGCCGTTTCTTCCAAAACGTTAGGTTGTCTGATGTAGTAATAATGGCTGGTGACTTTAACGCTCAAGTAGGTAGAGTAAATGAGAAGGAAAGACATCTTGGTGGATCTTATGGTGTCCCGGCTCAAAGATCAGATAATAGCGATCGCCTGCTGCAGATGTGCCCAGACACCCGCCTGTTCCTAACAAACACTAACTCTAAGCATGAGGTAAAACACCTTTTGACCTACCGACCCTCGAAGCCGACACAACGATGGACCCAACTAGATCACATCACTATAAGCCATCGATGGAGAGGCTCTGTTGAAGACTGCCGCTTATTCTGGAGCACTTGTTTAGACTCAGACCATTCTCTAGTGCGAGCGCGTATTTGCTTGCACCTTACTGGACGCAAGAAAAATGTCGCAGCGAAAGCGAGGGAAATGTAAAAGGTAACGGAGATAGGCAACAGTAGGCAACTATTCAGACTCATCAAGGAAACCGGTATTAGAAACCCGAATGTGAGTGAAACTATCTCGGAAATGGGTGGTCTTATTATTCATTCTCAACCCAGGAGATCGGATCGATGGGCAGAACACTTCAGGCATCAGTTGGACTGGCCTTCAGCCACACTTCCGTTGCCCACGATCTCCAGTCATCCTGAATGCCAAATCGATGTTAGTGCTCCGAAACTCTATGAAGTTGAGAAAGCGATATGAAATCTGAAGCGAGGGAGATCAGCTAGTCCCTGATAAATTGACCCCTCAGATTTACAGGAATAGTGGTCCAGATTTAACAATTAGATTGTCTGAGATCTTATCTTAGTCAATCTAGCTCTTAAAATGGGACCACCATCCTTAAAAATCTCAGTAGTCAATCAATCAGGACTCGCTGCAGATGCTGGTTGTCTAAGGGAAACACCTTACTGCTGTCACACCTCTCCGCAGTCAGCAGTACGACTTCGCCCTCAGACCTTGAGTAGCTGCTTTTAGTCGACCTGCCTAATATGGTGGGTTCTGAAGGAGCAGATGTTCCAGATAATATAGCTCGGTTGGGTGGTCACTATAGGCAAGCCCGACCACCACGTCAAGGTAGCATCACCGGCCGGGTTTGAGTCATTTTTGTGGCGCATAAATATTCAGTTACCTCTTTGTGGCAACATTCATGTAATTAAATAAATAAACTGGTGTAGCTAAACATGATAGCTCTTTTTCGTAGAGTAGAAACGGCAAAATTATACCTCCAGGTATTTCCTGTTCTAAATACTAAGCATAAACACTTCCATTTGTATTACGTCTTCTTCAATTAACCGTCCGTAAGATTACTGAGGATTACAAGGCTTTCTATTATTTTTTTTAAAACTCATTCACTAAACATTTTCGAAAGTCTCACTGAAATCTGTAATCAAAGCGCTGACAAATAAAATGTCATCCTTTATCAGAACCCAGTTTTATCTTGAGATGAAGCTTGCCATTCTGTTTCTTGGCAAAAAGTGTTTCGTTTCACGTGACCTAAAGTAGCATCACAAATTGTATTTCTTATTACTCCAATAGCCATGCTGATTTGATTAAATGAATGATATTTTCTCCTATGTTATCTATACTCAACTTTTTTAATCTCACAGTATAAAGTCATTTACTGTTGATTTGAGCCATGTAATATTAAAATCTCCCTCCATCTCTGTCATAAACTGTTGTATCTTCTACAGGAGGGTAGTCCTTTCATTATCAATACATTCAAAACCAGAATGAGTTCAGTTGGAAGTTCTCGAGAAGTTGTATACATTAAAGCCAAAGTAAGGCCAATATTTTTTTTATAGCGTCTGTCTTTTAGCTTGGCACAGAGAGTGGTGCTGACCAATATAAAAAATTCGCAATCGATCCGAATATCACAGATTACAAAATTCTTTTGGGTTTGCTGCGTAAATGCTTTGATATTAACTGGTAAAGTATTTTTATCTTAGCAGTCTCTTTAGAAGAATAGTCTTATACTGTTTTGTCAATAGGTATTTAGTAGTATGAATGAAAAAAGCAACTGATAATAAGTTTTTACCGTAATTTTACTATTATGTTATGGTGTCGTATTTATTTTATTCCTCTTATTTTCATGTTTTCCATACAATGTATTAACTATTTGTCATTACTCATTTCAAGAACGATTACAAAGTTGAAATGATCTGTTACATGTTAGTCAGATAAAGTGTCGTAAATGGCAAACAACCTAGTATTTAAACTGTATAATGCCTTGTCTCTGTTAATGAAATCAATAAACACTTGGGAACTATTTCGTACATGATTGCAGCAAAGTTCGTTACTTAGAGGCAAATATTTAGTAAATGGTGTGCTCCTAATAGTTTTTGATGTAAAATACATGGGATCACTTTTGCAAATCGTTTTTACTGATCATCTGTGGAGTTTTTGATCAGCGCGGAGACATCAAAGCACGATGCTAAAGGTATAGGTTTTCATTATGTAACTTTCATATTCAGAAATTAAATGGGTGCATTCCCGGTAAGGCTTTGGACCTGCTAACAAAGCTGCTCTGGTCGGTAGTAGTACAGCTGCCTTTTTAACGGCCCCTGAATTTTTTCTCCATTACGAAAAGGCGTGAGACTCACTGTCTTATAGTCATAATTGTCAAGATAAATTACACTCAAGTGATATGACAACAAAGGAAGAAATGCTTCTGAGAAGCTGACCTTTGATCATAAATGAGACAATTAGACGTATCAATCGCATCCAGTTAAAACGAAAGTTGTGTTATCTGCTTCTGATACGTGACGTGAAGTGTATGTAATGTAAGGCATCACATTTAACCTGTACATGATTAGATGTAAGCTATCCTTCAACCAATCAATAGCAGCGTACAACTTCGTACGTACGTACGTACATCAGTTCATGTTGCCATACCACATTAGCACAGTAGTAGATGTAGTAAAAGCATTAGCAGTAATCGGAGAGATTAGGGTTCAAAGATGTTATTCAAGAAGTATAATTCAGTGAGATAAGTTTAGAAAGACAAAGGTACAGGTGTTGACAAAGCCAGAAGATTAGGATTTGAGAGAACACAAAGAGTGGATGCACCTGTGTCATTGCAAACGATTTCGAGCCATGTCGTTCAAGGTCTCTAACCATCGGTAACTTTTGTCTCGCGGACCCCAACCAGGTAGCCTACATCTACCAACATGACTTAGTCCACTTGTCAGTGACTTCATGGTTTCCTGTCATGTTTTGGTCTAGCCGCCCCTAGCTTTCTTCCAGTTTACCCCTATATCAGACAACACCGCTCATCGTGGCAGTCAGTGGTCGGGCATTCGTAACATATGTCCCAAACTCCTCAACTGATGAAGTTTCAATGATGTTTCTTATTGGTTGTCCTGACTATCAATCTCACTCCAAATGTTGCTTCCTATTAGTCGTCTTAACTGTCAATGTCACAGACTATGATGCTGTTACCTATTCAACCAAAATGTATATATACGCATTATCTACAACGTTTTATGACCAGGACCAGGGCTCGGTCCCGGGATCCTGATTCTTTTCTGGATTCGGACCTCGTACTTTCTGGATGCTTGTAGAATACATGTTCTACTTCATATCACGTCTTCTTATTTTTACTAAATATGGGGGTTGGGATAATCGGATTTGAGTAACATGTCGTGTCACCGGATCCTCGATCCTCGCTCTCGTTTTTCGACTAGGTAAACTCGTAATAGTTCAAGTATATCAAGTTGACGTGTTTACGTGCAGGCGTAACACTTTTGGCCTCCAGTCGGAATGGTCAAGTCCTTTGTTGGCTATTTTTCGATGATTGACCGAAGCCTTTCGTAGCACTGATCTTTAATATTTTCATTATTATCGTTAGTAGGTGCATAGCGCCGGATGACGTTCATTGTAGTTCTCTCTTCCTTTGTTTTGAATGATGCTTTAGTGATCCTGTGTCCATAAGACTCACACCCTATAGGTGCTTTTTGCGCAACTTTATGTATGTGATGTATTTTCTTCTTCATGACTGAAATACAACAGCATCTCTCCAGAAGCTAATCTTTTCCGTCCAGTCTGTATCACTTATTCCCAGCTCCACTATGTAGTATCTTTTCATTTTCTTTGCTGCTTGGATGCTTGTTCCCGTCTTCTACATTGTGTGAATATTCAATGTATATATACTAATTGTTGCTGTGTTTTCGAGAAGAGGCATCAGTCTCGTGATTTCCGAAGAGAGTCGGCTTTCGTAATGAGACATCATAACTGTTCTAAATGAAGACCTTCCAATTCCCAAGACAGTTTAAACGGTTTAAATTATTTGTTCTGGTTCATTTGTTTTCTATGGGTTGGGGTTACTCTCTCTCTCTCTATCCAAGCCCCCTGCTTTATCCTGGCTTGTAACAGACAGTAACCCTAGAAGGGCTACAGACGGAGTTAAAAATTACAATACGGTTATTCTGAAAACAACTATTTCTTAAGTACAATTTGAAACGTGCATAATTGTATGAAGAATATAATATACCAGACATGAATACCGACGCTGAAATTATTTTTGATTTGACAAAGTAAAGTTTTAAAATAGAAGAAAGCTTAATGCTGAACTACCTTCCAATATTTACTCTTCGTTTCATAATAAGCGTATTATTTTTAGGAATGCTTTCTGATTGATTTCACATTTTGTATTGTCAAACTATTGTGGGCAGATATTCAAAGGGAATTTTTCTTAGAAGTGAAACCAGAAGTGAACCCTCACAATTTACCTGGGTTTTATTATCTCTGTTCACAAAACGACAAAAGCTATGATATGACTTTCTTATTTTACCTGAGGTAGCCTACAGATAAAGAAATCTACCACTCCCCAATTCATCCTAATTTTTTCAAGTCAAGTAACTGAGTATTTTTAATTTTAGTCACGAAACATAAAGTAAATCTTTTAAGAGAATCATTATCTTATATCTGGCGAATATTCCTACTTATTCGTTTCTGTTAGAATGATGCATCAGTCAGCCACATACAACGTAGAACCTGGTACGTATTTACACTGGTTCAAGCTCTCATACTACATTAGCAAGTGATTCATGCTATTGTTTGTTACACTTAACATGGTGCATAAAAGAAACTATTATTTGTTGATTTAATTTTAGTGATTTCTCGGTTTGTTACTTGGCTATTGATGAATTTGGTGAACAGTTCTATTTACCGTTACAATCCGACTGGGATCTAGATGCGTCGATAGTCACATCATCTGATTCCACTCTGCGACTTAAAATAACCCTAAAGCCTAAGGTTCCTGGTATGTTTTCTGAATATTTTCTTTTTTTATAGATATACTTAGTGAACGATTCCAATCCAGTAAATTAGAATAATGTAAAGCTTCTGCGAAAAATTTCTTAGTTTCATCGCTTCACTTATAACCGTTGCCATGTTGAAAAGATATCTTCATGTACTCAAATTAACTCAACACTTGTGCTATGAGTTCTAAATCCCATCTGGCTGGCTAGGGGCGGCCAACTCAAAACATGACACAAATTTATAAATTCATCGACAACTGAACTGAGCAATGTTGTTAGATGTAGAGTACCAGGTTGGGGTCCGCGAAACATTAGTAACCGATGGTTAGAGACTTTGAATGACATGGCTCAAAATCGTTTGTAATGGCTCAGATCACCCATTTGTTGTCTCCTCTCAAATTCTAAATTCCTCATGACCGCTATTTCTCCATTTAAATTTATTTCGCTGGATTATACTTTTTGAATCATGTCTTCAGTCACTAATCTTTACCGTTACCGATAGTGCTTCTACTACCTCCACTACTATGAGATTCCCATGAGAATCCCATCTCCGTGCTAATGTGTCATAACAACCTGAACTGATGTATGTACGTACCAAGTTCTGAGTTGTGGCTAGCTAACTGACTGACTTGCGCCTATGCCTGTTAGCTAATAATGTCATTTTTGAAGATTCGCAAAAGTACATAAAGCTTTACAAAAATAACATCCATCAACTTCTGCGTCGTAGCTAACTGACTCGTCTTGTTTGTACAACGGTAAGTAGGACAGGTTCCAGATGTCATCGCCTGGTTGAAATTTCCTCACAAACTTTGAGCTATACCCCCATTTAGACAGTAGGAACCGAAGGCAAGTGCACCCTTATCAAGAATATCACATTGATCACTCGTGGTCTCTATTATATTTGATGTTTTCTAAATGTTTTGCCTATTACAGATTTTTTAAAAATTATTAGGAAAATCTAGTCATGAGTTCTTTGAAATTAGATTGAACAGAATTATTTATATCATTAGTATTCACAGATTTAATAATCCCGTGTTTGCCTCTGATTAGTCCACTTAAATTTCTTTCCTTATATTCAATGCATTCTAAAATCAGATCTTCAAGACTGGGATATTATTATTCCAAGTGGTGTTCAACCGAGTTCCAGAAGAAAAAAGTCACAAATTGACACGAAAAATGATTTAACACTCAGTGATTCAAGAGGACCATCACTTTTTTCTCAAATCACACAACGATTTGAAAAAACTGTTGCAAATGTACGCAAAGCTATCGGTAAGGCTTTATTCACCCATTTATGGAGTTGTTTTATTAGGTAAAAATAAATTTAACTGTGTTATGGTAAAGATTTATAGCCCAAAGTTTCGATGCTTAAATTATAATATGCCTTATATCTAGTATCAAATTTTTCAGTACTTCTTGTAACTTAAAACGTTTTCCATCCAATTTAGAAAGTAATTCAATCTAAAGATAAGCAGGCTATTGATTTCAACTTGTATTGCACCAAGTTTTAAGTCAAGTGAATAATAATCGTTGAAGAAAATCGTACTAAAAAGTGATATCATTCTCAGAATATCCAGAGATTCTATATTTTATGCATCATTTTTGTTGTACACTGTAAATGTAGAACACTAATCTCGATCTAATTTTCTGTTTGCTTGGATAAAACAACGTAGTAATTTCTCAGTTGTATCTTTCAAACAGAATAGTAATTCATTCGATTCATCGCCCAACTTCATAGCGTCGAATCACGACCATAAATTCTAGTTACACCCATTGTAGTTTAAGTAATCGGATGTTTTCATTAACCTTATAAATTAACGAATCGTTTAAGCCTAGTATGTAAGATGACAGTGTTACTGTTTCAGGAATTGCATTGGACGCAGATGATATGTTTTATCCTATCCATCCACCGATATCAGATACGCAAATGCGATTATACATGGATGATAATGGACGCATTATTTATCTAAATCAATTTTAGTAAGTATTACATATACATTAATCACTTTTCATTTGTTGTTGATTTATCAAACTGAATTTGGTTGAAATACAACAGTTTTATAACTTCTTCTAAGAATGAACCCTAAGTTTAACAAAAGTTAGTGAACTCTTTTCAGTAACTGGACAAAAATGCAGAGAAATACTTCTCTAAAATTAACCTCATATTCAGTTTTGTTTAAATATCAGCAAAGAATATAATCTGTTTGTTATGTGCTATTTATTGAGTGTCACACTATGTAGTTCTCCAACATTATTTTTGTTCTAATAATAACCACTGAATGTAAGGGTTTGTTTACTTCATTTTACGCCACGTGTTTTGTGTCTAACAGATAGTTCTTTGATTACCTAGAGTTTATAAAATACCTAAACATTCTCTGACCATAAATACAATATGTATTACGTGCAAAATATATATATAATTGTTTTTTTCAGTCTAGATGTTTACCTAAATGGTTTGGAGCACAGTTTACGTAAAGTTGGTTGGCGTATATTGTTATCAGTTTGTCCAGCTGACACAACGGGTCAGGAGCGTTTCCATTTACTGGATATCAAAGCTCAACAATATGCTACTCTTAAAGAAAATTGGAAAAAGTTATATGTCATGGGTTTAATGTCTGAAAATCAACTATCTACATTAGCTTCAATAAGCATAGATGTTGTTCGTACAGACTGGAGTAAGCATTTTGGGTTTTCTTTCCTTGAATACTTTTTTTCAGAATTTTTTACTTTGTGATTTCTTTATTCAACTAAAAAAATTATTTTTACAACAGTTTTAATCCGAAAGTCATTAAAGGAACCTTTCTTTACTAGTTGAGTATGTTAATCGTCTTGCTATAAAACCGTTTTACTGTTTCAATAGGCATATGCATATTATCTGAATATTTTTGTTACAATTTATTATGTGCAAGTAAAGTTAGTTTATTTTAGTTAAACAAATGATTTAGAAAAATATGATGCTAAAATGGTGGTGAATAAGAATAATTTTTATTACCGGAAAAATCTGTAATTATGTACAGCTAAAACCCTTTTTTTATGAGAAACGCATTTCTGTATTTTTGCCTAATAAACTCAATACTTGCCTCTGTGTTACTAAAGAATCACTCACCCAGAAGGGAACTTCACTGAATTTTTCCATTGGTGAAAAATTATGATTTCAGTGAGCAATGTCTCATCCCGAGAATGTTAATATTGTCATCATCATCAACAGCAACAACGTAGAACTTCGCACGTAAGTACATCAGTTCAAGTTGCCATACCGCATCAACACAGAGACGCAACTGTCAGTTCAAACCCAATAGTGGTTGAGCTAGTAGAAGTATTAGCAGTAATGGAGAAGATTAGGCTTCGACGATATTATTCCAGAAGTATAATTCAGTGAGGTTAATTAAGAAAGAGAAAGATAGAGGTGATGAGGAATTCAGGTTAGAATTTTATAGAACACAAACAATAAATGCATCAGCACTATTGCAAACGGTTTTGAGCCATGTCATTAAGAGTCTCTAACAATTGATTACTATCATCTCGCGGACCCCAACCAGGTAGTCGACACCTACCAATATGACTCAGTCTAGTTGTCAGTAACTTCAGGGATTTGTGCCATGTTTTGGTCTGACCGCCCCTATCTTTCTTCAACCTATTCCTATATCGCAAAAATATCTCGACGAGGCATTAGGTGGTTAGGCATACACAACACATGTCCCAACCATCTTAACTGATGAAGTTTCACTACTTCATCTATGGACTTGCCACCTTTACCTAGGACCCGTTTCCTAACACCAGCATTTCTAACTCGGTTGTCCCATGATACACGAGCAATGCTTTGAAGACACCTATGATCAAAAAAAAACAAGCAACTAATATCTTTGAAGATCTCAGGGGTCAATAGATCGAGACCCGCTGCCCTTCCTCGCTTCAGATTTCCTATCGCTTTCTCAACTTCATAAAGTTTTGGAAAACTTACATCGATTTGCCACTCAGGATGACTGGAGATCGTGGGTAACCGAAGTGTGTCTGAAGGCCAGTCGAACTGATCCCTGAAGTGTTCTGCCCATCGATCCAATCTCCTGGATTGAGAATGAATGATACAGCTATCCTTTTCTGGGATAGTTTCGCTAACAGATGGATTTCTAATATCGGTTTCCTTGATAAGTCGGAACAGTTGTCTGTTGTTACCTATCGCCGCTGCCTTTTCCATCGGTCTTGCTTTCGCTACCCACCACTGTTCGCGATCATTGTGTAGGCTTTTTATCAGCCTGTGCCTGAGCTGACTCCGCTCCTCTTCGTACTCAGAGCCAGGCGGAACGAACTTTCGAGCATCCATCAGTTCGGTAGATTCCACTGAAATCTACGGCTTCTCCCTAACCTTATGGTTTACCTAACTAGAAGATATCACTGCTGTTTGCACAGCCTTTTTGGTATCATTCCAAGCTGTCTTCGGAAGGGAATCACTTACTACATGGCTGCCTAACTGTTGGAGTTGACAATTGCGTCTATGTTCTAATGTAGTATGTCAACATGAACTGATGTGCGTACGTATCCTGTTCCACGTTGTAGAATACTGACCTAACTCTCTGGTCCTAAAATATTGAGCTGTTTTTGTTATAAGACAGTAATGTTAAAAGTCACGATAAACTTTATCGTATTTAAGAAGATGATTAAGCAATCAAGGTATATGTTTATAATGTTGCTCTCATTTTATTGTAATAATTTTCTAAATATTATATTGCATACATTTTTTTATTAATCCATCGTTAACAATCCAATAAATAATGAGTAGTCAGTAAACCGTACACTTGATTAAAAAATAATCCAGTTAAAAATAGTAAGCGAGAACTTGAAGAAAGTATGAACTTACTTATTCCACTCTGCCTTGCTACCCCAGTCTCTATCACACACTATGTTATGCTCGTCAATTTGCATGCTTGAACTATTTATTACGAGTTCACCCTAGTCGGTAAGCGAGAGCTATGACAAGTCATCCAGAGACACGATAGGCTACTCTAATCCTCGCATCTTAAGCGTCCACTAATGGTATCAAAAAGTGCAGAAGAAGAAGAGGAGTATAAAACTTTACAGATAATGCATATTTATGCAGTTAAGTCGACCGTGAATACTAACCAATAGGAAAGGACATTTAAAAGTATGTGAACTTGATAGTTTAGGACCAACTGGATGAATATCCTAACACACTAGTTTCGGATCATTTTTTTCGGCTTAACATAGGATATTGTTACAATAATCATTTTCGTAGTGCTAGATGGTTCAGAGCATCCTGTGGAAAACATTTAATTAAGTCTCATTCCTGTTGATAGTCGTTGGAAATTTATACACACACGCTCAAGAGAATAGCTTCTGTCCGTAAAGCTCGAATTCTCATCAATCACTGTCGCAGTCAGTGGGCTGTTTGAATCGTATGGTACTGGGACTTTAAAATTAATTACCCACTTAGTAGCAGTTGTTGTCTGATAAGTTTTACCGAGAAAAAATTCGTGATCTTGGGACCACTTGCAATCACATGAAATCAATAACTCCTATTTCGGTGCCCAGTCATCCGAACTAACGGGCAGATTGCAACTTGATTGTTCGAATTCAGTCATCACTAAAAGTTATAAAATATGACGCTGGATATTACTAAACAATCAGGTAGCGCTTTCTGAGAATAATTTACGTGAGACTATTCAAGAACTGCTTTATATATATATATATATATATATATATACTTCGTTATACTTTATTGATCGGTATTTTCTTACATTCTGTGTCTTTTATAGAGGAAGACTACTATCGTTCTGTTGACAACCACCATCGAGTGTGCCAGTTGTTTGATATACTGGCTACTTATTGTATACATCACCCAAATATCGGATATTGTCAAGGTCAGTTGATTAGCTACTTTTTCACAAGTTACGTATAATAATAGTATTATAATATCAAGTGAATAAGTTTATTGGAACTCATTGGTTACGGGGGGTCTGTTTGATTTAATATGTGGCGCTCCGAATGTAACTACCCATATCATCCACGGCGTTAAATGTTCAAACCTTGCTTCATTTACTTTGATTTAAGTCATTGAGTAGTATGGCAAGCTGTTACACTAGATAATCCTAAGCTCATACATACTAATGTTTCCTCGGTCACACCGTGTACAGCTGTCTATTTAGTAACTAATTAATGGTCAGCTTACGATGCTGCTAACAATCGTGTTAGATAATTTTTTCGTTATCTAGTTCATAATGACTTCCATAGATTTTGGGAATATTTATTAAAGCTATCTAGGTTTCTTAGAACTAGAGAGAAATTTTGACTAGTGCCACTTTATTAAAGTCCTTTAAGTATTATATCCAGACATGAACAACATAGGACCTAACACAATTATGTGACAGCCAGAGCTAATCACTACAAATGTCATTGTTTGATAATGTCGATTTTCCATCGTTAGTCTTTAATCACAAATATTTTCCTATTTTTTTTTGTAGGTATGTCAGATTTGGCCAGTCCATTGTTAGTTGTTCAAGGTGATGAGGCATTAGCATATCTTTCATTTTGTGCTTTAATGCAACGCGTCAAATCTAAATTTAGCGATACACAACAATCTATATTAATTAATAATATGCAAGATTTACACGATCTTCTAACATATACCGATAGTGAATTAGCGCAATTTTTTCGTGAACATAATCTAGCCAATATGTATTTTACTCAACGTTGGTTTATCTTGGAATTAAAACGTGAATTTAACTTTAATGAATCTTTACGTATTTTCGAATCACAATGGGCTGCTTTATGTCTTGTAAATAATAATAGTTTAATTGAAATTGAAACTTCTAATTCTAAATCTGAAGGCTATCTTGTTTTAACTGATGGCACATGTAATTTGTACACGTCGAATTCTTCACTTCCGTCAACAAACCCTATTAACTGGCATCATTATACAGCAAGAGATGTCAGCCTAATTAATTCTTTAATCGGTTCAAATTATGTTGTAGATTTGAAAAGAAAAGGATCTACTACTGTGTTCAACCAAGAAGTGATTAAACAAGATACTCATTCATCTGTTTCTTCGTCTATTCCTTCTATTGTTCTCTCTTCACATGACTTATCTAGTGAGTATAATCAATCTAAAAATCCACAACAAACATCGTCTGAGACGTTACTTACAGAAACGCAATTTGAAATTATCTCTCATGAATCATTAATGGATTTTCCTAGCTCTACAATAAACCAACAATCTTTACATTTAACATCAACCAGACGATTATCTTCATTTTCTATTGAAAATGAACCAATTCATATTAGGACTAGTGTAGCACATTTACCACCACCGAATAAATTTGGTCAGGGTAATCCATTTCTTCTATTTCTTAGTTTATCATTAATCTTAGAATATAAAGAGATAATTATGCTAGAAATTAAAGAACCTGGAGATATTATACAATTTTATCAACAACAGTCAGGTAAACACAACTCTTCTAGAATATTGTATCGTGCAAAAAAATTGTTTAATAAATATTTAGAAGAAAATAATTTTCAAATTTTTCAAAATTAAACTTTACTTTACTTTAATAATTGTACAGTAGTAAAATGAAATACAACACACACCGACCCATACATGAAGTGATATTCCCATTTTTGTTTCTTCTTAAATATTTGTTTTTTTTTTCTAAGATTAATTTTGCATTGTTATATTATTATTATTATTACTTTTATAGTTAATTGACCAATTATTACTTCAAAACAGATTTTACAAATACAGCTACAACAACAACAATAGCAACCTATTTTCACTGTGATATAATTGATACATGTATTTTTCTTGAGATTTTTATAACAAAAATATTTTCTTATTTTTGTTGTATTTTGTCTCGTTTTCTGTCTTTGAAATTGGGAGAAGTTTCACTGATCGGTATTTCAAAAATATTGATAATAGTGAAGAAATTTTGTGAAAATATTTTCTTGCAGAAAACTAACATTCAAGTTCTTGATCGTTGTTTACGGGTAAGAATAATGTATGTCACGATCATACGATTGTGTACCCGTGTCACTTGTCCTAATATAAACTATCTGTACATGTAACAACTACAGATGAGTTAGTTATCTTACATCAATACTTGATGTAGTTAAATACGTATTGATCACTTTATAATCAAGTAGTTCAAGAATATTCATATCATTCGCTCACTGATGATCAACAACAGTTTTGTTACATAAAGTGATTGTCAGTTAACTAACGGTCTGAAAATCCAAAACACGATAACACTTTTGAGCTGCAACTTTTCATAGTGGATAGAACAGCAATAAATAAATAAAAAGTAGTAAATTTCCAGTCTAAAAATAAACTTTAAAACAATTAGTCCATTTTATAAATTAAGATAGAACTGTGAGAAGACGTAATTGATCTGAAAAATGTGATGTATTTGCGTTATACATGTTGAATAATCTGGTCAAATATACTTGTCAAGGCATTTTATATGAAGAATAATAAAAGTTCAAATGATAATTGTTAATAAAGGAGAGAAAATTAACGTAACATGAAAAGAATAAGAAAGGTTAGGAAATCGTCACATTACCCTAGGTTTAAAGATAACGAGGGTAAATTCAAGATTATAACAAATTGTTTTTGTACACATATGAGAGGGGGGTTAATTCTCGAATAGCCAAGGCCTTCACAAACCTCAAAATTCGTCCCTGAACATTTCTATACAATATTTTGAAGGCTGTCTTGATGTCAATCTTACGCCCTGTCACAATTTTGTTTTGCGATCGATGAATATGGTTTTCTATTTCCCAAGTTAATCGGCTCATCTGACGTTAACTGATTTTGAAGCCACTTAGTTACATGTTCCATAACCCTTGATTGTAAGGTCCGATTACTCCTCCCTTATGTATGTGTCCACAGAAACATGTAAACTGATAAATGCAGTAGGATGTGATGTAATCATTCGAGCAACGTTTAGGTGTATGTGGGATCATGGGCTTAGTCTTTTCAATTATAATAAAATAAATTACTTTCAATCAGGATCATTTTATTTTTAATATTTCTAAATAACAACTATATTCAGGATATATTTGATGGCTTCTTTCTTAAAGTAGCTATAATTATACTGCAGCATGAGATTATTTGATTGTAATTTACACATAATTCACCGAATATAATATTTAGTTTAAAAAAGTAACTTGAATTAACGTTATGATATATATAATTTTCCGATTGCACATGATACTAAGAATGGTACAGACACAAAATTTGCCTAATTTGATCAACTCGAAAAAATCCTTTTAAACAGAAGTACATGAAGCTTGTTTGAGTTTATGTTAAGAAAAATATGAACTTTTCATGTATTCATCGTATTCTAATTAATACTAATTCAATAATAATATGTTTGTAATTATGCACGTTTAAAGTGCATATTGTTTTACTCGGAAGGTATTTGATTTGGATACAGTACATACTACATGACCTCAAGCATTTTACTGATTTCTTATCGACTGTACATTTTTATATATTATCCATCACGGATTAATTGAGAATTCTTTGTACAATTCCTTCAAGTCTTGGCCTAATGCTTCAATGGGCTTAAAATATCTACATAACTTCTGGACTTTGGTGTACAACTTTTTCTGAACTTATGTTCATGTCACTCGCCATTTTTGAAAACTAAAATTCTTCTAAACCATATTTTACGATAAAGCACTGGTGTTGTTTAACTTAAGTTTACTAATATAGTTTTGTGAGAACTTCCAGTAGTTTAAAGTTGCCTTTTTATCACAAACATGTGTTACGTATGCACAAAGACCGACTGCCTCGATGAGCGATGTTATCTGATGTAGGAGTAGGTTGGAAGAAACCAAGGGATGATGTTGTAACGGTTTGCTTACGATATTTCCCGGCTAAATCTTATTGCTTAGTATTCTTGACACCAGACACTGGACAAGTAACACAAATCAGAACACGGTTGAACAGGAAGGATTGTATTCCAAAATAGCAAGGAAAAGAAGCTGGAGGTGATGGCGAAAGCCAAGGCAAAAAGGCTTGAAAGCGAAGAAGGCTAAGAAGGCTAGAAGGCGAAGAAAAATACAATGCTAGTCTATTTATAGCCTTTACATGAGAAAACTTCTGGAAGGAAATTCACGTGATCGACTGGACTGGATTTGACCAATCAGCATGCAGCTAATAATACGAGAATTTTCTATCCTGTTCTCCAAGCTTCGATCAGGCGCTGATTGGATAGGAAGTTAGCCAATCAGCGCGTAGTGACGTAATCATGCTTTAAATGCATCTATGTCCCACTAACACCTCCCCTTTGAGAAGATTCGTAGGATCTGGTGCTAGGGTCCAACTGCAACCGAGTGACTGGCTTGTACTTTCGATTACTCCATCTTCTCGGCAATAACGAAGTTGTGTCACTCTTTGCTTGCACAGAAACTGACTTGTGTGTTCCAGGCGTTTTGATTTCGAAGGTGTCTAGCAGAACGTCGAGGGGTATTCGGTGCCGAGTCCCGTTGCTGGCTATCGAAGTTGCTTTTAGTTGGTTAGCATGACGTACCCAAACTTCTGAGCCAACTGACACCTCATAAGTCACATTTCCTTTCTTTTTTAAAATCCGACCAGCTGTCCATGCAGGATGTTTTCCACGATAGTCCATAGCAAGTACTTTCTGGCCCACTGTGAACGATCGTCTTTTTGCCCCATGGTGTCGATTGAACTGCTTCTCCATCGACAGGTTCCGCCGAGGCTCAAGAGCTGGTGTAGGACGGATGACATCAAAATGTGTTCGTAATTTTCTACCAAGTAGAGCTTCCGCAGGTGAGACTCCGTCAATCGTCTGAGGGTTCGGTGTAGAGCGATAAATAAGCAGGAACCTCTCTAAGATCTCTTCGGTGGTCCCCTCCCCTTTGGATTTTTTTAGAGCATTTTTAAATGTGCTCACAAAGCGCTCTACTTGACCATTTGATTGCGGATGGAATGGAGGTGTTCGGACGTGACAGATTCCGTTCTGTCGGCAAAATTGCGAGAAGACTGCGGACGTAAACTGTGTCCCGTTGTCAGTAACTATCAATTCCGGGACTCCGAAACGACTGAATAGTTTACGTAATTTACTGACTGTACAGCTTGCAGTTGGGTGTTTCATCAAGAAAATTTCTGGCCACTTACTGTATGCATCAACTACCAGAAGGTAAGTTTGTCCATGAAGTGGACCAGCAAAGTCCAAATGTATACGCTGCCACGGTGACTGTGGTATTGGCCATGATTGCAACTCTGCTTTGCGCGGTGCTTTTGCTGCTAATGCACATTTGGTACACGAACGGGATAGCTGCTCTAGCTGGGTGTCTAAGTGCGGCCAGTATACATAACTTCGTGCTAGTGCTTTCATGCGATTTATTCCAGGATGTCCCACGTGCAACTGTTTTAGCACTGCTGGTTGTAGCTTCGCTGGAATTATGACTCGTTCGGCAAACAGCAGGCAGTCGTCGATGATTGAAAGAGAGAGTCTACGCTGGTAAAACTGTTGAAGCTCTGAAGAGTTGATCTTCGAAGGCCAACCTTCCAGGTGAAACTTTCTAACTTCTTGTAGAAGTGGGTCTCGAAGAGTTTCTTCTCTGACTTCCTCTGACGACACTGGAGTGTTTCGAATGGCGTCTGCTACTACACTCCTTATTTCTGGGTCTACTGCTGTTGAGGCAATGATTATGTCCTCTGGTTCAGGATGCTGGACTCCAATTAATCGAGAGAGAGCGTCCGCTTGACCGATAGTATTTGTCGACTGATACTTGATATTGAAATCATAACTCAGGAGCATCGTTGCCCAGCGCTGTAATCTATTAGCCGTATAGACAGGGATTCCTTTCTTAGAACCAAAGATTGCAATCAAAGGTTTGTGATCTGTCAGTAGCGTAAACTTACGACCATAGAGCATTTTATGAAATCTTTTGACAGCGAAAATAATTGCAAGAGCTTCTTTCTCAATTTGACTGTAATTTCGCTCGGCTGGGGTGAGAGATCTGGCAGCATGGGCAATTGTTTTCTCTGATTTATCCGGAAACACATGAGATATTACTGCTCCAACTCCATAACTAGAGGCGTCAGATGCAACAACAATTCCCAAGCTGGGGTCCAAGTGTGTCAAAAGAAGCTTTGAGCTGAGCATCGACTTGACTTTATCGAAAGATGCTTGACATTCTGCTGACCACTGCCAAGGTTTATCTTTTGATAGCAATTCATTCAAAGGACCTCTCACTCGATGCATTTCAGGCAGGAATGCGCTGTAATGACTGATTAACCCCAAGAAAGATCTTAATGAAGAGACATCAGTTGGTGCAGGCATCTTCTGAATGGCTTCGATGTTGGCTGGGTCTGGTCGGCGACCGTTCTTATCTAAGATGAAACCAAGGTATTTGATCGAATGCATGAAGAAGATACACTTTTCTTCACGTAGTTGGAAACCATACTCCAACACTCGGTTAAGGACTTGATGTAGTCGATCTGACAGTTCACTGTCACTTGAACCCATAACTATGATATCATCAAGATAAGCTGCTGTCCCAGGTATACCTGTTAGCATCGTATCCATTATTTGCTGAAAGATAGCCGGTGCGGTCTTGATGCCAAATGGTAGACGAGTGTATTGAAATAGCCCTCGATGGGTGTTAATAGTCAGGAGCTCTCTACTATCTTCATCTACTTCTACTTGTAGATAGGCATCGGAAAAGTCTATTTTCGCGAAACATGTACCACCATTAAGCTTGGCAAACAGATCTTCAGGAACTGGTAACGGATACTGATACACATCCAATGCAGCATTTAAACCAGTTGAGAAATCGGCACAAATGCGTATAGTTCCATTAGCTTTCTTAATCACTACGATCGGTGCAGCCCATGAAGAGTAATTGACTGGTTGAATTACCCCGGCCTGTTGTAAGCGATTAAGTTCCTGATCGACTAGCTCAAGAGTGGCATATGGTACAGGACGTCTCGGACGAAAAATAGGTTTCGCATCTGATTTCAATGGTAAGTGAGCTTTCATCTTGGTACACAGGCCAAGGTTATTCCTAAAAACAGAGGCAAACTTTTCCTTCAGTTTTTCACGTAATCTTTCACCTGTCTTCTTTGCAAGTACCGGGGTGTTCAATGATGAACACGATATGTTGCAGACACTGTTAATGGGTACATCCATTATTCCCAGTTTTTCTAGCATATCTAGACCAAGAAGATCAAGGTTTGGCCGTTCTGTCAGGTAGCATATTCCTATGCATTTCTTTCCGTTGAAGGAAAATTCACACTGCATCTCACCAACCAGTTTTAACACACCACCTGAAGCGCTTTTAACTGTTTTCTTAGATGGCTTCATTGGCGGTTTTCCCAGCGAGTTGTACGTTTCTCTAGACATTAGGGTGATATCTGATGCCGTGTCGATTTGGAAACGAGCTGATGCACCGTTCATCTGGATAGTAACATACTTTCTCCGAACGTCATATTCTGTTTGAAAAGCAGCTACGAGAGAAAGTGATTTAGACTCGGCTGATTTCACCACATGTCGAGTACGTTTGCGCTTCTTCTTCGGCTGAGACGTACGATTTGGTTGGCAATGGCCTTCTTTATGTCCACGTTTATGGCACATCTGACATTTATGTTTTTTAAATGGACAAAATCGTACGTAGTGCCAATCACCACATAACCAACATGCCGTCGTTGGTTTGTTACGAGATGCTATCGGCTTCTGGACTTTTAACCTAGTAATAGCATTGACACTACTGCTGGTTAAATTGTGATTTACCTGTTCAATCAACATATTGTCGTGCCTGATACTTTGTAGGCGTTTACACTCATCTGTCAATGTTCTGAGTGTGACGTTAGGGTCTTGGTCCATTCGAATCAAAAGTCTAGTTCTGGTTTCCGCATCTTGCGGTGACTGAAGAGCTTTGATGAATATTAAGCATTTAAATTGGTCTTCCGTCAACGAGCGTAACCTGAACCGTTCACATTCTCTGTTGACGACGTCTGCAAGAACCGCATATTCATCATCTTCGTGTTTCACCAGATTTAGACAATGATATCTAATACTAAACAATGATGCTGATTCGCCGAAAATATCTGACAGCTGAGTTACTGTCTCCTCGAAACTGAGCTCTCTAGGTAACTTCGGTAATACGTGGTCAGCGTAACGTTCATACTCATTGCTTCCCAACTTACGCAGCAACAACCGAGTCTTCCATGCATCGTCTTGTTTACCGAATTCAATTCTAAATGTATCTTCCCAACGTTTGCACCACGTCAGAAAAGTATTTGCACATTCAGGATTATAGACGAATTCTGGTATGCTGTTTGCCACTGCTTCACAAGACGTATTTGAAACAGTATGTGGACTCGAACACTGGATGTTGAGCTGTTGAGTTAGGATCTCCAACAACCGCATTTGTGCATCTAATTGTGCTTGCTGTTGTTGTAGTATACGGTTAAGCTGATCATCTGAAATAGGCATCTTGAAATTTTTTTCCTTTTTCTCCGTCGCCACTGTTGTAACGCGTTTGCTTACGATATTTCCCGGCTAAATCTTATTGCTTAGTATTCTTGACACCAGACACTGGACAAGTAACACAAATCAGAACACGGTTGAACAGGAAGGATTGTATTCCAAAATAGCAAGGAAAAGAAGCTGGAGGTGATGGCGAAAGCCAAGGCAAAAAGGCTTGAAAGCGAAGAAGGCTAAGAAGGCTAGAAGGCGAAGAAAAATACAATGCTAGTCTATTTATAGCCTTTACATGAGAAAACTTCTGGAAGGAAATTCACGTGATCGACTGGACTGGATTTGACCAATCAGCATGCAGCTAATAATACGAGAATTTTCTATCCTGTTCTCCAAGCTTCGATCAGGCGCTGATTGGATAGGAAGTTAGCCAATCAGCGCGTAGTGACGTAATCATGCTTTAAATGCATCTATGTCCCACTAACAGATGACCATACCAAAAAATGGCATAAATCCATGAAGTCACAAGTGGAGTAAGCCATGTTAGGTGTAGACTACTTGGTTGGGGTCCGCGAGAAGATGGTTAGAGACCTCGAACGACATGGCTCAAAATCGTTTGGAATGGCGCAGGTGCATCCATTCTTTGTTTTCTCAAATTCTGAATTCCGCATCACCTATGTCTTTCCCTTTTTGAACTTATTCCGCCGAATTACACTTGAATAATATCTTCGAATCCTCACCTTCTCCATTACTGCGAATCTCTGCTACTATGGGATTTGAATTGACAACTGCATCTCTGTGCTAACGTGGTATGTCCCAGTTTATGACTGCTATACGAGATAGTATCAAACAATTCCACGTCTCGCAGTAAGCATAATACTATTCAACTACTCGTTCAGAATGTTAACTGTTTAATCAAAAACATGTTCCAATACTGTGAATATATTAATCAAACACTAATTACAACAGCACCAATTAAATTTGATTTATGTATTCCTTTACAAAAAAAAGCGAAGTACTGTAAAGCACAATTTTCCACTGTTGCTAGTTTCTAAAAAAAGAGTTGATTAGTCACTCCACTCCAAAGTAATAATGAGTAAAAAAGAGACTACGACTGATATATGATTATTTTAACATATTCTCCTTTTTTTTCAAAAAATATCACACTGGGAAATTATTTATCTGTACAATGAGAAATCATCCAGCTTGAATGCTAAGAAATCGATTAGAAAAGAAATAATAGTCGGATTCAGTGGAAAAACAACGACCGTAAACTTCTTCGATCAGTAGATGGTGATGATGAAGAGAATTGTTGTCGGTGTTGTTTCAATAGGTTGACCACTTTATGTAAACAAATTGTATCTGTAAGCATTGATATAAATTCATTGATTAATTTATCTTTATGTGATTTTAATCCTTCATACACCAAAGCTAAAAATACACGACATTCTAATTTTTTGATATAATATGTATGATTCAATTTCTCATCATATACATAACGTGGTTGTTTTAAAACTTCGCTAATATCCATTTTATCATCATCACCACTAAGATGAAGAGTACTGTTGATTTGCATAACAATTGTATAAATATCAACTGGAGACAATGAACTACCCTGTAAAGAGTGAATAAAAAAAAAATTAAAGTAAGTGTATTGTTGTTATAGATTTTGATATTGTTATTATTTGCTAGACGATCAATTCAGTAATAGTGTATGAGTGATAAGTGAGTATCTTCACCTTTATTATCCTCTAACTTATTTACTCATGATATTGATTAGTTTATTCACATGTTTATAATAGACCATGTATATTTTTCCTGCTGACACTTTGAATAAACAATATTTAACGGTCAGATTTTAAATATTAGTTCAGTTTTTATGTTGACAAAAACGTACAGGAGTGATACCAATAGTAAATATTGGCTTAATGATGTAAATCACATGTTTTAAAAGAAGAATTGACAGATGGAAGTTAACTAAAAAAGAGGTTCATATATTCAAATTAATTATTTCAGCTATAAAATTTGAAGTTTAACTTACTAACATTTAATAACTACATGTGTGAAATCAGATGTCATATAGGGCATTCTGAAATATCAGTGACATTATCCAAACCTTGATTGTTCAAAAGTAATAACCTTTAGCTGCGTGAAGTATGTGTGTGAAGCTGTTTAATCCCTCTGAATATTTAAAGTTGTTGACTGAAAGCTGCTTACAAACTATTACCTAAATAAATTAGAAATTTTTTCTGTGTGGTATGATTCACACGCACAAAAATAAAATTGACATTAAGTAATGTTTCTGAGGTAGTACATGGTGTATACACTTTGGCTCTTCACTAAAAAGTCTACAAAATAAATATGTTCGTTTCTCTACATCGAATTCTTCAGCGATCTCATAATATTTAGTTAAGCTTGATGGAAACAAGATGCATATACACAACACTGAAGTATAGTGCGAATTGGAACTTAATAATTCAATTCGTAAATTTGATCTACAAAATTCGCTATACTAGTTTCGATATCTTGTACGATTTTACAGCGTAAACTACTGTCACTTTAAATTAACAACGATACCTGCATTTTCAAATCAAAATATAACATACAAGTCTATTTAACGCATAAGATATTTTCTAAAATAGAAAAAGTTAAGAGTAATATCACTTAGGTATAACAATAAATCCATGTTATATTCAGCAGCAGTTCGCCCCGTCCTACTTTATGGATGTGAAACATGGCCAGTCAGAGTAGAAGATATTCGTTGCTTGCTTGTTTTCAATCATAGGTGTCTTTGAAGCATTGCTCGTGTATCATGGGACAACCGAGTTAGCAATGCTGGTGATAGGAAACAGGTCTTAGGTAAGGGTGGCAGGTCCATAGATGAAGTAGTGAAACTTCATCAGTTGAGATGGTTGGGACATGTGTTGTGTATGCCTAACCACCTAATGCCTCGTCGAGCTATGTTTCGCGATGTAGGAATAGATTGGAAGAAAGATAGGGGTGGCCAAACCAAAATATGGCACAAATCCGTGAAGTTACTGACAAGTGGACTGAGTCATGTTGGTAGGTGTCGACTACCTGGTTGGGGTCCGCGAGATGATAATAATCGATGGTTAGAGACCCTGAATGACATGGCTCAAAACCGTTTGCAATGGCGCTGGTGCATTTATTCTTTGTGTTCTCTCAAGTCCTAACCTTTAGCATTTCTCATCACCCCTATCTTTCTCTTTCTAAATTTACCTCACTGAATTACACTTTTTGAATAACATCTTCGAACCCTAATCTCTCCAATTACTTCTAATACTTTTACTGTACTACTATGGGATTTGAATTGACAATTACATCTGTGTGCTAATGTGGTATGACAACTTGAACTGATGTACTTGCGTACGAAGTTCTACGTTGCTGTTGATTGATGTTATATTCAGAGAAAACAATAAAACGAATCATAAAAATTAAACAAATAAATACAATAAATATTTGTCACGTACCAATGGAGCATTGAAAATTGGTGGTATACTTTCAATTCCTTTTGGTGCATCACCAACAGAACCTCTTAAAACATAACCATGTCCAAGAAATGGAAATGACTGACAAGTTGTATCGAATAACAATGAGATATTCAGTGCATTAGATTCTCGTTGAAATTTTGTAATACTATAAATGAAAAATAAAGTATGATTTGATCCGTATTCTACGGAATGGATGCATGAGGATTTGTACTGAACAGTGAAAAGTGAATTGATTTGACCCTATTTATAGCACAACTTTTAATAAGTGTAATTTGACTTGGTGTGAATAACATTAATTAAATTATAAATTTCACGCTTGTACAGTGAAAAAGTTTGATATAGTTATCAGATACTAAAAGTATGTTTCAGGTTAATGTTAAATGTTTTCAAACTATAAATAAACAAGCAATCTTTCAAGAATATTTAACATCTCAATCAAACCATTTAGTTTTGAAAATGCAATACAATACAATACACTTTGGTTTGACCTGATGGACGTAAAACTAATGAATTCATTCGAAGTAACATTTAACGTTCAATAATTAAAAATAAACATAAAGTAGTTTTAATCATCTATGCATTTAAATCAGGAACTATCATTAAATAAATTAATACAGTACTTTGAAACATCTTATATGATCTTGCTAAAGAGAAACTGTAAACCAACTCCTTTACAAATACAGATTTCCAATAGGCTGAGAAATTGATTAAATGAATAACCTGATATTTTATAAGCTTGTTAGTGAGAAAAATGATTTACTAAACATACGAAGTACAAACAAAGTTAATAATAGTTGACTGATAATGAAAAATACTGTGAAATAACCGGATGAAAGTGAATCATTCTTCATAAAAATGATCGGAACCTCTATATAGCTAACTCAACGAGTATTGTTCATTAGTATATTAATGAGATATTTATTTTCCTGTAAATGATTAAATCGCCTGTAGCATATCTCTGTGCCAACAGCATACCACGCTCACTTAAATACATAAACATACTAGTGGCATAAAAGGGGGATATTCCTCGGTAAGGTTATAATTATCCAGTGAATGAAATGAGTGAAAAATGTGCTGCCTATTTTTAGGCAATGAGTCGCTGCACACATCATGTTGACCGGAGTATGTCATCAAGCAATCAAACGGACAAACTGCGTTAACACGTAAAACTGTTAGACAGACATTAACGAAGCATGTGAATAAGAATGTATTATTAAGCCAAAATTCTTAGGGCTGCAAATAGTTAGGTAGAGTAGCAGCTGTACTCACTTTTTGAATGACAAAACAATCAACACAAATATAACAAACACATCATACATTGTACATAGAAAATTTCAGCGCCTTACTTAGCAACCAGATTAAGATTTTCTGAATTCGCTGTCTCTTCAATCTCATGAACATTGGATGCAGAACGAACCAAGATTTCAAACCAATATAAGGTATATTTGCTAAGTAAATGAGTGTAAAAGCATTCAAGCCATGCTACAAGTGGTAACTGTTTACTCGATGAGGCAATACCCTGAAAAACAAAGAGGTTTTTGAAGACAGTTAATATTTTTTTCGATTGAAAAATGATCAGACACACACCAACCGCAATGGAAGATGATCAAGTAATGTTGAGAGTTGATAGAAGTAAAACGTGCACACCATTGGATGCCGGTTCAATGGTCTATAGGCAAGGCGCTTGCCGAAAGACTGAGGGTTCCAAGTTTGTTAGCTCATCAAGTTTTAGCTGAATACAACAGAACTGTATTGACGTTTATATTAAAAATTCTGACTTGAGCATTGGCTGACAGTTATTTTGAGTTTCAGATGTTCTTCAATTGTAGAAATACTGCTTTTTCCCTAATGTATGTTGAAACCTACAGCTGCTACAATGACCTTCTTCTCGTGCATTTGAGGTTGTGTGTGGGCTAGAAGAGCAAGATCATCTGTGAAGTCCAAATCGTCGAGCTGTCCACTGCATCCCTGGATTCCTTTGATATGTTGATGTCCTAATAATTCAGTCAACCACCAACAGAAAGATGAACGTGGAAAGTAAGCAACCTTATCTGATATCAGCTTTTAATTGGAATGAGTCTGTGACTTTTTTGATACCAGTGATTGATTTACCTTATTTGTTTTTCACTGGTCATTTAGGTTTACTAAATTTTTCAGCTAGCTTCTCTGTTGCATCACATGGTTGTTTCATATTTCCTTCTGTCATTGAATAAATTAAATAAGATTATTTCTATCCTTTTTTCCCTGCCTTTTCAACTGTAGTTAGTTCCGTTTCATCAAGGCAGTAATTTTATGGCCGGAGTGCAATTAGAATTACATTTGTCAATCAGTTATAAATTGGTTACAATGATTTATGAACTAAGTAGTTTTCAATATAAACAAATCATAGTAAACACGCACTGAGATTTTACAAAGTAATATAACGAAAACGTGTTGAAGGTTCACCTTACATTCACTTTAAATTGATATTGATTTCCTTCCTTATGAACCGTAGTTACAATTTTACATGCCAAACAGACACGTTATATAGTAGTCGACTAGTACATTGTTTTTTTTTGCTTTGCTAAAAGCTAATCGATATGCCACAGGAAGTTGGCACTGTCTCTTGCTATGAGATCTTTCAATTAATTTAAGAAGATCAATAACCTTTTGACTCATGATGTAAATGGAAACTTTTAGCTAAATTAATTGACTAATATTTGTTTATTAACAACTCAGTAACTGGTACATAGAATACAAAACAGTCTAATTAGCAAATATATATAAACTTAAAATAATATACTGATCGGTTAATTTGTCCATTATAATAATTTGTAGAATTAATTTATGGAATAGCTCATTTATCCTAATTAGTAACAAATTACGAGTAACTTTTTCTATAGTCAAGACAAAGTCCAATACGTTCAAAATAAAGCTGATTATTGTAACACAACAAATCTTCATGTTATAAACATAGTGAGCTTATCTTATCCAAAATTTTAGGCTCGAAAATAATTCAATCCCGGACAACACATTTTAAAAATATCTACATTTCATTTGACAGATAATTAGTGTATTTTATTTGAAGAAAATAAATAAATAAACTTTTATTTCGAAGGTCATTTTCATCATGGAATGTCATTAGATAAAGAGTTACTGGATGCAGTGGACCAGCTGGAAAAGTGTTCTGTTGTTGGTGATTGATACAATTCTATTTCATTAACCTATCATTATAAAACTAATATTTTGCCAATTATATTTTGTTTCTTTCCAAAATCCACCCGAAGCGCCTTTGGGGCTACTACCGGTCACAAGCCTGGATAAAGGAGGAGATTTGAGCATGGGGTTAGCGACCCAATTTCGTAGAAGACTAACTCGCTAAGAAACACGAACCAGAAAAAATAATTCAAACCATTTAAACTATGCCCTGGGGATTGGGTCTTCAATTAGAAGAGTTATGGCGTCTCATGATGAAACCCGAGTTTCTTCGGTAGTCACGAGGTCGACGTCCATCCTGACAACTAGAACAACCATTAATTTAGGTACATGGAATCGATCAAATGTGAAGGCACGGATTAGCGAGGCAAGGGTGGCATTTCTACATCTGGAACTCAAAACAACTACCAACCAACACCAAAGCCAAAATTTCCAACACAGACGTCAAGACAGTCCTACTCTATAGCGCGGTAAGTTGGAGAACTCCGAAAGCCATTATTCACAACATACAGGTGTTTATTAACAGTTGTCTACACAAGATATTTCACATCTGTTGGCCAGCAACAAACTACTGCGGGAGAGAACAAATCACATTTCAGCGGAGGAAGAAATCAGAAAGGAGCGCAGAGAATGGATAGGACACACATTGAGAAAATTGCCCAACTGCTTCACAAAACAAGCTCTTACCTGGAATCTCCGAGGCCAAAGGAAAAGAGGAAGATCAAAAAGCACATTACTCTGAGAAACGGAAACACATAAGAAGAATGAAGAATGATTGGATAGAACTAGAAAGGCACAAGACAGAGTAGATGGAAGAATGCTGGTCGGCGGCCTATGCTCCACTAGGGGTAACAGGCCTAAGTAATTGAGTAAAATAGACAGCTGAAACACTATTCAAACTTACTTTGGAGTAGAAGAGTTTGCGAAGTTTATCTATATGATCCTTTGCTCGATTTAAGCTAAGCAAAGATTCTAGAAACATGAGATCTGATATTGCAATTTGGGCTTTAAATAATTCACATAGTACAATTACTTCTAATCTAAATGAGAGAATAAATTCATGATCGAATAACAATCATCATAAGCTAACTTGATTGGTTGTGACACATGAACAAACACTTTGGTTAGTTCATTTTCCGTAACTGAAAGTTGATTTAATATATCTTTGAGCGAACTGATTAGTGAAGAACAACTTGTAATGATTAATAAAGGGTTTTCTGTAATCTTTCGATATCTAATATTTATTTTTGAGTAGTAAAGTAAGCGAAATATATTTTCATCATTAAAAATCAGAATAATCACATGTCGTGGCGAATGATATAAACGTATTAATGACAAATAAGAGTCTCCTCTGAGCTGTACTTCCTCAAAAGAGTATTGGGTCAGTCAGTCAGCTAAAACGTAGAACTTCATTCGTACGTACGTATATCAGTTCAAGTTGCCATACCACATTAGCACAGAGATGTAACTGCCAATTCTAATCCAATAGTAGTAAAGGTAGTAGAAGTAGCGGTAGTGGGAAAGATTAGGGTTGAAAGAAATCCAGTGAAATAAATTTAGAGTGGGAAAAAAAGTCCTGAGCATATGAAAGATAAAGAATGGATGCACCTGCGCCGCTGCAAACAATATTGAGCTATGCCATTCAAGGTCTCTAACCACCGGTTTTAATAATCTTGCGGACCACCACAAGGTAGACCACACTTACCAACATGACTAAGTCTACTTATCAGTGACTCAATGGATTTGTGCCATGTTTTGGTTTGGCCGCCGCTAGCTCTCTTCCAGTCTGCCCCTACATCATGCATCATCGCTCGCCGAGGCAGTTGGTGGTTGGGCATACGTTACGCATGTTTGAACCATCTCAACTCATGAACACTCACTATTTCAATAAATTATTTGTCATCTTTATCTAGTGCCCGTCTCCTAACAACGGCATTGCTTACTCGGGGGTCCCATAATATTCGAGCAGTACTTAGAAGACACCTACGATAGAATAATAGTAACCTACAAATATACTCGCTGATTACTTTCTATGTTTCATACCCGAATTGGTGTGGAAGTAATATTGAGGCTGATATTTCAGACACTATATTAGTTGAACTGATTCCTCTGTGATTGACACAAGAGGACTTTTGTCCTTTCTTGAAGACTAAGAGAATTAGCGATTGAGACTAGTTAGATGGAATTAAGATCTCAGTCAATTCCACTGCTAAAATTGGACCAGCAACCTTAAACATCTCGAGGATTAACCTATTAGGATCTGCTGTTTTGCCACGCCTCAGATTTCCCATAGCCTATTCAACCTCATTAGGATTAGGAGGACTTACATCATTTCGCCATTCAGGTTGACTATAGATAGTGGGAAACCGAAATGTGGCTGAAGGCCAGTTGAACTGAATCTTAAAGAGTTCTGCCCTTCGATCCAGTCACCTGGATTGAGAATGAATAATAGTTTCACCTTTTTCTGAGACAACCTCACGAACAGTCAGATTTCTAATACTGGATTCCTTGGTAAGTCCGAATAGTTGTCTACTGTTACCCATCGCCGCTGCGTTTTCTATTTCTCTTGCTTGCTCTACCCACCCATGTTCGCGATCGTTGCGTAGGCTTCTTATCAGCTTGCACTTAAGCCGCCTCCGCTACTCATCATGTTTAGAGCCAGACAGGATGAGTTTTCGAGCAACGAACAGCTTACTAGTTACTAGTGATATCCATTGTTTCCACAGCTTTTCGTATGTTATTTCAAGCTGCATAAAGTTAGTATTTGCTAGCATAGCTACAGCAGGTCGCCATGGTCGGCTTGATTACATGCAACACCATTAGATCCACTCAAGTGTCTTTCAGTTTCGCTAAGTCAACCTGCTTCAGCAATAAAGTCACCAGCCACCTTTACTATATCAGAGCGCCTAACTTTTTGAAGGAAGTCACGAAGCTTTCTGTAAAATTCATCTGTTACCTCATCTGAGCTGCAATCAGCGAGAGCATAGGTAGAGACAATGAAGAGGCAACGGCGAGTGTCCCTAGCTTTCAGAGTCCTTACTGTCCCGTTTAGCTCGACAGCGCATAAGCGACTATCTACTGAGATCCAGTCTAAGAGAGACAGATTCGCCAAAGGACTAAACGCTATACCTACACCAGCGAGGACACGGGAAGCATTAGTGGGGCTTCCAGTTGGTTCTTTTTCTCGACAAACTGAGGTCAAAAAATGATTCTACTCGGATTCTGTATGCGCGTTTTGATGACGCAACATGCATCGATGGCGTGAGATTCTAAATTCCCTGTTAAGGAAGCCTGTTGCTCTATTTTGCACAAGGTCTGAACATTAAAAGCTCTAGCATGTAGTTTAGATCGTGGTTTTAGGAGACCAGGGATTATATTTTTTAAACTTGAAACGTTTGCATGCACCTGCGCGAGCTGGCAGAGGAAATAAGGAGGAGTTGGTCGTGGAGGTAGGAGAGTTATTAAGAGACGTGGGAAGGATTTTATTGTGACTGATTTGGTTCGTTTGCTGTTAAGGGTATGGAGGCAGAAGTCACTTCCCAACTGCCCACACAGTAGAGGGGTATTTCTTGAGGATACTGAGAAGGAAATCGGATTAGCGTTGGTATTAGAGACCTTGGAGCATGACCACAGACCTCAAAGGATAACTGTTTGGGGCCGGTCACGCGAGGTATTTTCATCGGAAGATTGAAAGTGATAGCTCCACTCTTGAAAAGGCCTTACAGCTGGAGACGGAAATCCGTGATGTAAAGTGAGGTGTGACACTTTATCAAACACTGATTCGTCTGCTCAGCTTTGAACTTCGTATAAGGATAATTTATATAATCCAGTAAACTGAGCTGGTTTGCAGTTAGATCGATAACTTAATGATTACAAACTATGTGCTATTACCCTTGAGCCACTGCTAATTAAATGAACTAACATGTAACAGATAGAACTCCATAAAAACAAATCAAAGGTAATTCTTATAATATATGACTTCAGTTATACTGATGTATCAAGGCATAAATATACTAGGTCTGATTAGTTTTAGTCTGTAATATTAGCAATAAAATAATACGAGAAATATCTGAAAAAACTACTGAGTTATCAAAAAATATATTTAGAGGTTTCATGGGAGTATATGGTCTATAACATAGTAATATGTCAACTGCTTCTAGTACGCTTCCGTTAAATACCAAATTCTGTGTTAGTCAACTAGAGCGTATTAAATAAAATTAGAGCTATTAGACAACGAATTTCTCAAATTTAGTAGAAAGAAATATCTTGATATAAATGCTGACTGTAGATGATACACTGACGCAACAGTAAGGCTTGCTTACTGTTGCCCTGACGCACTATTCAAAAAGGCTTAACAAACATGCTCTCGATAAGATTAACTCTGCCCTACTATATGGATGCGAAACATGGCCGGTAAGAGTAGATATTCGTAGGTTATTAGTATTCTATTATAGATGTCTTTGAAGCATTGCTCGTATATCCAGGGACAGCCGAGTAAGCAACGCTATCGTTAGGAAACGAGTGCAACTTAGGGATGTCAAATCAATTGATGAAGTAGTGAAACTCCGTCAGTTGAGGTGGTTGGGATGTGTTACGAAGGCCTAACCAAGGACTTCCTCGTGGTGTAGGAATAGGTTGGAAGAAAGCTAGGGGCGGTCAAACCAAAACATGGCAGAAATCCATGAAGTCACTGACAAGTGGACTGAGTCATGTTAGCAGATGTAGGCTATCTGGTTGGGGTCCGTGAGACGAAAGTCACCGATGGTTAGAGACCTTGAATGACATGGCTTAAAATCGTTTGCAATGGCGCAGGTGCATTTATTCTTAGTGTTCTATAAAATTCCAACCCTCTGAATTCCTCATCACCTTTATCTTTCTCTTTCTAAATTTATGTCACTGAATTTTACTTCTTGAATAATATTGTCGAACCCTAATCTTCTCCATTACTGCTAATACTTTTACTAGCTCTACCAATTTGGGATTTGAACTGAAAGTTGCGTCTGTGTGTTGATACGGTATGGCAACCTGAACTTATGTATTCATGTACGAAGTTCGACGTTGTTACTGACTGACTGGACTCGGTTTACTTACATGTGATAGAAAATTATCTCAACTTTCTAGTCAATGGGAAGTCGAAATAACATCGAAAACAAAAAGGATACAATGATATTAGCTGTACTCTGGAAGCGGTGAACGTCTGCATATATACACAAAAATTGAGCTCATTATTCGACAAGGTGGAATTGTTGCACGCAGTATTAAATCCAGCACGTAATGAGTTATATGATGCTAAACAATCCTGTTATACATCACAATATAACAGAATGTATACCTCTTTTCGTGAGAATAGAGATTTATTAGAAAATATGTTGAGAGATGAATAATCGCGTTCGAGTCGACAAAATAAGTAGAGAGCTTCATTATAAGTGATTTTTGTATCACCATACACTAGTTTTCCTATAAGTGGTATTGAGTTCTGTTATTAAATTAAATTAGATGTGTACTTACTGACAGGACTTTTTGATCATCTAACCTGGCAGATAATATGCCTCGAAAGAAACTATCTAATGAGTCTCTTATACACTGTGCCTGTGATGTGCTTCCTGACATCTGGAAAATAATTATGATCAATTAAACATACTGCAAGAAACAAGGATAGGAAGCAAACAAAATTGAACGTCGACTCTTCTAAAATGCGCTTTAATAAGAAGCTCCCGTGTTTACAAAAAACCAAGACAGTTTAGGATTGCCCTTTTACTTATGCAGCTTTGAAGTGCATATCTTGAGTTATTAACTGGTAGTGCGGTAACCTTCAGGACTGAAACACATAATAATCGAATTCTATTCTAAAAAGTCATAATCATAGCTTCTCATTGAACTATACTTCTTGAATAATAACTTCGAACCCTAATCTTTCTTTTACGGCTAATACTTCTACCATCTCTACCCCTAAGAGGTTTGAACTGACAGCTGCGTCTCAGTACTAGTATTGCAACTCCAACTGATGTACTTACGTACGAAGTTCTACGTTGTAACTGACTGACTGACATAACCATAGCTGCTAAATTGATGTGGCGGTGGGGTTTGCTCATTACGATGACACAATCGAGCTGTATTGGCTGAAATGCCTGTTAGTTTAGGTCCCAATATGCCAGGTAAGTCGAGTGGAGAACGGTAAGACTAAAAGTAACAACTTATGATCCGGGGCCGAAGTCGTACAGCTGATTTTAGAGAGGTGTGATAGTAGTGAAGTGTTTTATTTGGACAACCAGCATCTGTAGCTTATGTATCCACATGGAAATAGCCATTTGTATTAGCTAGCATATTGTTTTTTAGAATATATTAACCAACAGACAAAACTGTTAGAAGTTTTGGTTGTCCAGAATTATACGAATTTGGCAGGAATTGTTTCATAAATTTGCAGACTCTTAGTGAGGCTAGTGAACTTCCCCCTATATTATATGAAGTATATAATAAGGCTGTGTAACCCAATCCACCTATAATTTAGCCAAAAAGTGCTTGCAAATCTAACAGTTGGTCTTTATTTCCCAAAGAAGGCCACCTCTTTATAGTTGATCGGATTTATGTGCTTAAGTATTTATTTAGAGAATCTTCCATTGTGATCTACAAGAGAGTAAACAATATGACGGTTTAGTAAAGCATCCGTGTTGTAAGTCGCATATAAATTTATCATAAACAAATTGAAAAAACTACTGGAATATGCGGTTTATTAGGAATTTCTACTACTTTAGACAATAAATTAGATTTGATAGGTGCATCAAAGAAATGTACTGAAAATCATTAATATACTGCGAAGAATTAAGATACTCCTCAGAAACTTTTGCGATGTCAGGATGAACCATAAGTTTTGTCTAGTGGATCTTAACGTTGATGAAACATTGGCCGTTTTGGTGAGGTTATGCGTCAAAATACTTACTTTTAATATGTGATAACATCTAGTTCCAGAAATATTTGCTAAAACTAAACTACCTCCTTAAAAGGTTATTACATCAATGTCCTTGAGTTAACCAATCAGGGTCCAAATATCAATATCTCAAATATCTTTCTCCTGGATCTAGTATAAACTATGCATCGCGCACAGCTGGTCTACGAGGGAGATGATAATCCACGTGTGAGTGCTCGTTTGTCGAGTCTCTTCTTAAATCTATATACTAAATGAGCTAAGGTCAACTCGGTAGGTAGAGCATACCTAGTTGCGACGACTATTAATGAGAAAACGTTTGCATGAACCTGAGTGTTCGCTCTTTATACCAGCGAGTTTCCAAGGATTCCCTCGAGGAGCGTAGTGATGATGCTTCATTAAGATGCTCACGTTTGAATGATTTGGAATAGTTAATATGTTGCACGCTATTATCAGATTACCTCTGTATCTCCTATAACTCGGAGAATAATCTCAAGTACTGAAGTCTATCTACGTAGATTTTATACTTCAACGCTATCACCCTTTTCTTTACTTGTCTCTGAACCCGATTTAAGTGATTTATGTCAGAAGAGAGGATGCGATAACGCTGTGAACCATTCTGGATGGTATGTCACTCAACCAGTGATCATCTGCTGTTAGACTCTACGATTCCCGTGCCGTTGAGGCATGTACAAGATGCTCTCTCATGCTCGTGTAATTTGCCGTAGCGAAGAACACTTAGGGTTCGTTGTCGCCTTTTGTCAGTTTTTCGGTTATAATCATGTTCAACATGACTCCACCATCGTCACTACGTCGTATCGGTGTATGGATATAAAAATTCTCGACCAGGAGCTGATCATTTGTTACCAAACGACCCAACTTTGAGGGTTTTCCATCCTTCATCAATCTAGTGGCGCCGCATACATGCTCAGTTAGTTTGGAACTTTCAGCAGTTGCGCAAACTCGTCTTTGGAACCGATCTGCAGTAGTTAAACCGTGTTTGTTGACACTTAGAGATGGAGCGCTTAAATCTCTAGCAACGCGTATTTGATCAAAGCTCGTACAAAACAACTAAGTACTTTGCGCCCGATTCTTATTCTCTCGGTACGGTTTTAGGTATCTGGTAGTGTCCAATGGATGGTAATCTAGCCACTCAACTGAATTGGTTCTAGTCATTTGGCAGTTTTTTATGAATTAGGATAAGACGTCATAGATTTACAGGGAAACACGAAGTGCAACCACAGACTGACGAAATAAACATGAGATTTTGATACTTTAAGTGCTAGAAACCAGTAAAATTCTTTTCTGAATCTGAAAGGAGAGTTTAAGTTGGCTATTTTAGTTAATTACAAACAAACCTCCTGCAGTAGATTGTATAAAAGTACTTACGATTTAAGACGAAGTCAGGAGATTTTAGTAAAACTAGATATTACATTCTCCACTCTTACAATTGATCTTAACCACAAGTTTTTAAAGTTTGTTAACAGCAGAGTACTCTACTGTCACATTGCAAAACATGCAGTTCCTTGTAACATGACAGCATTCATTTTGTCATGAAAATCCTATTCTTAACTGGCGAATGTAACTCAGAATTACAAACCTCAACGATATATGTAATACTAAAAGATTTGGAAGAGCATAACTATATGTGGATGATCCTCAAGTAGTATACAGCTATAAGCCTGAAGATCTGGATGAAAATATAGGCGGGATTAAGAGTGATCTTGATAACGAAACTACCTGGAGCGAAACATGGCAGCTACCGTTTAACCACAGCAAATATGGCATCACACATTTTCGTAAGCATCACCATGATATACCTATCTACTCACAAAAATTCAAACATCTTTCCCCAGAACCTCTATGGAGCCGTCGGTTGAAAAAGAGCCTAATATTTCTCTAGAAAATGATAAATGGTCTCTCGTTCGTAAAATACTTGAACGACAGCACTCCCTACATACTTAGAAACAACGCCAATGCACTATTTACGGCAAGACACGATATATCAGGATGTCACAAATCCGTGATATTGATGTTACTTTTCCTTGTTAACCTCGTCTACGACTCATGTTTGTGACCTTACACTGGCTTTAACTTCCTACCAGGAAACCCTATTACAAGCAGATCTGGACAATTAGACTGAAAAGAGCTCACCCATAACTTCTTGATGTACAGGGTTAAAAAGAGAAAGAATGAATAAACTGTGACAAAAGCATCAAACCACTGTGTTTTATTATTATATTCAGTAAATCAACATTATTGCTTGCAGTTTGGTTCTTCCTAATTTCCTCTATTCATACGATTGATTGCCCATCCTTTATCTCCCCAGTGACTCATCTTCGTTAACCTACATAAGTACAGGTATACACTGAGTGTTCTAATTTATTAAAGTATCTGCTGAGTCATTGTTCGGCTTTGAACGAGAATATTTTCTGTTCTGCTCTTCGCCTCGTTCTTTTTATTGCTCTTTTTCAGCATTTTATTCCAGTCGTTAAATATTAGTCTAGACATTTATCGAAGACTTGGTTACTTCACTTAGGAACCTGTAAATTTATTAAATGAAGAATATCAACCAGATCTTAGCACATTTACCTCATTAATTCCTGTTATATGCAGACCTGGATTTGCCTGATGTTGGTTCTTAGATATAAGTGGTTCATTCAAACGTAACCGACAAAACTCGTATCAATTATTCGCAATTTCAACATTTTGATCCTGCCTGTAAATTGGCTTGCCTCTTGTAATATGTTGTTATTTGTGAATGCATTATTATTATAACTCTTTCCACAATAGCTGGTATAAGTTGATGACGAGAACTCTGTGGGATAATGACGCTGACTCATTGCCCTAGCTTGACTGACAATGTATAAACTTAGTCTTTTGATTTCACTAAATGTAATGATTCGAAATACGGAAGTTGACTTTTCAGATCGAAGCTATTTTTCAACTCATAGTTCACAGATTTTTGCAGTCACCAGGTCGGTAACTAGACAGCGTTTGCTGAATGATTGTTACGCCGCTGAAGGTCGTCAGTACATCATACTATTATCATCAATCAACCATACACACCTAAGAGACAGTGATTTTTTAGTGATTAGCGCTGCATTCATGAACCATGCTAATCTACCGACTTAAAAATAGTAAATACGTCAAATGATCATCCCTTAGAAAGCTGAGATTCATTGTGGTCCAAATTTCTGCATAAGTAGCGGAAGAATCTTTTGCCGAACCATAATTCGCACACTGAATCAATGGTCCGGGAGGTTTCAAACTTCCGGAGGTTTTCTGTTGCATAACGGCTCCTACAGCAAAATCCGATGCATCGACCTCTATATTGAGCATGAGTGAGGGAGGAAATGTCCAAGGGTAGCCTACTCGAGACTATCGTAGACGTCAGGTAAATTAGAAGTGAGGGTGACCGCATAGGCTGTGGCTATGTGATACGTACGTAGGGACTGAAGAGCGTAGGCATAATCCTGAGGCGAGTTCGCAGTGCGTTGGATCTCGAATTAAACCTTTACTGCCGCCACCCAGAATTCTGGTTCGCAAGGAACAAAAGAAACAGTTTGGAAGTTCGTAACCTGTATCTTGAAATCTACTATATTACCGTTATTTTTAAAATTATCCACCATTTCGTAAAGTTGTTGCAAATATAATATGTGTAGATTAATAAGTATTGATATGAAATATGCAACAACAGCAGGAGAAATAAATAAATATGGATAGAAGAATAATATACTCACCTGATTTGGCTTCTTTGGCAAATTCTCGAGCAATTGGTGCACGTTCAAAGCCTTCGCTCACCAAAATTGTAAGTTGAGACAATATAATGCCAATACCCAAGTTAAATCCCTCCACAGGCGGCCATCAGAAGGACAGTTGTGACTGGAGTTAAGATATATTGGTTGGTGATATCGCTGTAACGAAATAATTCGAAGATCGTACCAAAGTTAATGGGCGAGGCTACCGAGTGATTGTGAGCAAGCTCATGGTCACAATAAGAGGAAGATGAGTGTTTTAGGCACATTTAAACAAAGAGGTAAAGTCTAACCATCACTAGTACAGTTGGTTATAATACTAAATGTTTCCACTACATGAATCGCATTCTCTTCATCGAAGTAGACCATTGCAAAATATTGCCAGGAAACCAGGATAGTGTGTCAAATCTCCACTTAAAAGACTCTCGAGGAGAGTTTACTGATTCCAGAATATTCCTGGATTGATCTGCTCGCAAAATCAAAAACTGTATCTGTTCTGCTGCGTTGTTACTTTAAAATTTACCTGCTACCCCTAAGTTTTCTGTCAGGATTCATCATCTGTTAGCATTCAGGAGGTCGCTGAGGAATGCTTGAGACTCTGTACTTCATTAGGTCACATCGGAGACGTTTATACTCCCCTGAATAAAGATCGGATAATTTGAGACATCTTTCATAAGTTTCGAAATCTAGTCTACCGACCAACTAAAATTGTGTTGATTTTTCTCCTGGCAAAGTGAACAAAAATGCTCCTCAACATTGACAGTGTACCGCATATTTGTCACCATTAGGCAGAATAGTTCATCTGTTCTTCTAGAATCATTATTAAAACGACTTTAGACATCGGTAATTAATCAATAACTGCATTGGCTGTTTTTGTTTCAGTGTGTGTGAATATTGCTTAATTTGCTTGTCGCACACCCAGTTTGATTTTTTCTGACTACAAATAGTTGCTTCAAATGATAAATATTAATTCCTCTCTCCCCCGCCTTATTTTGCTTCGCATTATCGTTTCTTATTCTAACGATCTCTGCAAAGGCGTGTGCACAGAATAATCCACTCGACCGAAACGGAAATGGGCTTCATACGACAGGGTTACTACAGGGTCAGTCTCAGTGTACTGTACTGGAATGACATGAAATATTTGCCCTCATTCTCCTAATTGTGAGTAAGAATTGGAACTATTTGTATTTATATAAAGCACAAATATTTCCATGAATCATCAAATGTTTATAAATATGTGAATCTAACGAAGGGATGTGAAACAAAAGTGCTGAGTCAATTTGTAGAAGATATAATGCCACGAGAAGACGGCAACTGGTGAAGTCTGAAACATTTAGTAACTCATATTAAAGATATTTTCAAGTTGATGTGAAAATTCCGTATCTGTGTGAAAAATGTGGTGTTAGAAAACAATGGAGAGAAGACTATGACTATTTGAGAGCGCCAAAGCCTAGTTTTGACAGTACATGATCAAGCGTTGTGTTTACGTACTGAGTTCGTGCACAAACCACTACCTACGGAACAAATGTCATAGTCGGTCAACAAACTGACGAAATGTCAGGGAACATTTTGTCGTGCTGTGATTAAAATGAAAGCCTTTGAAGAGCATCTTCATGTGAAGGTTTAGGCACCACAGTTATCACTGTATGGTTACATTTTTCATTATTGTATTTTATATATTCCCAGGAATAACGCTGTCACAAAGAACTCCCTAAATGCAAATGACAATTTCTACTGGTGACTAACCTCATAGTGAAATTCTCATACCCGTTCTCCATCCCTGCCGCATTGTTTGAGGTAATCTGTGTTACAGTTTTGGTGTTTATCGGATGAATGAAGGGAAGCCGTAACAAGCATTACGACTGCGTTATTATCGAAATGGTAAATAAGAGATCAGCAAATAAATGGACAGGAAGAAGAGACAGAATTGTGAATTGTAGTAAAATATAGTTAATAAGGAAGCTTTGGCATCAGAAAAGTGTTTTCTGTAAAATGTAGGATTGTGAGGCAGTACCTCAATAAAAAAATATTAGATGTAGTAGAATGAAACAAATATTAGGACAGCTGAGGATAATTAAGGGAAAGGTAACTGATAAGAAGTTGATTGCCTGTACATAAGTGTTTGTGGTTGGTAGTGTTTCAGGATATTCATCCAAGCGAGTTCGTATTATGCAATATGCCATTGAATTAAAACGTATAGTCACTGTTGGTGTCAGTAAAAACGGAACCACGAGTGGCTGGCTAGCAAACTGTGAGCTTCAGTTTGTAACTCATGAAAATATCTGTCTGCGTTAAATAATTTTTAAACGGAAATTTCAATCATTGGAAACAAAGCCATACTAGGTTAGAACTTGTAAATGTAGAACATGAACCGAAAGAAATATAGAGTAGTAAATTCTAATGAATGAATAACACGGTGAAACTTGTACCTAGTCGCAAGGTTATATATGTGTTATGGCTATATTTATTTAGCCCACAGTGTGATCTAAGATGTTATGAGAGTTTTTGCATGCAAGAAATCCAAGTCTAGAAATAAGTCCGAGAAAGAGCTTCATTTAGTAACCCAATAAAACGTATGAAATCTGTTAGCTATTCAGATTTCTGAAGGACGGCATAGTGCCTTAGTACAAAGCTGATGACAAAACTTTTTTCGCAAGTTTTCATATTTTACTTTGAGAAGTTTGCAGTAGATTGGATATATAGGTTTTAATCAGGAACTATCGTATACATAAAGTAAGCCTATCCAGCAATTTGAAGTTAAAACCAATACATACAGAGGCCTTATTTTACAGGACAGTTAACATCTTCGAGTTGCGAGATTAGTTATGACCAGTTCGTGAACAACATATTGTTGTTTTCCTTTCGGTCTCATCCTATGGAATAGGTAAGAACTACCGAATGGGGCTGAAAATGCTTAGTGATTGGTCTGACATCTATCTTTATTGAGCGATTCTATAGTAATTTCGATGGAAGGTACACAGAACAATAACTAAATCTTCTTTTCTTGCGAAGTTTTGGAAGAGATGTAAACATTTAGGCGTTCGGATCGCTCCGAGAGAAAGGGAATCTTGGAGGCTAACAGCAGATGATCACTGGCTAAGAGTGACAGATCATCCAGAATGCTATCCTACTCAATGTATCCCAGGCACATCACATACCGGTAACAAGAAGGACTTAAGCTGAGCGAGGCACAAGACGCTTGCCAGAAGTGAAAAGGAGAGTCTGGTTCAGGCGGAAGGACTTTCTGAAAGATTCTTTCTTTGCCTCACAAAAGCTTTCAACACAGTGCCCCATGCACTCCTAGTTGTGAGGGTCGCAAAGATGGGCTTTACTGATCCACTTTCAACTTCGCTGAAAAACTACCTTGAGAATCTAAAGCCTTTGCATCAAGGTAAGTAGACTGCACGTGAGCTGGCAAGTTTCAACATCTGGAGTTTCACAGGGGACCATTTTAGGACCACTCCTATTCCTGATATTCATAAATGATCTGTTAGACAAAATTAGTCGGGGGGCTTTGGTTTACGCAGACGATTCAAATATCTGGAGGGCCATTAGAAGCTAATACGATGCAACAGAGCTGTAGAACTATTTCGCCGGTGGCTGTCCTAATCGCGTCCAATAGAAACACTCCTGTACGTTACTCCTAGATCCAGGTCCCAGCCAAATCAAAAGGTCAAAATTTCTAGGAGAAAACGTCTGGTATTTTTGTTTCTTCCAGGACTAAATTACTCCGTAGAGTATCTATTACAATAGCTAATAAGTGACACTAAGTCCAGCAGCCACCGCGTCTATCCAAAAATGTGGCGGTAGCCATATTATATCAAATTTAAACAATATATGTACAGTTCAAAAGCAAACACAAAAACTTCAATATAAGTACAAAATATGGAAAGAATAACAACATACAATGGTAAAATCTCAAATTGGAATCAAATAAAATACCAAAAATGTCAAGAGAAAAGGTCCATCATGTCATAGCAAAAATATGTAAACATGGAGGGATTTTCCAAAACACAAAACATTCAAAAAGAATTCTACACCGGCCCGCAAAATCCCTCCATGCAAAAACAGCAAGCGTTAATGACACCTTATTTAGGGTTCCCATGTTATCCCCTAATCCACACCGGAATAACGTGTAGGACTTACAGCAGTACGCCTACCCGCCATCCAACATGGATATGACCTGTCGTGTTAACTAGGTTCCTATACTTTCCCATCAGGCCCTTGATTCCCCTATCTATCGTGGAATGACCTAACGGTAGTATAAACCTTACCCAATTAACCCATACGAACATGAACAACGCGTCGCAAAACTGGTCATATCCTATCCAAGGACTACATTCTCTATCGTGGGGACGAGTCGCCAATCCACCACCACTTGCTCTGATCAGCAGATACCATGAAGTCCGTGATGCTAACTTATCAACAGAAGTTTTTGACCCATAAATAATATGCAAGGGTGGGATCTCCAATTTTGACATTTCATCGTCTCCAGAAGACCTTAAGTAGCATGACGTAGGATCAATATTTATCCTTCCATCTCCTGATGCAGAGGAGGTTTGAACAGTGTTCATCATCGTCGGTAACTCATTTGTCACCTCAGTGACATCCAGTTTATTATCAACGTCTAATTGATTCCGTTCTGCATTAGCATCCGTTTCCGCGGCACAAGACATATGCTCAACAACAGCATCGTCATCACACAGCACTGTAGACTGGCTGTTACCATCAAACACTTTCTTCTCATCATCACTCGACTGACAGTCAACCGTAATAGGAACAGTTACAGTTGCACAACCTTGTGCATCTTCAATCAACTTAACCTTCGTGACGAGGTCCAATGGCGTCGAAACACTAGGAGGCTCATTCGATGAAGTTGATAAACTAGTCCCTATAAGTGGACTTCTGACACTTTCTATATCCTTATTATCACTGTCACTACTAAGGTTCTGATGGCTACTATTTCCATAGCTAGTCGTAGCATCCGAAAGAGCATGAGGTTCAGGCTTCTTAGTAATAGTAGCATCATGTCTCCTAGGCTTCTTAGCCGTTACTGTACCACCATCACTTATCCTAGAATCTACTCTAGGTCCAGTTATATAATTTACCCTAACTGAAGGGTTCCGAAAATAAGCTTTATTCCGTTCAGTCAATCCTGCCTGGGCTTTATTCATATTTGCTGAACTCATTAACCTCTGATTACTCGAATCCAAATTACCGTTCCAGGCTTTTCGAGCAGCTAAGAGGCTTTTATCATCACACACTTCGGATCCATCTTGATGCCTACACTTTTCACCTTTTTCTTTCTTTTCTACACTTAGAAAAGCCATCTTATCTGTTACACCAACCGGCTTCTTACTAGGACACGCATCAAGAGGCTTTACATCGTTACGGTCACATACTCGTCCTTCATCAGCGTATGCTTTCGTGATATAATTGACAAATCTCTTATCTTCCGAGCGTGCTTTAGGTAGAAACGAAGAATCCGAATGTCTCGCACGCAGACCACTAGTAGCTTCCGTATTATTTCCTGTTTTAGCCTGATAAGCTAATCTTCCAAACCTACTACTAGCTATCTTAGCACGAGACATAATAAATTCCGTCAATTCGTTAAAATTGGGCTCTCTCTCCTCTTCGTCCCACTTGAATACTAGCTCTGCCCACTGGGCTTGCATTCGACGAGGTAAGAGCCTTACTATTCGTTCTAAAGTAGCCATAGAGTTAAGTTCAGCTGTACAATTTAACTGTTCTAAAGTTAAAGAAGCATTCTGCATTTTAATGGCCAAGTTCGTCAATGATTCAGGATCATTAAATTCTACATTCCCAGTTCTAAATAAGTCCTCTAAGGTTTCTCGCGCTATTACATGCGTCTGTCCAAAGAGCTGTTTTAGAATGGCCTTAGCTCTCTTATATCCTGATTGTGGATCCATAATAATACAGCCTTCAATCGCATTTTTTGCTTTTCCCTTACAATAATGAATTAAATACAATAAACGCACTTGATCATCCTTGATTCGAGGTTCTATAAACGTCTCTATCTGTCGTATGAACTTAAAATAGTCGCGAGACCTTCCATCAAAATATGAGAGTTCAACCTTAGGTAGTACTAAACCCTCTATCGATGACTTACAATAATAAATATCAGACATAACATGTGGGTTACCCATAAAAAGGTTATCATCAACGACTTGCCTAGAGCCCTGTGATCCGTCGAGCTCTTCCACCCTCCTCATGTGTGATTTTTTTCGGTTTGACATCATAAATAAAGTTCAATACGAAAGGTAACAGATACAAATTAGAATAATTCCAAAATTCAGTTCAGAATTACGATAAACGATTAAAATTCCAAATGTTTCCTTGTAATTCTTAATAATCCAAATAGATCCAAATTATATGCGTTCCGATGGATATTTCCAAGTATAATTCACGCAAGAAGAGCAAATACCAGACTGTAGAATCTATTTCGACGGCGGCTGTCCTAATCGCGTCCAATAGAAACACTCCTGTACGTTACTCCTAGATCCAGGTTCCAGCCAAATCAAAAGGTCAAATTTTCTAGGAGAAAACGTCTCTATATTGTTATAAAATGGAAATACAGAGGCTTACGGTATTTTTGTTTCTTCCAGGACTAAATTACTCCGTAGAGTATCTATTACAATAGCTAGTAAGTGACACTAAGTCCAGCAGCCACCGCGTCTATCCAAAAATGTGGCGGTAGCCATATTATATCAAATTTAAACAATATATGTACAGTTCAAAAGCAAACACAAAAACTTCAATATAAGTACAAAATATGGAAAGAATAACAACATACAATGGTAAAATCTCAAATTGGAATCAAATAAAATACCAAAAATGTCAAGAGAAAAGGTCCATCATGTCATAGCAAAAATATGTAAACATGGAGGGATTTTCCAAAACACAAAACATTCAAAAAGAATTCTACACCGGCCCGCAAAATCCCTCCATGCAAAAACAGCAAGCGTTAATGACACCTTATTTAGGGTTCCCATGTTATCCCCTAATCCACACCGGAATAACGTGTAGGACTTACAGCAGTACGCCTACCCGCCATCCAACATGGATATGACCTGTCGTGTTAACTAGGTTCCTATACTTTCCCATCAGGCCCTTGATTCCCCTATCTATCGTGGAATGACCTAACGGTAGTATAAACCTTACCCAATTAACCCATACGAACATGAACAACGCGTCGCAAAACTGGTCATATCCTATCCAAGGACTACATTCTCTATCGTGGGGACGAGTCGCCAATCCACCACCACTTGCTCTGATCAGCAGATACCATGAAGTCCGTGATGCTAACTTATCAACAGAAGTTTTTGACCCATAAATAATATGCAAGGGTGGGATCTCCAATTTTGACATTTCATCGTCTCCAGAAGACCTTAAGTAGCATGACGTAGGATCAATATTTATCCTTCCATCTCCTGATGCAGAGGAGGTTTGAACAGTATTCATCATCGTCGGTAACTCATTTGTCACCTCAGTGACATCCAGTTTATTATCAACGTCTAATTGATTCCGTTCTGCGTTAGCATCCGTTTCCGCGGCACAAGACATATGCTCAACAACAGCACCGTCATCACACAGCACTGTAGACTGGCTGTTACCATCAAACACTTTCTTCTCATCATCACTCGACTGACAGTCAACCGTAATAGGAACAGTTACAGCTGCACAACCTTGTGCATCTTCAATCAACTTAACCTTCGTGACGAGGTCCAATGGCGTCGAAACACTAGGAGGCTCATTCGATGAAGTTGATAAACTAGTCCCTATAAGTGGACTTCTGACACTTTCTATATCCTTATTATCACTGTCACTACTAAGGTTCTGATGGCTACTATTTCCATAGCTAGTCGTAGCATCCGAAAGAGCATGAGGTTCAGGCTTCTTAGTAATAGTAGCATCATGTCTCCTAGGCTTCTTAGCCGTTACTGTACCACCATCACTTATCCTAGAATCTACTCTAGGTCCAGTTATATAATTTACCCTAACTGAAGGGTTCCGAAAATAAGCTTTATTCCGTTCAGTCAATCCTGCCTGGGCTTTATTCATATTTGCTGAACTCATTAACCTCTGATTATTCGAATCCAAATTACCGTTCCAGGCTTTTCGAGCAGCTAAGAGGCTTTTAACATCACACACTTCGGATCCATCTTGATGCCTGCACTTTTCGCCTTTTTCTTTCTTTTCTACACTTAGAAAAGCCATCTTATCTGTTACACCAACCGGCTTCTTACTAGGACACGCATCAAGAGGCTTTACATCGTTACGGTCACATACTCGTCCTTCATCAGCGTATGCTTTCGTGATATAATTGACAAATCTCTTATCTTCCGAGCGTGCTTTAGGTAGAAACGAAGAATCCGAATGTCTCGCACGCAGACCACTAGTAGCTTCCGTATTATTTCCTGTTTTAGCCTGATAAGCTAATCTTCCAAACCTACTACTAGCTATCTTAGCACGAGACATAATAAATTCCGTCAATTCGTTAAAATTGGGCTCTCTCTCCTCTTCGTCCCACTTGAATACTAGCTCTGCCCACTGGGCTTGCATTCGACGAGGTAAGAGCCTTACTATTCGTTCTAAAGTAGCCATAGAGTTAAGTTCAGCTGTACAATTTAGCTGTTCTAAAGTTAAAGAAGCATTCTGCATTTTAATGGCCAAGTTCGTCAATGATTCAGGATCATTAAATTCTACATTCCCAGTTCTAAATAAGTCCTCTAAGGTTTCTCGCGCTATTACATGCGTCTGTCCAAAGAGCTGTTTTAGAATGGCCTTAGCTCTCTTATATCCTGATTGAGGATCCATAATAATACAACCTTCAATCGCATTTTTTGCTTTTCCCTTACAATAATGAATTAAATACAATAAACGCACTTGATCATCCTTGATTCGAGGTTCTATAAACGATTCTATCTGTCGTATGAACTTAAAATAGTCGCGAGACCTTCCATCAAAATATGAGAGTTCAACCTTAGGTAATTCTAAACCCTCTATCGATGACTTACAATAATAAATATCAGACATAACATGTGGGTTACCCATAAAAAGGTTATCGTTAACGACTTGCCTAGAGCCCTGTGATCCGTCGAGCTCTTCCACCGTCCTCCTGTTTGCCTTCTTCCTGCTTGACATTATAAATGGGATTCAATACGAAAGGTAACAGATACAAAATAGAATAATTCCAAAATTCAGTTCAGAATTACGATAAACGATTAAAATTCCAAATGTTTCCTTGTAATTCTTAATAATCCAAATAGATCCAAATTATATGCGTTCCGATGGATATTTCCAAGTATAATTCACGCAAGAAGAGCAAATACCAGACTGTAGAATTATTTCGCCGGTGGCTGTCCTAATCGCGTCCAATAGAAACACTCCTGTACGTTACTCCTAGATCCAGGTCCCAGCCAAATCAAAAGGTCAAAATTTCTAGGAGAAAACGTCTGGTATTTTTGTTTCTTCCAGGACTAAATTACTCCGTAGAGTATCTATTACAATAGCTAATAAGTGACACTAAGTCCAGCAGCCACCGCGTCTATCCAAAAATGTGGCGGTAGCCATATTATATCAAATTTAAACAATATATGTACAGTTCAAAAGCAAACACAAAAACTTCAATATAAGTACAAAATATGGAAAGAATAACAACATACAATGGTAAAATCTCAAATTGGAATCAAATAAAATACCAAAAATGTCAAGAGAAAAGGTCCATCATGTCATAGCAAAAATATGTAAACATGGAGGGATTTTCCAAAACACAAAACATTCAAAAAGAATTCTACACCGGCCCGCAAAATCCCTCCATGCAAAAACAGCAAGCGTTAATGACACCTTATTTAGGGTTCCCATGTTATCCCCTAATCCACACCGGAATAACGTGTAGGACTTACAGCAGTACGCCTACCCGCCATCCAACATGGATATGACCTGTCGTGTTAACTAGGTTCCTATACTTTCCCATCAGGCCCTTGATTCCCCTATCTATCGTGGAATGACCTAACGGTAGTATAAACCTTACCCAATTAACCCATACGAACATGAACAACGCGTCGCAAAACTGGTCATATCCTATCCAAGGACTACATTCTCTATCGTGGGGACGAGTCGCCAATCCACCACCACTTGCTCTGATCAGCAGATACCATGAAGTCCGTGAAGCTAACTTATCAACAGAAGTTTTTGACCCATAAATAATATGCAAGGGTGGGATCTCCAATTTTGACATTTCATCGTCTCCAGAAGACCTTAAGTAGCATGACGTAGGATCAATATTTATCCTTCCATCTCCTGATGCAGAGGAGGTTTGAACAGTGTTCATCATCGTCGGTAACTCATTTGTCACCTCAGTGACATCCAGTTTATTATCAACGTCTAATTGATTCCGTTCTGCGTTAGCATCCGTTTCCGCGGCACAAGACATATGCTCAACAACAGCACCGTCATCACACAGCACTGTAGACTGGCTGTTACCATCAAACACTTTCTTCTCATCATCACTCGACTGACAGTCAACCGTAATAGGAACAGTTACAGCTGCACAACCTTGTGCATCTTCAATCAACTTAACCTTCGTGACGAGGTCCAATGGCGTCGAAACACTAGGAGGCTCATTCGATGAAGTTGATAAACTAGTCCCTATAAGTGGACTTCTGACACTTTCTATATCCTTATTATCACTGTCACTACTAAGGTTCTGATGGCTACTATTTCCATAGCTAGTCGTAGCATCCGAAAGAGCATGAGGTTCAGGCTTCTTAGTAATAGTAGCATCATGTCTCCTAGGCTTCTTAGCCGTTACTGTACCACCATCACTTATCCTAGAATCTACTCTAGGTCCAGTTATATAATTTACCCTAACTGAAGGGTTCCGAAAATAAGCTTTATTCCGTTCAGTCAATCCTGCCTGGGCTTTGTTCATATTTGCTGAACTCATTAACCTCTGATTATTCGAATCCAAATTACCGTTCCAGGCTTTTCGAGCAGCTAAGAGGCTTTTAACATCACACACTTCGGATCCATCTTGATGCCTGCACTTTTCGCCTTTTTCTTTCTTTTCTACACTTAGAAAAGCCATCTTATCTGTTACACCAACCGGCTTCTTACTAGGACACGCATCAAGAGGCTTTACATCGTTACGGTCACATACTCGTCCTTCATCAGCGTATGCTTTCGTGATATAATTGACAAATCTCTTATCTTCCGAGCGTGCTTTAGGTAGAAACGAAGAATCCGAATGTCTCGCACGCAGACCACTAGTAGCTTCCGTATTATTTCCTGTTTTAGCCTGATAAGCTAATCTTCCAAACCTACTACTAGCTATCTTAGCACGAGACATAATAAATTCCGTCAATTCGTTAAAATTGGGCTCTCTCTCCTCTTCGTCCCACTTGAATACTAGCTCTGCCCACTGGGCTTGCATTCGACGAGGTAAGAGCCTTACTATTCGTTCTAAAGTAGCCATAGAGTTAAGTTCAGCTGTACAATTTAGCTGTTCTAAAGTTAAAGAAGCATTCTGCATTTTAATGGCCAAGTTCGTCAATGATTCAGGATCATTAAATTCTACATTCCCAGTTCTAAATAAGTCCTCTAAGGTTTCTCGCGCTATTACATGCGTCTGTCCAAAGAGCTGTTTTAGAATGGCCTTAGCTCTCTTATATCCTGATTGAGGATCCATAATAATACAACCTTCAATCGCATTTTTTGCTTTTCCCTTACAATAATGAATTAAATACAATAAACGCACTTGATCATCCTTGATTCGAGGTTCTATAAACGATTCTATCTGTCGTATGAACTTAAAATAGTCGCGAGACCTTCCATCAAAATATGAGAGTTCAACCTTAGGTAATTCTAAACCCTCTATCGATGACTTACAATAATAAATATCAGACATAACATGTGGGTTACCCATAAAAAGGTTATCGTTAACGACTTGCCTAGAGCCCTGTGATCCGTCGAGCTCTTCCACCGTCCTCCTGTTTGCCTTCTTCCTGCTTGACATTATAAATGGGATTCAATACGAAAGGTAACAGATACAAAATAGAATAATTCCAAAATTCAGTTCAGAATTACGATAAACGATTAAAATTCCAAATGTTTCCTTGTAATTCTTAATAATCCAAATAGATCCAAATTATATGCGTTCCGATGGATATTTCCAAGTATAATTCACGCAAGAAGAGCAAATACCAGACTGTAGAATTATTTCGCCGGTGGCTGTCCTAATCGCGTCCAATAGAAACACTCCTGTACGTTACTCCTAGATCCAGGTCCCAGCCAAATCAAAAGGTCAAAATTTCTAGGAGAAAACGTCTGGTATTTTTGTTTCTTCCAGGACTAAATTACTCCGTAGAGTATCTATTACAATAGCTAATAAGTGACACTAAGTCCAGCAGCCACCGCGTCTATCCAAAAATGTGGCGGTAGCCATATTATATCAAATTTAAACAATATATGTACAGTTCAAAAGCAAACACAAAAACTTCAATATAAGTACAAAATATGGAAAGAATAACAACATACAATGGTAAAATCTCAAATTGGAATCAAATAAAATACCAAAAATGTCAAGAGAAAAGGTCCATCATGTCATAGCAAAAATATGTAAACATGGAGGGATTTTCCAAAACACAAAACATTCAAAAAGAATTCTACAAGAGCTTCATAAAGACCTTATATCTACTGAGGAATGGGCAGTGAAAAACGGGTTAAAACTATTACACCTCATATATATCGTGTACTTTTATCGTTGTTGAGCTTGCATGTACATGCACGCTTGGGCGTTACTTACAACGTACACATATAGTTACTTGACTAGCTTTATCGATTGACAGTTTAAATAATGCGATGACAATATCGACTATACATATTTGATTTAAATCCGATATTTGTATCGATCACTAAATATTTTGAATAGTAAAGAAATTGTGACAGCGACTCGTTTTCTTTAGTAGCGAGATATACGGAATTTCGAAGATGACGGAAGTCCAACGCCACAAAACTAAACCAGTCGGAATGTCACGTTGCGAACATTCTGCCTCATGTGAGACAAACAACTTACACCCTCAATGGAAGTACAACCATTAATGTCTCGTCAGAAAGCGATCTAAGATTAATAACCACTGAAAGCCTGGACACCAGTTCTAACTGCATAGGGACGCAGACAAGGCTAAAACAGCTCTTCGCTTTATGCGCAAACAACTTGGTGACATCATCCCGAGATTATTCATAATTTGTCCTGTTTCTTTTATAAACACAGGAAATACCTCACAGTCACAATGTACAAGAGACCCACAAGATAGTTTCTTTCGAGGTAAATTATCGACCCCTTTCGAAAGTTTTCTAATTTGATTTGTAGGTCATCAACAAATACTGGCACGTTCGTCCTTGACAATCCAGTAGTGTCCTTGTTCCGCTCACACCGAGTCCAGTTATTACTTCGAGTTCGTCGTTCACAAACTGCATATGTTATCGTCACCATTAGGGTTTAGTGTTCAAAGAAATGTAAAGATAAAATCGGTTTATCAGGCTATTGGTATATTGATTGGAGTGTGCTTTTTAATATTCTATATCACAGTGAGAGATGTGGAAACGGCAGTTTGTTGTTCTTTTTCAAGTGGGTTCAGTAGTTTTTATTCCCAGTTTTATTCGGGTTTGTTGGATTATATGTCGACATTCAGCTGCTTAGAGGACACTGGAGAGTATGGCCATTCATCCTTCGACGGTACATGTGGCTGGGCATATTAGGGTCAATCCTCTCTTCCGCTGTTCTTCTGGGGAACTTATACTATGAGGTGAAACACTACCGTAAGTTGGCTATTAGACTAACACCTCTTAGAGATGTCATCGTATCAGTCAGATTTGTGGTCGTTGTCGTCCCTACACTGGTCTGCCATCCTAGCCTGGTCATCTAGGAAGTACCATGCTTTGCTAACAGATGTCTATACGCTATCGAAAGGTCATAGTTAGAGACTTATCAGCCCGTATTACTGTGATGAAAAAAGAACCCCATCGAAACTATAGGTATATGCTAAAATTTAACTTCATGCTTTATTTAAGTTACTTTGCTTTTTATGAACTTTTATTGCATTGGCACATATATTGTTTGCCTTATTTTCCGATATTGATTTAAATTTTGTACCTTTTCAAAAAAAGATAATTGAACTTTTCAGTTAAATTTCTTTCTAATATACGGCATATTCCAGTACAAAGAAAACTGTAGGTGATGCGTTATCGATGAAAGTGGTTGCGTGATCTGTTAGTAAGTTTCAGAAGCTTATATCTCCGTAACATGTGAACTTTAATGAGCAAACGCTTTGCCTTTCGACTTTCCTGAGATACATTTCCAGATTGTAAAACGAGTGGGAAATACTAGTGGCGATAAGTATATCGAAAGCTAATCTACAATCGTCTAAACATACAGCATTTCATTAACTCAACGGTCCAAGTCATATTCACTTTTGACTTGCACTACATCACTTGGCTACCGCTCACTATCTTAAGAAGTGGAACTCAGCTCGCAGATGTTTATTCGAGTGCATTGAATATTCACCTCAGGGTTTCAAGAGTTTGTACTGAAATGGTGTACCTGTAAACAGGCTCTAACAGGTCTGAGTGATTCAAACTTGTGTTAGTGAAGTCCATTTTTGTACGGTAGACATTGCATAAACACCAGAGACAACCATAGCTCAACCTTTGTATATCTGTTGTTTGTCAAATTAAGCGATTAGTCAGTCAATCAGATGCAACGTAGAACTTCGTACGTACCTCAGTTCATGTTGCCATACCACATTAGCACAGAGATGTAATTTTCAATTCAAATCCAATGGTGGTAGTGGTAGTAGAAGTATTAGCAGTATTCGGAGACGTTAGGATTGGAACATAGTATTCAAGAAGTATGATTCAGTGAGAGGTTTTGATGAATCCAGAAAATTAGGATTTGAGAGAACATAAAGAATGAATGCACCTGCGCCACTGCAAACGGTTTCGATCCATGTCATTCAGGGTTTCTAACCATCGATTATTATCATCTCGCGGACCCCAAGCAGGGGGCCATGCTGTTACGGGAATGACGGCGGTTGTCACTTCCCGGCTGCCCACACCGTGAAAGGTTGTTTCTTGAGGAACCTGAAAAGAAAGGTATATTAGCGTTGGTCTTAGAGACCTGGCTGGGTGACCGCAAAGCCAAAGGGACAACTGCTTGAGGCCGGTCACGCACGGCCTTTTTATGAAGGGTTTTTTGAGTATTAGCTCCGCTCCTCAAAGCCCTTAGTGGGCACCCTTACCACCGGAGACGAAAATGTGTGAGGTAGTATGAGGTGTGACATTTCTGGGACCGACCGTTTCTAACCCCTCCTTCCTTTTGAGAAGGCAGCATTGCTGCAGTGCTGGTTGTCCGAGGGAAACACCTTACTGCTGTCACACCCCTCTGCAGTCAGCAGTACGACTTCGCCCTCAGGCTTTGAGTTGCTGCGTTTAGTCTCATCGTTCTCCAGCCGACTTACCTGGCATAGTAGGGCTTACAGGAACATATGTTCCAGCCAGTATAGCTCGGCTGGGTCATCACGATAGTCAAGCGTGACCACCACGTCAAGGTAGCAGCTATGACTGGGACCCCAGTCAGGTAGCCTACATCTACCGACATGACTAAGTCCACTTGTCAGTGACTTTAGGGATCTGTGCCATGTTTCGGTCTGACCACCCCTAGCCTTCTTCCAACCTACTACACTACAAAACAAAGCTCGTCGAGGCAGTCGGTGGTCAGGCATACGCAGCACATGTCCCAACCACCTCAACTGATGACATTTCAATATTTCATCTATTGATCTGCCATCCTTACCTAGCGCCCGCTTCCTAATAACAGCGTTGCTCACTCGGGTGTCCCAGGATATACGAGCAATGCTTCGGAGACACTGATGATCGAAAACCAGTAACCTACGAATATCTCCTACTCTGACTGGCTATGTTTCACAACCATAAAGTAGTACCGAGCGAACTGCTGCGCATTACACTCGTCCTTCATTTAGCAAACGGATATCTCGCCTACGCCATAAGTGTCAAAAGCTTTTCGAGCCTTTTGTATCCGTGCTGAGATTTCTTGAGTCACCAGGCCATCAACAGTGATGAGACTCCACAGATAAGTGTAGCGATCTACACACTCGACTACTTCATTGGCAATCACTAGTTCAAGTGTCGATGCAACTCAATCTTGAAGCGAAATTTTGCATTTCGAGGGAGCAAAAACGTATCCCGAACTTGTTTGCATTGTTGCTTAGGGTGGTCAAAAGACTGCATTTTGTCAGCGTCTACACCAAATAGAACTATGTCATCGGCATATTCCAAGTCAACAAGCAATTTTCCTGGTAGAATGTTCGCTCCTGAAAATTCAGACGAAGATGAGATTATGTCTAGCAGCATGTCTACGACAAACTTAAACAAGAAAGGGGGAAGTGGACATCCCTGACGGACACCACTTGAAGTAATTAATTCCGATGACAGTTCGCCATAAGCTCTCACTCGACCTTTAGTGTTCGAGTAGAGAACTTAACAGCCTACGTCCAAGCTGACTCCGCTCCTCACCGCACTCAGAGCCAGACGGGATGAGTTTTTGAGCATCCATCAGTTCGGTAGATGCTACAGAGCCCAACGGCTTCCTAGATTCATGGTTTATCTTACTAGCAGATATCACTGGCTTTTCCACAGCCTTTTTGATATCATTCCAACCTGCCTCCCTATGGGAATCGCTTACGTGGTCGCCTGACTGTTTTTCTAGTTGATCATGAAATATATTCTTAGCTTTATTATCATTAAGTAGAACCCTAAGAGGTTTCCTCGCGGTGTCTTTCCTACGTCCAGTAAGCCTCAAACAAATAAGCGCTCGTACTAGGGCATGATCCAAATCTATGCATATGCCCCAGAACGAGGAATCATCATAATCGCAACATCAATGAAGAAATTTTCAATTTATTTACTAAGATCAACTGTAGAAGTATTAGAAAGAGGCCTTCGGTAGCCCGCGATCTGACTCCAATTTAGACAAATGGCTGAATATCCCATGAAGTAAATCTTCTCGCTGTATCTTATTTAGGCGAACCTCGTTTGTGCGATGGCGGTAATAAGCCGAATACGGACTTAGTTATATGAGTTTATTTCATGCAATCGTTCGCACAGTCAGACATAACAAAACGTAAACGCAAAGCGATATGGAGAAGGCTAGTTAGCCAACTCACTGTGATGAAGCATGAGTAAGTATTTATAGTCAGGCAAAAATAGATTAGACATGCGACAAGAGAAGTGATGCACACACGCACTGAAGTAAAAACAACCAAGATATAAGTGAATAATTGACAAGGTCGGAAGACGTGAATAACTAGAGAAGAGAGGATGAATTGATTTTTCTAAAGGCTTGGACAAGCCATATGCGCGGCATATTAGTTCACACTGCAGACCTGTTTTAGACGCATTCCGGAGCGTGACACTCAGTCTTGAAAATAGCCAAGAGATGTCAATATCCACTGGTGTAGAAAGCTGAACATAAATGTAGAGTAGGATTGAAATTAAACGTAGGATCAACAAGAAAGTAAAGAAATAAATTCAACCGTAAACAAATTTAAGCCATATCATCCGATAGTTATCCCGTGAATTTCAAGTAAGAAGTCCACACTCCTCAATGCGACCCCGAATGAGAACCGGTTGATTTCACACATTAGTGTCTTTCTTTGTTTGGCCATCTCTAAATTCCTTTGGACACACTCCTACGCCAACCGACGTTGCGTCTTAAGATGGGCGTAGATTGAACCTAGACACTACAAGTCCAAATACCATGTTTTCAAAATTGCTAAGATATATTATTTGAAAATGCAAAACTAGTCGCCACTATCCAAGGAAAAAATATTTGTTAGTCTCCGCAGTGTAAGACTTGTAACTTTCCGTTCATGTTCATCTGACGTACGTTAGCATCATTTTCAATATTAGTGTATACCAAAGTGTGTTTGACAATAAAGTGGCCTTACGCCAACTAAACACCAGTTAGACCTGCAGCAGTCATAAGGTACCAAGAGGTCACTTCAAAGTGCTTAGAAAGGTAAGAGAGACTGTTTAGCACCTGAGCTCCAATACTATTTTTCATCTAAATTCATGTTCAGTTTTAAAAAGATGTTATGGGACAAAGCTCTGTAAAAAGGTGTATCCATCCGTTCTAAGAGGTCACTATGATGGAAAAGTTCTCATTCTTAGGAAAGAAAGTATAGTTGTGGTGATAAAGACAGAAACTATTCCAAAGATAAGGTAAATACGAAAAAGTATATTAAGCCATTACAACAACGATCACCTGTTTGAAAAGGATGCATTGAACAAACAAAAGAATTGATCTGTAAGAGTTTTTGCTTCATAACAGCAAATATAATTACATTATCGTATCCTTGTTGGAGTGTACTCCACCATTATTAAAAATCCAGATAATATTAAAGATATGTCTATGTAATACAGTAACGTCGTTACAACTATCTATTACAAACAAATTTTTTTGTCGAGTAATGTTTTATCTACTAACTGATAACATAAATTTCAGTTAACGTACTCAAGAAAATAACATTTCTAATCAACGCACGAAATACAAAGTACATTGACACTGAAGGCTTCGCCTCTGAAAACTGAAGCCGCAAAAGCAGTAAGAATACAGAAATAACATCATATGCCAGTTTGTAAGTGAAATATATAAATAAAATAAATATCTTTCTTTTAGTTTGAAAAAAGTACTAATTTTCAGGTAATAAAAGCTAAAATAGAAAAATCAATAAAGTTATTCTTGACAAGATGAGAAAAATCAACAGGGCTTTTACAAATTCATTTGATTGTCGATCAAAAGAAAGTAGTGAGATTATCATAACATCAATTTTTATTCTCTCAATTTAAGCACGCAATAATCAGAAGAAATAAAACATTGGAAATATAGCATTCAAACGAATAAAGGGTCAGTTTGGTTTATGGTGTAAGATCTAAATCAAAGCCAACTTGCTTCTTCATTAAATTATCTCAATTATTTTCAAGCCTAAATGTTTGTAAATGTTGCATTATTGTTTGAAACCTCTGAGTATTTATGTACATTAGTGAATTCCAATGCTTGTTGAATACTCCAAATAGCTAGTGCACGCATATAACCAGGACAACGAAAACGACCATCAGACATGTACGCTTCAGGTGTTTGGTAATGTAATCCGTAAATATTGTAAATAGTATTGTAGCATTTTTCGCCGAGAGCCAATCCCTCGTCAATCATTCCCTAACACAGGACAAAGAAATAAAATGAAGACTACATAATTTTAGGTTGACTTTAAATAAATGCAAGTATGATAATTAGTCCGATTCCCTTGACATAAATTCAGGATTGTTGGACTGAGCAGAGTCGGACGATACAAATTTTCAAGTTTAGATTCTCAAGATAAAATATAGTTTACGGCTGGGTTACGAAACTCCAACCGGATGTAGCTACATTCATTTCTTAACCTTCCCTGTATTTTATACTTTGTGTTATTCGATGCTAAAAATTCTTCAATCTCATCCGTTTCTTTTTGAGAGGCAGTTATAAATTTGTTTTTAATTTAGATACACTCAGTTTTTCTAGTTTATATTTTACCAATAATTTTTCTTATAGATCTCAACAATTTCATAAGTGTATCTCATTTCAGTTGTATAAGTGGCTCTTGTATTTGGTCCTTTGTTGTTTAATCACTTCAATTCGAAAAAAAAATGGAAAAATAGTCTTTTCTCTCCACGTTTGACCTGTGGAGAAATTCGAATGCTTCACTTCTATCTGAAGTTTGTGCTGATGTTGTTCAGAAGAACAATGAAAGCTCCACAACCAAAACACCCAGCTCAGAGAACCAAACACCACCACCACAATCATCCACCTGAGCAACAAATATTCTCCACCATCTCAAAATCCTGATTCTAATTTAGTTTCCTATTTACTACATAGTTTCATGTAGCCGACTCAACCAATCACGTGACCCGACCCTATCATCTCACTCATCTCCACGACTAACTCTTCTCACACTACCTTATCACCACGTACCGCTAATGTAAACAATGCGACTTCACGAAACGCTATTCCTGGTCTGCTGAAACCTCGTTCTAGGGAAACAGGTTTCCTTAGCTAGGACTTTAGAATCTCGCACCATCGATGTATACTGCATCTCGGAAACGTGCGTACAAAAAATCCGAGCAAAACCATCAATTTGATATCACCTAGTAGAGATAGAAAAACAACACGGTTTACGTTTCGTGTTTCCTGTAGCCCTCCCTGAAGTATGTAGAATAAGTAAAAATAAAGACACGTGGGTCGATCTTATGGTGTCCCTACTGAGGGAAAAGAAAATGGCGAACGTCTGTAGCAACTAAGCTCGGATAACCGCCTATTCCTAGAAAACACTAACTTTAAGCATAAGTAAAAACATCTTACCACCTGGCGACCCCCAAAGTCGTCACAACGTTCGAACTAACAAGATCACATCGCCATGAGCCACCCATGGGGCGGTCCAATGGAGGATTGTCGCTTGTTCTGGGGCACATGTGTAGATTCAGATCATGCTCAAGTGCGAGCGCGTATTTGTTTGACCCTTACTGGACGCAAGAATAATATCACAATGAAACCTCTTAGGGTTCTACTTGATGATGGCACAGCTAAGAATATATTTCAGGAGCAACTAGGAAAACAGTTAGCAGGCCATGTAGGTGATTCCCATCCGGAGGCAGCTTGTAATGACATCAAAAAGGGTGTGCAAACAGCAGTGATATCTGCTGTAGAGGTAAACCCTAATGCTACGAAGAAGCCGCGGATCTCAGTAGCATCTAACAAACTGGTGGATACTCGAAAACTCATCCTGCATGGCTGTGAACATGACGAAGAGTCATGTCAGCTTAAGCGCAGGCTGGTAAAAAGCCTACACAATGATCGCGAACAGTGGTGGGTAGCGAAAGCAAGACCGATGGAAAAGGCAGCGGCGATAGGTAACAATAGACTAGTGTTCAGACTTATCAAGGAAACCAGTGTTAGAAATCTATCCTCTTAGCAAAACCATCCCAGAAAAGGATGGCTGTATCATCCACTCTCAATCCAGGAGATTGGATCGATGGGCAGAACACTTCAGGGATCCGTTCAACTGGCCTTCAGCCACACTTCGGTTACCTACGATCTCCAGTCATCCTGAATGGCAAATCGATGTAGGCCATCCGAACCTTGATGAAGTTGAGAAAGCTATAGGAAATCTGAAGCGAGGGAGAGTAGCAGGCCCTGACAGGCTTACCCCTGAGATTTTTAAGGACGGTGGTCCAGTTTTAACTGTCAGATTGACCGAGATTTCAGGTAGAATTCGGGATCTGGACGTAATCCGATCCGACTGGTCTCAAACACTGATTGTCTATTGTCTATAAGAGGGGACAAAAGTCCTCTTGTGACAATCACAGAGGAATAAGTCTAACTAACTAATACAGTATGTAAATTGTTAGCCTTGATTGTACTTAGACGCCTAACTAGAGCTCGTGAAGAGCAGACTAGAGGAAATCAGGCTGATTTCAGAACTGCCATGGCTGTATAGACCACATATTCACTCTACTACAGGTCCTAGAACAAAGAACCACGTTCAGATGCCACAAAAGAGTAGTATTTCTCGACCTTAAAGCCGCATTAGACTCTGTGGTTTGTGAGGTTCTGTAGCAGTGCCTGTCATTAAAAGGTGTACCAAAGAAGTACAATAACCTTATACAAGTTCTCTACTCGAACACTAAATATCGAGTGAGAGCCTATGGCGAACTGTCATCGGAACTCATTACTTCAAGTGGTGTCCGTCAGGGAATTCCACTTTCCCCATTCTTGTTTAATTTTGTCATAGACATGCTTCTAGATATAACCTTATCTTCGTCTGAATTTTCAGGAGCGAACCTTCTACCAGGAAGATTGCTTGTTGACTTGGAATATGCCGATGACATAGTTCTATTTGGTGTAGACGCTGACAAAATGCTGAGTCTTCTGACTAGCCTAAGCAACAATGCATGCAACTTCGGGATTCGGTTTCCTCCCTCGAAATGCAAAATGTTGCTTCAAGACTGGGTTGCATTGACACCTGAACTAGTGATTGGCAGTGAAGTAGTCGAGCGTGTAGATCGCTTCACTTATCTGTGGAGTCTCATCACTGTTGATGGCCTGGTGACTCAAGAAATCTCAGCTCAAATACAGAGTAGAAGATATTCGTAGGCTACTGGTTTTAGATTATAGATGTCTTAGAAGTATTGCTCGTGTATCGTAGAATAACCGAGTGATCAACGGTGTCTTTAGAAAATGAGTACTACGTAGGGACTCAGAATCGTTTGCAATGGCGCAGGTGCATTTATTCTTAGTGTTCTATAAAATTCTAACCTTCTGAATTCTTCATCACCTCTATCTTTCTGTTTCTAAATTTGTCACTGAATTTTACTTCTTGAATAATATCGTCGAACCCTAATCTTCTCCATTACTGCTAATACTTTTACTAGCTCTACCACTTTGGGATTTGAACTGACAGTTGCGTCTGTGTTTTGATGCGGTATGGCAACCTTAACTTATGTATTCATGTACGAAGTTCTACGTTGTAACTGACTGAATGACTGAAAAGTGACTTCCATTCATAAAAACGCAGAATAGTACAGTACATAGCATAATAAAGACTGACATGGAAATCAATCACGAAAATTAGGGGTGAAAAACAATTATAAAATTGTTTCATACTTCAGCTATCATAAGAGCAGAAAGTGAGTAGTTTACAGCGACCCAAAATTCTTCTGCTTGAAGACTACTAAGATCACGTTTACCATCTGGTAGACAACCGTTAATCGCACCTATAGTGCCTTTTTTAATTCCGTGCCAATTACAATTAGCGATTGTCTGCAGGGTTTTTATCACATGCAATTTCGGTAAAATCTGAAACAAAAATGATAAAATATTTTGAGGGAGCATGTTAGCTTTTACCACAGATTGTTATTGTATGGAGATCAATTACAGTAAAAGATATTCTACACTACGCTTATCAGTATCGAAGAAACATGGCAGTGAGTAAACTGCTGTTCTTAGTATCGGTGCAGCCCATTTTTAAAATGGTTTTGGAAAACGGTAGACCAAGGTTCTATCTAGTTGAGCTATTCAAGTTCAGAAAAATGAGGATAAATAACGAGATAATTGCTTGAACGTATCCTCGCAACAAAATTACATGCTTCTGATAAATAAAAATTTTTTAAGTTAGAGTTATGGAGATTAGTGTTCGCTGCACATTGATTGATCAGAGCTATACACCATTGGATGCCGGCCCAGTGGTCCAGAGATTATGCGTTCGTGCGCAAGGCCGAAGGTCCTGGGTTTGAATCCCGCAAGGTGCAGGAGTCGTGGATGCGCACTGCTGATGAGTCCCGTACCAGGACGAAACGGCTGTCCAGTACTTCCAGGTTTCTAATGGTGGTCTAACAATGATTGATTGATAAATTCAAAATTATATAAACTATAAAAAGAGAGTGAGGCATAGACCTAATAATATTGATTCGTGACAAGCTAGATTCTGATAAATTTACTTAATTCATTCTTTCAAATAAGCTAATGATTAACAATGCTCGTATCTGATTAATTTCATACAAATATAAACATGAAAATTTGAAATACTATTAACTCGTTCTTGTCATATTACTGAGTCGTTAGTCAGTACATTTTTCACTTGCCATGTTGCATATAAATTTACTTTGCGCATTTCGAAGGTTATTTGTTTTCTGAACTGGATGGTTTGATTATAAAGCTTTCGTTGTCTATTTAAAGGAAATCATCACTGCACACTTTCAGAAGAGGTGAGATATTAGAATTTTTTTTCACAATTGACTGGTAGTTTGTTCTATTTGTCTGGAGTTTGATTAGTTGTTTATAATTGTATGCCTAATGTTTGTAAGTTCTGTTTGATTGTTTTTACCCTTAACCCGGTCTTTAAATTTGCAGCTGTTCATCAATTTTCTTTTGAAGACTAAACTATTCAGTTCATAGAACAAAACTCCTAAAACAAATACTCATCTTGAGCTACAAATATTCCTTATTACTTTGTACATTAAATCACAAATACTTCGCATAAATGCGAGTTTACTTCCATACTTTAAATTTTATGCAAATTTCAGAAATATTGGAAAGGGGACAGTTTGTGGGATTGAAAAGCGATTCACTCTAAAGTCTACTGGTCTATATAAGCAGGTTCATTCTTATTGATTGAGCGTTCAAGTCCTGATTAAAACTAATCATGGTGAGGTTTGATGATTTTAAAGTATATCTTGAAATCATGGCAGAGAAAACTTGGAAATGTTATTGCATTTCGTTGAACCTCACTAAATATCGCATCACGTTCCTGTCGATTTCAACAAAATATCTCCAACATCCAAACACACAGTTTGTTTCCACTTGTAATCGGACGAGATCTGTAAATATAAAAAACCAATAAATATGATTTCCTTAACAACTGACAATCAATTTTATTTTCTGAAGCATACCAAATTCGGTGGCACTCCAGTGATACGTGCAAACCAATATCCGCTTAGCTGACCGGCCATAATAACTTCTCGTCCAGGAGTACAATGTGTTTGGAAAGCGTAATATGAACCTTGAGAGTCAGAACAACGAATAATAATAATAATAATAACAGTAATAAATGATTTGAAATCCTAAACTTGAAAGAAATATATCAACAAACATATCAGTCAAATAGTATCCCCTGACCACGCGAATTTATTAACCACCTGTATTAACCTGACATTTAGTAGTGCTAAAAATGACAACATGAAATCCTATAAGTCAAGAATACAGATTTTCTCACCTCTTGATAAATATATACTTAGTAGTATTTTTGAGAAAGGTCAAAAGAAACACAGTGATGTGTAGATATGCTAATCGAATAAAGAATTCACAAATGATAAAATAACGACAATGTCGACTTACTACCGATAAAAGATGGTTATTCTGGTAGCTCGTAACGAGAAGCAACGTACATTACTGTATTCAACATAATATCAATGAGAAGTAGTTTCACTATCGGAATAAAAACCTATGTGCAACTACTACCAATCTATCTATGTTAATTCATAAACGCTTAGGGATAAGTGCCCGACCGTAGCTGCAACATTGACGTGGTGGTCAGGTTTGGCAAGCATGCGAAACCAACCGAGATATATTAGCTGGAAACCTGTTTCTTAAGGTCTCACTATGCCAGGCAGGTCGATTAGAGAACAGTAAGACCAAAAGCAGCAACAAACGATCCGAGGGCGAAGTCTTACTGCTCACTGTAGCGGCGTGTGACAGTGGCAAGGTGTCTCCATCGGACAACCAGCGTCTGCAGCGATTCTCCCTTCTCACAAAGGAGGAACGGGTTAGAAAAGGCCGACCCTAAAAATGTCACACCTCGACTTACCTCACAGATTCGCGTCTCCAGAGGTAAGGCCTTTTGAAGAGCAGAGCTAACACGGTACAAACTTCACATAAAAAAGCAGTGCAAGGCCGGCATCAAGTAACTGTCCCTTGATTTCTGCGGTCACGCTCCCAGATTTGTAAGACCAACAATAACCCAGATTCCCTTCTAGGTTCCTCAAGAAATACCCTTCTACTAAGTGGGTCAACGAGAAGTGACATCCATTTTTATAACCCAGAAAAATAGACGAAATTGACTTGTTAGCAATCAAAACCTTCCCTCACCTTTTAATAAAACTCATGTCTCCATGAATAACCCTTCTCGTGTAACTTTATCAATCTGCATCACTAATGCGAACGATTCCAGTAGGCGAAACTTTGTTCCTAGTCTCCTGAATCCCCGTCCTAAACTACATATTGAAGCTTTTACTGTTCAAACCTTGTACCGAATAGGACAACAGGCTTCCTTAGCTAGGACTTTAGATTTTGGTGCCATTGATGTAAGCTGCGTCTCCGAAACACGCATACAAGATACGAATAGAATCATCAATTTAACTTCATTTTTTCCAAATAAAGAACCTTACTGATTTACGCTTTGTGTATCTGGAAGCCCTACTTCTGCTTCCCAGGGTCTCGCTGGCGTAGGTATAGTATTAAGTCCTAAGGCAGAACTAGATCTCTCACGCTGGATCCCTGTAGATAGTCACTTATGCGCTGTCTATCTAAACGGGACAGGAAAGACTCATAAAGATTAAGATATTCGCCACTGCCTCTTCGTCTACTCTGTCTACGCACCTACTGACTGCAGCTCAGATAAGGTAAAAGATGAATTTTACCGAAAACCCTCTAACCATCTCCGAAATTCTAAGCACTCTGATGTGATAATGGTGGCTGGAGAATACAGAGGACAAACTTTTATTTATTGAAGTCGCTGATAAAATGTAGAGTCTTCTGACTACCCTAAGCAACAATGCAATCATGTTCGGGATACGATTCTTCCGGTCGAAATGCTTCAGGATTGGCTCGCATTGGCACCTGGACTAGTGATAGGGAGTGAAGAAGCTGAACGTGTTGACCGCTTCACTTATGTCGGTAGTCCCATCCGTGCTAATGGCCTGATGTCTGGCGAAATCTCAACACAGATACAGAAGGTTCGACTGGCTTTTGGCCACTTGCATCACTTCGTCTGCTAACCGAAAAACGAGTTTACTGCGCAGCAGTTCGTACCATCCTACTACAAGGGTATGAAAAATGGCCTATAACAATGTGGGTAAATGTGGGCTACTTGTATTCGACTACAAGAGTCTTCAAAGTAATTTTCGCATATCCTGGGACCATCGAGTAAGTAATGCTGTCGCCAGGAAAAGAGTACTAGATAAGGATGGAAAATCAATGGATGAAGTGGTGAATCATCAGTTGAGGTGGTTGGGACGTATGTTCAATCAATCAATCAATAAAAACTTAGAACTTTGCACGTAAGTACATCAGTTCAAGTTGCCATACCAAATTTGAACAGAGATGTAATTGTCATTTCAACTCCCATAGTACTAGAGGTAGTAGAAGTATTGGCAGTAATCAGAGAGATTAGGGCTTGAATATGTTATTCAAGCAGTAAAATTCCGTGACATAACTGCTGCGCAGTACACTCGTCCTTTAGTTAGCGAATGGATATCACACCTGCGTCATTAGTGACGAATGTTGGCAAAAGCCAGTCGAGCTTTCTATATCCGTGTTGAGATTTCGATAGTCACCAGGCCATCAACAGTGATGAGACTCCATAGATAAGTGAACCGATCTACACGCTCGACTACTTCACTGCCAATCACTAGTTCAAGTGTCGATCCAACTCAATCTTGAAGCAACATTTTGCATTTCGAGGGGAAAAACCGCATTCCCAACTTGCTTGCATTGTTGCTTAGGGTAGTCAGAAAACTCAGCATTTTGTCAGCGTCTACACCAAATAGAACTATGTCATCGGCATATTCCAAGTCAACAAGCAATCTTCCTGGTAGAAGGTTCGCTCCTGAAAATTCAGACGAAGATAAGGTTATATCTAGAAGCATGTCTATGACAAAATTAAACAAGAATGGGGAAAGTGGAATTCCCTGACGGACACCACTTGAAGTAATGAGTTCCGATGACAGTTCGCCATAGGCTCTCACTCGATATTTAGTGTTCGAGTAGAGAACTTGTATAAGGTTATTGTACTTCTTTGGTACACCTTTTAATGACAGGCACTGCTACAGAACCTCACAAACCACAGAGTCTAATGCGGCTTTAAGGTCGAGAAATACTACTCTTTTGTGGCATCTGAACGTGGTTCTTTGTTCTAGGACCTGTAGTAGAGTGAATATGTGGTCTATACAGCCATGGCAGTTCTGAAATCAGCCTGATTTCCTCTAGTCTGCTCTTCACGAGCTCTAGTTAGGCGTCTAAGTACAATCAAGGCTAACAATTTACATACTGTATTAGTTAGTTAGACTTATTCCTCTGTGATTGTCACAAGAGGACTTTTGTCCCCTCTTATAGACAATAGACAATCAGTGTTTGAGACCAGTCGGATCGGATTACGTCCAGATCCCGAATTCTACCTGAAATCTCGGTCAATCTGACAGTTAAAACTGGACCACCGTCCTTAAAAATCTCAGGGGTAAGCCTGTCAGGGCCTGCTACTCTCCCTCGCTTCAGATTTCCTATAGCTTTCTCAACTTCATCAAGGTTCGGATGGCCTACATCGATTTGCCATTCAGGATGACTGGAGATCGTAGGTAACCGAAGTGTGGCTGAAGGCCAGTTGAACGGATCCCTGAAGTGTTCTGCCCATCGATCCAATCTCCTGGATTGAGAGTGGATGATACAGCCATCCTTTTCTGGGATGGTTTTGCTAAGAGGATAGATTTCTAACACTGGTTTCCTTGATAAGTCTGAACACTAGTCTATTGTTACCTATCGCCGCTGCCTTTTCCATCGGTCTTGCTTTCGCTACCCACCACTGTTCGCGATCATTGTGTAGGCTTTTTACCAGCCTGCGCTTAAGCTGACATGACTCTTCGTCATGTTCACAGCCATGCAGGATGAGTTTTCGAGTATCCACCAGTTCGTTAGATGCTACTGAGATCCGCGGCTTCTTCGTAGCATTAGGGTTTACCTCTACAGCAGATATCACTGCTGTTTGCACACCCTTTTTGATGTCATTACAAGCTGCCTCCGGATGGGAATCACCTACATGGCCTGCTAACTGTTTTCCTAGTTGCTCCTGAAATATATTCTTAGCTGTGCCATCATCAAGTAGAACCCTAAGAGGTTTCATTGTGATATTATTCTTGCGTCCAGTAAGGGTCAAACAAATACGCGCTCGCACTTGAGCATGATCTGAATCTACACATGTGCCCCAGAACGAGCGACAATCCTCCATTGGACCACTCTCCATGGGTGGCTCATGGCGATGTGATCTAGTTGTGTCCATAATTGGGGTGGGACGTCTGATACGTAGGGCGTACCACCGACTGCCTCGACGAGCAATGTTGTTTAGTATAGAGAGAGACAGGAAGAAAGCTGGAGGCGGCTGGACCAGAACATTGCGCAAATACATGAAGTCACTGACGAGTGGACTGATTCATGTTGGTAGATGTAAACCACGAGTCAATAGTAATCGATGGATAGAGACTTTGAACGGCATGGCCTAAAACCTTTTGCAATCGCTCAAAAGCCTCTGCCCTTGGTCTTTTGCAAATTCTTGTTTACTGAATTCCTCATGACAGTTTGTCTCTTTTTAGATTTATTTCATTGCCTTACGCATCTCAAATTATGTTTTTGTTCCCTAATCTTTTCCATTACCAGCAATATTGCTACAACCTCTACTACTGTGTGATTGGAGCTGACAGCTCCATCTTTCCGTGCTAATGTGGTTTGGCAACTTGAATTGACGTATCTACATACGAAGTTCTTCGTTTAACTCGACTAGCAGTATGTAGTAAACATTTTAGTTTATTAAATGCAAACCTGGACCAACGTTATAGTTCCTAGATACGAGTATTGTAACCTAACCATTGTATAAGCTGAGGATAATCAACTTATATTTGTTTGACTGCTATTCACTTAGTAGTACCACAAACATCATGTAAGATAAGATAAAGTATATAGTGTCACTGAATATAGCTCACATCTTTGGCTTCCGTAGTTACACTGAAAGTCATTCAAACCAACCATTTTGTCAGTTTATACGACGATTACATGAAATAAAATATAGTTATGTTAGATCAGTCTTCTTGAGTATAGCAAAACTTATGAGAACTAATATTACGTATGCGGTTATTTAACTTAATCAAAAACCAGCTTTTAAACACATTAACACTCATATTAATACTTAATGCCATATTGGCAGAATCTTTTCTTGTTTACTCGTGTCAATTTGTTTTGATAGTTGATAGAAAACATTGACCTGAAAGTAATTTCCACTAGAAGCATCACCGAATAAATTAACGAGTAAATTTTAACAGTAATAATATAACAATACAACTTGAGATAGTCTCTTTAACTAATCATAATAAAATACATATTACAAACATGTGTATAACATAGTCAGGCTGATAATAACAGCGTAATAGTGATGAAGTAAATGGTAATTAGTTTAAACGTTCAACAAATGAAAACTCTACTATTCGAGTGAAGTACTGATAATAGATAGAGTTTTGTATTATTTTTTCCCCTCAAGTTTATGTAGATATTAAATAGATAGATAGACATAACTATAATCGGTAAAATCGAGAATTTTCATTTTCACTAAATTATTATTCCTATGAACAGTAACAATGCTCAACTATTGTTTACAGTGATTTTAATTAGTTCAGATTAAGTTTTTTTCTTTCTATACTACGCATTCTTTAAAAAAAAATGTTCAGTCCTAGTTATAAAGAAATGATTCACTATTAACAAACACTAAAACAACAATACTATTTACACGAATTATATCTATGTGACAATACACACAAAAAAAAAATCAAATCATCATAATCTTAAAATCATTGTTTGAGTGGTTAAAGTTGCATATACACGTTATTTGATCAAATATCGATCGATAGAGTACAGAGTACTTTACTTTATAATTCATTATGTAAGATAGTGACATCGCATTGTTAAAATTTCTAACTGAGAGGTTAATGTAAAAAAAAGACAATATACTGGGAATGTTCGAATAATTAGATACATTTTTTTTACAACAATTTAGCCGCCAATGCTGAGAAATAAAATAGGCAGTTAAAAATAGTACATGTAGCAACAATTCAGTTAGGAATACAAAAAACCAAAGTGAGAATGTTATGTAGGTAGATATGAAAGAGGAAGAAATGTGAAATTCCATGTTGGAGAACAAAAACAGGGTTTCATATCAAACAAATTTTGAATGTTTTAATTGCGCAATACATGTTAGACTTAACTAAACTTCGTAATGGATTATCCAGAAGTTATCGATAAGATAGGAATCCTCCAAGTTCACAAGATGTTCAACAGTTTACATTAACGTGATCTTTATTCTTAATATAATAGTGTACGGATAGCTGACACTAACTTACAGGTTTATGCATAAAAGATAGACTGATGTGTGTTGAATCACATTTAATCTGTTTTATACATTTTCTTACATATGTCCTTGTCAAATGTTAGAAATATAAGATTGAGTTTCCCCAAATGTCTATAGAACAAAAGTTAAACATGTCATTACTTGGTTGTATTTTTCTGCGAAAGCAATTATTTCATTAAATTCCACATGACTTTTACGTTTCAGTTTTTATTCATGTATATTATATTATGGTAACGAAATCATAATTTTAAAAAATCCAGGGTAATTTAAACGAATCCAGGGAAATATCTATATCGGTGATGGCGAACAATTAGGTTACATTCGATAGGCCTTACATCTTCTGCTTCTATATATAAATCTACTTTTTATAAACACCATATACAAAGAATAAATAGATTTAAAATTTAAAATACATTTTTTTAAGGTGAAAATATGATTTTAAAAACAAAATCACTAATGGGAAACTAAAAAGTACATCAAATGCGCATTACTGAGTCCCATATTAGAATGAAACGCCCTAATAGTGCTTCCAGGTTGCTAATATTGGTCCAGCTAGGATCAGTTCGTGATTTCAACTATGAAAATAATACAATCTACATAAATCCCCTTCATTAATAAATTATCAGTCTATTACTTAGGTTGTTTAAGTTAACAATAATACAGATAATAAGCTTGATAATTATACAGACTAACAATATAAAGAATATTTAGCTATGACTTATTAATTGATAACTAGCTTCCATTAAAATGTTTTTCAGTAAAAGAGGATAAACTATTTAACTGGAAAATTAAAATTACTTACCTGTCCATAGTTTGGCATTGTATGAATCGCGTGCTTTAATGAATAACTTTTGAACGTCATCTCTAACTTCACTCCAAGAACGTTGAGTATCATCTATATTGTTAATCATTTGATCATAAACAGGTGAATCACTTTTTAAACACCAAGAGAGCATATCAAGTGTAGCATATAGGCAGGCAAGCCAAATGCCACCAGTGTAAGCGCTAAAATTAAATGACAAAAACAAAAGCATTACAAAAAACAGACAATATCAAACTCAGACAGATAGACAGAGAGACACAACGCAGAACTTCGTACGTACGTACATCAGTTCAGGTTGCCATGCCCCATATCGAACTCAATGACAAAAGTATCCGTTATGCCTGACATTAGAACATGGTCAATCCAAAACACTAACTGTATACAGCAAATAGACAAAATCAACCATTTCAATAGTTTATATCTAAACAATCACAAATAAGTCAAAAATTTAAGAAAATTATATGTCGTTTTAAAGTAACCTGAAAGCTATCAGATAAACAGTGGATAAGTTTGGTGTATAGAATAAAATCTCATATAATTAAATGCAGCATGTAAGGAAGTGGGTTATGTCATATGGATGCTTGGTTTGGTTACTTTATCGAAAAAAAGAAAAGAAAATGGTTTTTGAAAGTTTTGTGAGCTAAAAACATCTAAAATGTGTTGGATCACAATTTAATGAAATAATTAAAGTGTATTTCGGAAAAATGACAACAGATTTTTTTAGTAACGATTCATCAAATCTTCAATAATTAGGATGAGTTGTCATTCGAATGTAGATAAATCGTAACAATTTATTTGCGACGATTAAAGCTTTAATAACTAACCCAGTCATTAAAATGAGCACAACACTACTCAAATCCATCAATACAGAGCTAAAAATCATTTTCATCAAAATGGAATTAAAATCAGTAGCACATAGACGTGTTAGATATTTTATAGTCAAAAGTTAGGTAAAAACTAGCTTCCTTAATCGAACGATCTACTAGAAATCGCATAGAAATTATTCACTTTTCAGACTTCAAGCAATCCAACAGCTATTTATCTATATTTTTTTGAAAATAACACACCATTAGAATGGTCTGCTAGAAATTTCAGTACTCGATCATAAAAATAAATCAGCTATTTATACAAATCGATGATCGTTTCCAGTTTCTATTTGATAAAAATAAAAAATAAAGGTATCATGAACGAACATCAATATTTCTAAATTTTTCGAAGGCATCATAGAATATTATTAACAACTAGGAATAAGTAGATGCACAATTCATGGAGTACAGCCAGGCAAAATTGGAAAAAAGTACACCTAATGATAACTGATGCACACTACAGGATCCACAAATACCAACAAAACATGGAAGAAAAAAAGAGGAAAGAGAAAAGCATACTCACATCAGAACAATCAACAATCTTGACAAGGGTGATCGAAATGTCAGTCAGACGACACAGATAGCAAAGAAGGAACATCCTCAAAAAAACTAATCCAGATTTAAAAACCACACATAGGAGAAAACGCAAACAATTACGTGGTAAACCTGTCAAAAACATCCGTCAAACATGAGACATCTTCAAATAGGCTTGAATTGCAACACAACTGATGCTTTATAACTAGAGTTTTTTAATGCACTAGAGTCACCACCCAAAACGGCCGGAACAAATGAATTATCTCAACAAGAAATAAGACAAACTGTAGTACCAATAACTTGACAGAAATCAGACAACATCCCACCAATGACACAAGAACGAAAATCCTTAAGGAAACTCAGGACTAAGAAGGATATTGTCATTGTTCCAGCTGATAAAGGATGCATTATAGTAATTATGGACAAGGAAGAATACGGCAGGAGAGCCGAGAAACTACTTGAGGACAGAAATGTACATAAATCAATGACACAAACCAAATCGAAAAGTTAGACAACTAAACTCTAAGGACTTTAAACAAGCTTATCAATGTAGGACAAATATCGTAACAAGATCAATCGAGAATGAAATTAAATGAGCCGGTTATCTCACGATCCTACGGCAGACTGAAACTACGAAAACCCAATTTTTCACTACTTCCAATTATATCGGTCCCTGGAACTCCAACATAACTTACTAAGAGAAATTTCAAAAATGTTGAAGCATCTAGTGCATTCGTTCAATTAGTCTATTAAATCTCTCAAACTTAAGGAGGTCCAAATGGACAACGAGCAACTTATAATATCCTTCGATGTAACAGACTTATTACCCTTGTGGTGCGCGCTACTTATAAGTAGTTATGACGCGAGTGAAAACGTAATGTCTGGCAGCAGAAGATGGGAGAAGATCAAGAAAGGAAGAGTGGGAACACAATGGAATTTGTATGAAACGCATGAATAGTGAAATCTCAGACAATGAATTGATGATGGATTGAAGATTTGCAAATTAACCGTTTACGATATGGTTTTCCTATTTTACTGAGTAAATCTGTAATTTGCGATAAATACAATTCGGTTGCCCTCACCTGTGTTCTCCTTCACTACACCCTCGATTGAACCAAGCTTGGAAAAAGAAATTATATCTCTGCTCCTCAGTAAAGACAAAAACCTCCCAGTGTGCGAAACTTCAAAGTAAAAGTCTACTAGAACTCATTGATTTATGCTTAACAACATATTCGCAATTCAACAAAATCTACAAACAAACGAAAGAAACATGAACAGGATCACCAATATCAAGATTTGTTGCAGAAGTATTGATTCAGAGATTAGAAGCCTCGCTCAAGCCAAAAATGAGGGTTAGTTATGTAGACATCTTCATTATCATCAAGAGGAACGAGTTACAAAACACCTACAACCTGATCAACAAGGTCATTAACGAAATAAAATTCAAAATGGGAAAGTAGCCAAACAACAGATTCTTGTTACTGGATGTCTTATTCAACAGAACTGACACAATAAAAGTGGATACCCAAGTATATGAGAATCCAAACCACAAAGATCTTATTCGCAAATACAGTAGCAACAACCTCACAACTCACAAAACAAACTACGTACACACTTTATTCAAGAGAGCGAAAACAACGCAGAATACATGACGTAAAAAAAAACCGAAGGAAAATATCTCGTGAATATCTGCCAAAACAAAGGCTATCCATGCTGCTTCATCAGATAATATTAACTAAAACCATCAACCGTTACAAAATTAAGCACAGAAACCAACAAATGGATCATTCTACCACACAAAAAGACATCGAAAATTACTGCACGATTATTGAAACCATTAGGAATACGTGTATCACATGCACCAAGAGAATCACTTCAGTTAATCCTAAGTAAATCAAAGGACAAACGAAGAAAAATTGATCATCATTTACAAAAAAAGCTGTTTAAACTGCGAAAAACACTACATCAGACAACGTAGACGCCCCCTTCAGCTGCACCTGCGTGAACACTAAATTAGCAGTCAAATGCTATGCTATACCTTCCCCTATATCAATACATGTGAACAATTGTGGGCATACATTCCAGTGGAAAAATGTTAAAATTTTTGATAACGGAAATAAAAAACATTGGAGAATTTTTATAAGTTTGGTGCTCAGGTCAGTCAGCAATCAATAAGCAGATCGAAATCAACCCAACTTAACAAATTCTTATCTTCTGAATCCCTCATGACCGTTTTTCTCTTTTTAAATTTATTTCGCTGCATCATACTTTCTCGAAGCATGTCTTCGGTCTCCAATCTTTTCCATTACTGAAAATACTGCTGTCACCTCTACTTATGTGGGATTTGAACCGACAATTTGATCTCTTTGTGCTAATGTGGTATGGCAACTTAAACTGAGGTACCTATGTACCAAGTTTTACGTTGAAGCTGAATTACTCCATGTAACAGAACAAGGAACAAATATAAACGGAAATATCACAAACTGAAGACTGAGATAGATAAGAGGAATGAATAATGACCCAATGCACCATATATTGAATTTCAGCCACCACCAAGAGTGAATGCAGATTCAGGGTCCTGTGAGTATTGTTAAAGTACTTAGCACTTCGAAATGGTAAAGCACACACCATAACTATGGGCACTGATTGTCAACCTACTAATTACGATTTAAACAGCTTGAGTATCATCGCACAGTAAAAAAACAATTATTCGCATACTCAAGGTTGAAAAATTTTCCTCAAGATTACAGATCTACACCACTACTACCTACATCCATCGGAGCTATTTTCAGGACGTCATCGATGGTAAAGATGAAGAATTGTGAGATTGAGAAACTCTGTCTAACCTCATGGATGTGTGATTATATGCTATCACACTTAGCCTTATGTGTGCGCACGTAGTGCTTTCAAGATGCTAATAAATCTCTCAGGCTCACCCTACTTCAATAGACAATACCGGAAAACAGCTTTGTCCAATAGAGGGAGATTCTGATGTCAAGAAACACAACGACCGTTGGTTTGCGATAAGCGTGACGGTGTTTCATTGTTTGGTGGAGAATCGAAATATGATCAAAGCATCCTTGACCAAAAAGAAAACCAGCCTGCTTTTCGTGAATTAATCTCGGATTTTGAACAATCTAAAAACTATGACGGAAGAAAATAATTTGGACACAATGGGTAGTAGACTCATCTCTCGATAGTTGTTACATAGACGGTGTGAACTCTTTTTAACTGTTGATGATGATGAACTCTTATTAAACAGAATAACAGCTGTCAACTCACTCCACAATGATAAGATACTCCCTAATTCCCAAACGGTTAGAGGCAACTCAGTCGGTCTCTTAGTCAGAAGGTCCCTACTATCTTTAACAAGGGTCGGAGGTTATTATTATTAATGTTCATGTTCATAAGGGCAGTACTATATTTCGATTTCAAAATAATAACATGAAGAGTTTTAATAAGTATTTTGTGAAAGTTATATTCCACTTGTAGATACTTCTCTTTATTAAGAATTGAAACTGGGGAAGAATTAATTATATCTGAGACACACTGGATTGCTGTTTTGTTTTATCGTCACTTGTAATTTTACGCAGCCGAAAAGTTCCACAAAAGAAGACAGTTGATTTTAACTTATTTCAAAAATGAGAAACTATTCGGAATGAAATACTCTATTTTTAAGCGGGAAATGAATTGCAACATTACAGCTGTCAAAATTAAGACTAACTCAGCAAGTAATAATGTGAACTTACGTTAAGCCTTTGGCAGACCATGTGTCATATGTTTGATCAGGAAAGCCTGAATTTTCAATTAGTCCGTCATTGTCAGAGTCCCATGCTACTACAGACTTTCTCAGAATCCTCTAGGAAAGAAAATAAATTTCATCCAAAGTCAATCTCAGGAATTTATGAAATAAAACTATGAATAGTGGAGAATTATTGATGTAATAAACTTTGGTCTTTTACGATAACTATATACATAGAATTAAAAATTGACCGAATAGTTTTCAAATAATTGAATTACTATGTCTTTCGTTTATTTCTTACAAGATCAATATTGAAATACACTCTAGAAGCAAGTCTACTCCTTAGTGGATAGATAATCACAGAGTAAAAACAAATTTAAAATGTTTCGTATGTTATGAAAGAAACCCTTGAAATATTTGATGTATACTATACAAATTAATGACATATATATGACTTAATACTGTGCAACAAAGTACGAATTGACCACTGAATTCAATCAATTCACCTAATCGAAAATGTTTTTAAATGATAAGGTTTACGCATGAATAAAAGAAGTCCAGTTAAAAACCGGTACTTCATAAAAGATAAAGCAGTTTATTGTATTAGTCAAAAGGTTAACAGATTTTTAATTAAATTCAAAATACCGCATGAATACTTAGATCCATTGAGATCTCATGTTTCAATACCACCAAAAGAACTTATTTCTTCTAATGTATTATGACGGTTCCAAAGAAAAATTCAAGGCACTTTCTTACGATCGGCATAAACAGAATGAGAACATGACGTTTGTTACTTAGCAAGGGATTGTAAAACGACTTGAAACTGAACGATAAAAGCTAGTCAGTTTTTTCAAAGATTATCAATAAATATAGTTTGAAAATTCATTCAAGCTAGGAAAATAAAACTTTTGTTTCGAATTAGTTTTGTATATCATATAAAAATACGACTCATTTGTAGTAAAATACAATTACGAACTGGAAGACTATGGGCTGCTAATTTTCAGTAGAATGCGAATTTGAAGAATGAAAGGATAAAAATGTTAGTGCTTTCACAACTAAATTCATTCTGAAAAGAAAAGAAATTCCAAAAGTGATTGCATCACTTTATTACTGTTTTATTAAACTTTTGAGGGTAAAGACGGTTAGTGGAGCGGTCTATTACTCGTTAGGGCATTTATTTACATCCACTCAGGACAAGGTTCGAAAAATTTCCGCATTAACTTCGACTTGTGCAACCGAGTGGTATTATTAGGCGTCATGCATACAATGTAGCTTGAGGCCATAACCAATACTTCAGTGAATCTGCCACTTACAACGTAGAACTTCGTACGTACGCACAAAAGTCAAAGTTGCAATAGAACACTAGCACACAGAGATCAAATTGTCAATTCGAATCAAATAGTAGTAGAGGTTGTAGAAGTATTAGCAGTGATCGAAGAGATTGCAGTTCGAAGATATTATTTACGAAGTATAATTCAATGAAATAACACTAAAAACAGAAAGATAAGGGTGTTAAAGAATTCAGAAAATAAGGATTTGAGATAACACAAATAATGGATGCACCTGTGCCAACGCAAACGATTTTGAGCCACATCATTCAAAGTCTCCAACCATCGATTACTATCATATCGCGGACGTCAATCAGGTAGACTACATCTACCAACAAGACTCAGTCCACTTGTCACTGACTTCATGGATTTCTGCCATGTTTCGGTTTGACCGCCCTTAACTTTCATTCAACCTACTCCTATACCACGAAACATCGCCCTTCGAGAGAAAGTTGGAGGTTGGGGCTTCGTAACACCAGCCAACTGAACCGAAGAAGTTTCAAAACCTCATCTACTGGTCTGCCATCTCAACCTAACAACTTTCTCCTAACAACAACATTGCTTACTGGATTGTTACACGAGCAATCCTTCGGATACACCTGTGATCGAAAACCAGTAACCTACGACTATCTTCTACTCTCACTGGTCATGTCTCACACCCAGAGAGTACGACAGAGCGAACAGCTGCGCAGCACACTCGTCCTTTGGTTATCTCGCCTGCGTCATAAGTGACGAAGGTAGGAAAAAGCCAATCGAGCATTCTGTATATGTGCTGAGATTTCGTCAGTCACCAGGCCAGTACCGATGAGACTCCCCAGATAAGTGAAGTGGTTCACACGCTCAACTGCTTCACTCTCTATCACTAGTTCAGGTGCCGATCCAACCCAATCCCGAAGCAACATCTTTTATTTGGAGAGGGAGAATCACATCCCGAACATGACTGTATTGTTGTTTACGGTGATCAGGAGACTGCATTTTGTCAGCGTCTGCATCAAGTAACACTATGTCATCGGCATATTCTAAGTCAACCAGCGGATTTGCTGGTAAAATTCCAACTCCTGAAAAGTCAGAAGATGAAAGTGTCGTATCTAAAAGCATACCAATGATAAAGTTCAACAAGAATGGAGAAAGTGGACAGCCCTGATGAACACCAATACAAGTAGGAATCGATTCTGATGACAAGTCGCCATAAACTCTCACTCGACCAGTGGTGTTCGAGTGGACGGCTTGTGTAAGGTTGATGTACTTCTCTGGTACACCTCTCAATGATAGACACTGCCATAAAACCTCACGATCGACAGAGTCAAAGGTCGCTTGAAGGTCCAGGAAGACAACTATTGTCAGACCCTGTATGTGTGTCTGACTTCTAGGACCTGTCGAAGTGTGAATGTGGTCTAGACAGCTATGCCCTGTTCTGAAACTAGCCTGATTTTCTCCAGACTACTTTTCACTAGCTCCAGTTAGGCATCGAAGTATCATTGAGGCTAACATTTTAGAAACTTTATTGGTTAGACTGATTCCTATGTGATTGGCACACTGAGACAATCTGTGAGTGAGACTAGTTAGATGCGATTATGTCCAGTTCCCAGAATCCAGATGAGATATCAGTCGATCTTACTGCTAAAACTGGACCACCATTCTCAAAAATCTCAGTTGTAAGCCTGTCAGAACCTGCTGCTCTATCACGCCTCAGATTTTCTATCGTTGGAGGACTTACATCGATTTACCATTCAGGTTGACTGGAGATCGTGGGTAACCGAAGTGTGGCTGAAGGCCAGTTGAACAAATCTTTAAAGAGTTCTACTCATCGATCTAATCTCCTGGGTTGAAAACGAATGATACTATCATCATTTTCTGAGATAGTTAGCTAACAGATAGATTCCTGGTACCAGTTTTCTTTATAAATCTGAACAGTTGTCTACTGTTACCTATCGCCGCTGCCTTTTCCATCGCTCTTGCTTTCGTTACCCACCACTGTTCGCTATTACTGTGTAGGCTGGTTATCAGCCTACGCTTAAGCTGACTTTACTCTTCCTCACGTTCAGAGCCAAGCGGTACTGTTACTTCAACACATGAACATTGGTATAAAGGAGCACAAGAATAAATATGTGCCATATAAATAAATAGAATTGCGTGTGGGCTAGAAGACTACCTGCCTGCTTAAACGGAATCAGGTGGTTTATTTACGAGGTTAACTTCCGCGACTTTGATCAAAAAGGTCAAATTACCAAGGTAGTTGATCAGCGTTAAGAGGTGCAGTCCCACAGTATTTAGTGAGAAAGAATAGGCACATAAGCCATTTGGTCTCTCACGATCGTAGAGCCCATGTGCACCTTAGGTTGGCAGTCAGGGTTTATCAATTCTTCTAGGTGGACCTTCCGTACATAAGAACATGGTTTAGGCGACGGATATTTGCTTTCCATCGTCTTAATTTCGTAAATAACATCTCCACTTATAGAAGGCGGTGAGTTGGACTTCCGTATCAGTGGCTACAAGATGCTCAGCCACATAAGAGCATTTTGAGCGAAAGAACAAACTGTCCCCAATCTCGGTCGCATCAGGTTATTTGAGGGCCAAATACCTGGTGAACAAGTCTACGAAAAGTCAGAAAATATATATACCTTTATTACTTAACCTATAAACTGTGCTAACAGATAAGCAGGCGACGGTAAAAGGTATTAAGCTTTTTTTCAACACATACGCTGAATATAAGGTGGAATTATCATATAAAATATATCATGACTTAAAATAAATTGAGAGCTAGAAATTCTACTCTTACTTATTCTCTACTAATACTGATGGTTACACAATCAATATGCACACGAAAAGCTTACTGAAATGATCGGAAGCATATACAATAAGTACTGATGATCCTGTGTTATGCGCCAGTCACGCCAAACTTGTAAAATTAATTTCGAATTCAAATCTTTCCATGTGTCTGTAGGAAACATTATGTAAGCGTTAGTACATCGCCATGGTTCATCTTCTGGATCACCGAAATCATGAACAACAGCACATTCAGAACTTCTGAATAACGTTTTCCCATTATAAATATAGTAAACTGAAGTTGAGTCTTCAGCTATAGTCAAATCGGCGCAGTCATAATTTAAAGCTAATTGTATTTTAGGCCATAATTTAATTAAAGCCCATGATGCATCATGATGCACATCGTATGTATTGTACATTCGATATTCATGACCTAAGATATAAAGATGAAATGAAGAAACTGGAAGTAATCAAATAAATATCAGAAAACTATTAAAAATCAATCGAGAATGCTATAGCCGTGCTATCGTACAAATAATACTCATGAAATATACGAGAACTCAGCTTTGTAGGCGATATTTTATCATAACAAATTACAGAATGCTGCATAAAAAAACTATATCGATATTAGATTTGTCTTACTCGTCTATTTTATTCTTTTTTTCTATTACTTATGTCTTTCTGTATGCGATTAATCAACAGTTATACCTTTTTTTTTACTGATTAACAAACTAATGTTTAACAAGAATATTAGACTGTTAAAGGAGTTAACAAAGATAACTGCAAGTTTAGTGTAGATCATTTTTCATAATTAAGCGAATAAATAATTTTTAAAAAGAACCTTAAATCCGAAAGGTGTTAAGGAATATAAATCTCAGAAGTTGTTAGCACAGACTTGGTCTTAAAGTAAATACTCTGACAACGATCGATAAAAATCATTTCAGATACACAATTCACTTCTTACCTTCAAGATATCCAAATAAACCTATTTCACGTGCTAATCTAGCACGATGATCCCAAGAACTGACTTTTACATCTTCAGTTATTGTAGTTGGAGTTTTAATTTTACGACCAGTCAACCTATATGGATCTAGATCCATACCATTTTTGTAACCTCGTACAAGATCCAGTGGTATACAATTCGTCAGATCTGATTTAAAACAATCAACTTGAATTGGATCTAACCATATAGTACCACCATCACTAAGATAATATAATTCATTGAATATGGCAGATTTATACCAATCTGGGAGCGATCTGTATGGAAGAAAGCAACGATTTTATTAAACAGTCGTAAGGAAATAAGCAGAACAAAATGTAATTAAAGCAAAGATAGGGAATATTACACCCACTGATTTCAAGTGTTATGACATTTAGATACAATAAAAATTTTTAACGATTTACAATATGGAAATATCAAAATGACACAGTTTTTCAAGCATCGTTCATTAAGAAAGCTATAATAAGCCTATTGAAGAAAATAAAAAAATAGATAATTCAGAATTGACAATGGTCTACAAAAACTATGACTAGTGTTGATTATGATTCACATTACAATAATATATATATCGCCAAAATATGTGTAATATCAAACCCATAAATCATGAGAATAATTAAAATAACATAAAGTTAAAAAATACAACAACAATAAATATTTCTAAAGAAAAAGTTAGATAAAAAGTAAGATTATTTATATGAACACAGTCATTTACCAGAACTATAACCCATGAAATTAAATGCGTCAAAATAGATTCATATAAAGAATAACAATCAGTCAGTCGGTTACAACGTAGAACTTCTTACCTACGTACATTAGTTAAAGTTGCCATACCAAATTAGCAAAGAGATGCGATTGCCCATATAAATCACACAGTGGCAGATGTAAACGGTGATTAAGACTAGTCAGATGGAATTATGTTCAGTCTCCAAATTCGCTCTAGGATCTCAGTCAATCTTACCGCTAAAACTGGACCACCATTCCTTAAAATCTCAGGAGTAAGCCTGTCAAGGCCTGCTGCTCTATCACGCCTCAGATTCCCTATAGCTTTTTCAAACTCATTGAGAGTCGGAGGACTTACATCGATTTGACATTTAGGTTGACTGGAGATCGTGGGTAACCGAAGTGTGGCAAAAGGTGAGTTCAATTGATACCTAAAGTGTTGTGCCCACTGACCGAATCTCCTGCGTTGAGAATGAATGATACGATCATCATTTTCTGAGATAGTTAAGCTAACAGATGGATTCCTAGTACCAGTTTTCTTTATAAATCGGAACAGTTGCCTACTGTTACCTATCGCCGCTGCGTTTTCCATCGCTCTCACTTTTGTTACCCACCACTGTTCGTGATCATTGCGTAGGCTTCTTATCACCCTACACCTCAACTGACTCCGCGCCTCATCGTACTCAGAACCAGACGTGATGAAATCCCGAGCATCTATCAGTTTGGTAGATACTACTGAAATTCAATGTCTCTGTCTAACCTTGTGGTTTATCTTACAAGCAGATATCACTGTTGTTTGGATATTATTCCAAGCTGCCTCATATTTGGCATCATTTACTGTCTGTTTTTCTAGTTGCTCTTGAAGTGTACTTTCGGTAATTTTATCCTCAAGTAGAACTCTTAGTGGCTTCCTTGCAATTATGTTTATGTCCAATAAACCACAGACAGATACATGTTCGTACTAGAGCACGATTTGAATCTTAACTTATGCTCCAGAACGAGCGACAGTCTTCTATCGATGACTCGTATTGATGTGTTCTAGTTAGGTACAGTATTGAGTTGCTTATCGAGGTTGCCATGTCCAAAGATGTTGTTCTTTAAGTTGGAAGTTGGTATTTGCCATAAATAGGCGGTTATCTGAGCATAGTTGCAGCAAAAGATTGCCATTATCCGTTCGGTCGACCGTCTTAGATGCATTGAGCTTAAATCGGGGCGATTCGTTATTTGGAAAAGATGAGGTCAAATTAACGATTCTATTCGTATCCTGTATGTGTGTTTCGCAAACGCAGCTTATATCGATGGCACCAAAATCTGAAGTCCTAGCTAAGGAAGCCTGTTGTCCTATTTGGTATTAGGTTCGAAAAGTAAAAGCTCCAATATGTAGTTTAAAACGGGGATTCAGGAGACTAGGAATACCTTCACGCGTACTGGAATCGTTTGCATTAGCGGCACGAGGTGATAAAAGAACAAGATAATGTTTGGACATGGAGATAAGAGGGTTAGTAAAAAGTCTACAAGTGTTTTGATTCTGACTAGTTTGGTCTTGTGTGCTGTAACGAATACGAGGGCCGATTCCAATTATCAGTTGCCCACACCGTGGAAGGATACTTTCTGAGGAACCCGAACAAGAAGTTGGATTAGTGTTGGTCTCGAAGACCTGGGAGCGTGATCGCAGAGTCCAACGGACAACTGTTTGAGGCCAGTCATGCACGGACTTTTCACGAGAAGTTTATAAATTGTTAGCTCCGCTCTTGTCTAAAATGCCTTTACGCCGGAGACGGAAATCCGTGAGGTAAGGTGAGGTGTGAAATATTTAGTGTCAACTTTTTCTAACCTCTTCCTTCCTTCTGAGAAGGCAGCATCGATGCAGATGCTGATTTTCCAAGGGAAACACCATACTGCTGTCGCATCCCTCTATCATCAACAGTACGACTTCGCCCTCAGATTTTGAGTAGCTGCTGTCAGTCTCACCGTTCTCCAATCGACCTGCCTCTTATAGTAGAACATACAGAGACATATGTTCCAGCCAATATAGATCGGTTGGGTAATGACAATAGTCAGGCTCGACCACCACGTGAAGGTAGTAGCTAGGGTCGGGATATAAAGAATATGAGATTCAACTCGAATATGTATTAGTTCAAGATACTACAGTTCAGATGATAACAACAAAAGGAAACGAAATAGCGACAATAAATAACATCAGCTGTAATTTGGAACTAGGAAAATTACTACCAATCAATCAAAATCGCGGGATCCAAAGTTTTAATCAGTACAGTGCTTAATACATCGAGGAAGAAGTATAGTTAAGTGCGTCTGCAACATTACCACCTGATAGTCGGTTCAAAAACTTTATACAACACCTTGAGTCAAGCCTGAACATTGCATACTCGGTGCTTCCAGAGTACGCTCATGATGCTTCTAAAACATTTGTCAGTAGATACTGTACAAATTCCATGAGAAATAAAAGAGAAGGCAATATACTAGTGACCTCGACCAAATTTAGATAATTGATTTTTATTGAATAAAACAATAATACTTTTTTAGGTGAGATAAAAAGATGACAAGCACGGAGACGACAAATAAATAAGAAGTTCTTCATCAGGATTCAATATTTAAAATAGAAGAAAACAAAAACTCACTGATTATTAAGGATAGGATTTTGCCAATCTTCAATTTTCTGGACCCATTGCCGCCAATTGTCTATCGCATGGGTTAGTAGTAATTTAGCTCCACATGTTCCATCAACAGGAAACCAACGAACATATCGACTGTGAATTATTTTTAGAAAAAAAAGTGGAAATACACAACTAACCAAAACATCTCCATCACCACAAAACTTAAATACCAGTGTTTACGGCACTAAAATTGAGAATGAGTGCTAACCTTACGATTAGTATAAGCCTTGAACAATTTAACAGTAGAAGAGGCAATAACAATCGAGACCTTACATAGTAATAAGTGGAAGATTGATTTGTTACGATTGGGAGTTTATTATTTTTAGGAAAAATGTGCTACTTTGCAACTTCAGTAAACACAAAATGAAGCAACATATCAAAAGACAAGTGGAAAGAAAAGGTTTTTTGCAAGAAATCAGTATTACCACGAAGTAAGAAATTCAGAAAAATCCATTATACTCACAGCATCAATGGACTTAAATTAAATATAACTCTGATTCACAACTGAATGAAATATCTCAAAGATGGACTACAAAGTTAACTCCTCAATCAACGAAAAACGAAAAATTAATTATGAAAAGATAGCTCTTACTGTTCAATTTACGAATAAAATTGTTTTCTGACATCAAGGCATAGTTTACCCCTGGAAATAACGAAGGAATGATGGTTGGTAAGTGACTGATAGAAGGTGAGAAAAACTAGCCTTCATAAGGGTTTTACTATAATGCATTGCTGTTTCATGTAAACAAATGTTGAATAATTATTAAATAAAAATTGGATTAAATAAAATATGTTGAAGATATTTAAGTTATACAATAAGAAAAATAACAACTGAGCCTGAAGTTTTAAAATCAGTAGCAAATGCTAACTATTATCGACAGTGTACATGAACACTATACTTTTTGTTAACCATTACCAAGTGAATTAGAAAACAAAGTAGAGTCACATACCGAGTATAAACAACATCACCTGTTCGGAATTTTACTACCGGAGAATGCCAAGTGATAGCGAATTCAAGTTCGCTTTGACTAGGATTCGTATTATCAGTGACATTGCATCGGGGTACAGTAGTTGTAGCGCTTACAGCAATGGCTAGTTTTGGTGATTTTTTGGCTTCAGAATCAAACGACACAGTATAACCAGCTAAAATGAGAAAGATATTCAACGGTTGTATAAAAAGGACGAGATATGTTCAAAAAAAGCTATAGACAGGTGAAGAAGTTAATAAAAATATGCCAAGAATATATTGATATAAATTTTCAATAAAATGTAAATGGATATAACACGAAAGGATCAAATATCTGGGGGTACTAAACAAACAGCAAAACTCTTAGTAATAAAAGCAATCAATAACATAATGAGAAAAGAATTAAAATATATATTCACTGAATTTTTAACCGACTTATGAAAACTTATTTGTTCGTTTGAAACATCAAACAATTAACAAGGAAATTACCACAACGAAGTCAATTTAAATTACGCTCTTTTTTAAACCTACAACAACTAACACATATAGTCACATGCTGATTTATGCCGTACAAAACTTAGGATTTTTTAGACCGCATTTTAAGTACGTGAGTTTGAAAATATTCAACTAAAATAACTAATTAGTAACCTTATCAATATCATCGAGTTATGGTAAATTGTATTTTGACAGTACGAGGTTATGGCTAGCAGAAATATTTAGGATAGAGATTTCACCAATTTCAAAAGTTATACGTTCTATTACTAGGTATTGTGGCGAGTATCTATACTACCGATGTAACATAAATACTGAACACATTAATTAGAACTTGAGTAGGAGTACTGGATTAGATGTAAATAAGGAATCAGTTTATAATAAACTGTAAGGGTCCAATTAAAATATGATGTACATATTCTTTTTTATATCAAGTGATATCGGTTCATATGTAACAAAAAAAACGAGTTTTAATACCAAGTGATTAAATTTTTCAACTAAATGCATTAGACAGATATAACTGTGGTAGCTGAAGTCTTGGCTTCAGTTAACACTTCGAGTGTGAAGGAGACTGGTAACAAAGTAATGAGAGATGGGGACAAAAGAGATTCATGATTTGTAAATAGAAAACCTCATTAATCAACTCATAGCTAAAATATATAATGAGAACAGACAGACAGACAGACAGATACAACGCAGAACTTCGTACGTAAGTACATCAGTTCAGGTTGCCATGCCGCATCAGCACAGAGACGTAACTGTCAATTTAAATCCAAGAGTGATAGCAATAGTAATAATGATAACAGGTCTGTACAAGAACGATACACGCCAATACAAAATATGTCCAAGTTACTATAAAGGGGCATTCGGTCGGTTGCAACGTAGAACTTCGTACGTATGTACATAAGTTCATGTTGCCATACCACAGCACAGAGACGTATATGTCAAATCAAATCCCATAGTGATAAAGATAGTAGAGGGGCATTGCGCAAATAAAAACTGGAATACGTTAGTAAGTGCCAAAATTGCAGTTAGCTTATATCTTAAGACATGTTACGCAAAAAGAATGGACGATTAAAAATAAAATTAACAGTTATTTACAGTTACTTTCGTACCTGCGTGGATATCGGAAGGTATCTGACCACATTGAAGGTTATTCCAGAATTGCGAAGCAGACGGCGCTTTAGTATAAGACAGATAAGTTACCAGATCTGAGTCACCGTTTCCATTAACTTTAGCATTATGTTTGGAATCATGTGTCGTACTGTACAATACGTCTTTATGCAAACAAAAACCTGGACACCGACTCACCTCAACCTTATGATAAATGAAAACAAAGAATGAAAGTTACAGAAAAACAATGGAAAACTGTCTACAAACAGACGATGTATCCAACAAAGTGACCAATTAAATAGTTATCAACAAGAAAAATTCAAACATTATCTTGATGTCATTCACAAAAGCACTTTGGCTCATACATTTGGCAGTCATGTTATTAATTATAGCGTAGTACAGAAAGACATAGACACATATAACACCAAACGCAGTAAGGGAAGAAACAGTAGTATTGACCACAGAGTAAAAATAAGTGCAAAAAATATTTTTTGATTGGAACGAATGGGATGCAAAAATAGAAGTATGGGAACTAAAATCTACCTGAATGAGACGTATTGTTTCATGGTAAATAACGTACTAATGTCCTTATAGTGAGACTGCTCAACAAAATTAACTTCACCTCTATGGCTCTACCTAGTATCTTAGTCAGTATACGGATGACAATGCATTATTATAGATAAAGACCTCTATATTCATCTGATTAACTTCGTACGCACGTACATTAGTCTCAGCGCCATACTACATCAGAACAGAGACGCAATTGTCAATTCGAATCCTATAGTAGTAGACGTTGTAGAAGTATTAACAGTGATCGAAGAGATTGCAGTTCGAAGATATTATTTACGAAGTATAATTCAGTGAAATAACACTCAAAACAGAAAGATAAGGGTGTAAAGGAACTCAGAATATAAGGATTTGAGATAACAAAAAGAATGGATGCACCTGTGCCAACGCAAACGATTTTGAGCCACATCATTCAAAGTCTCCAACCATCGATTACTATCATATCGCGGACGTCAATCAGGTAGACTACATCTATCAACAAGACTCAGTCCACTTGTCAGTGACTTCATGGATTTCTGCCATGTTTTGGTTTGACCGCCCTTAACTTTCATTCAACCTACTCATATACCGCGAAACATCGCCCTTCGGGAGAGAGTTGGCGGTTGAGGCTTCGTAACACCAGCCAACTGAACCGAAGAAGTTTCAAAACCTCATCTACTGGTCTGCCATCTCAACCTAACAACTTTTTCCTAACAACAGTATTGCTTACTCGATTGTTACACGAGCAATGCTTCGAAGACACCGGTGATCGAAAACCAGTAACCTACGACTATCTTCTACTCTCACTGTCCATGTCTCACACCCAGAGAGTACGACAGAGCGAACAGCTGCGCAGCACACTCGTCCTTTGGTTATCTCGCCTGCGTCATAAGTGACGAAGGTAGGAAAAAGCCAATCGAGCATTCTGTATATGTGCTGAGATTTCGTCAGTCACCAGGCCAGTACCGATGAGACTCCCCAGATAAGTGAAGTGGTTCACACGCTCAACTGCTTCACTCTCTATCACTAGTTCAGGTGCCGATCCAACCCAATCCCGAAGCAACATCTTTTATTTGGAGAGGGAGAATCACATCCCGAACATGACTGTATTGTTGTTTACGGTGATCAGGAGACTGCATTTTGTCAGCGTCTGCATCAAGTAACACTATGTCATCAGCATATTCTAAGTCAACCAGCGAATTTGCTGGTACAATTCCAACTCCTGAAAAGTCAGATGATGAAAGTGTCGTATCTAAAAGCATACCAATGATAAAGTTCAACAAGAATGGAGAAAGTGGACAGCCCTGATGAACACCAATACAAGTAGGAATCGATTCTGATGACAAGTCGCCATAAACTCTCACTCGACCAGTGGTGTTCGAGTGGACAGCTTGTGTAAGGTTGATGTACTTCTCTGGTACACCTCTCAATGATAGACACTGCCATAAAACCTCACGATCGACAGAGTCAAAGGTCGCTTGAAGGTCCAGGAAGACAACTATTGTCAGACCCTGTATGTGTGTCTGACTTCCAGGACCTGTCGAAGTGTGAATGTGGTCTAGACAGCTATGCCCTGTTCTGAAACTAGCCAGATTCTCTCCAGACTACTGTTCATTAGCTCCAGTCAGCCATCGAAGTATTATTGAGGCTAACATTTCAGACACTTTATTGGTTAGACTGATTCCTATGTGATTGGCACACTGAGACCATCAGTGATTGAGACCAGTTAGATGTGATTATGTCCAGTTCCCAGAATCCAGATGAGATATCAGTCAACCTTACTGCTAAAACTGGACCACAATTCTGAAAAGTCTCAGGGGTAAGCCTGTCAGAACCTGCTGCTACATCACGCCTCAGATTTTCCATAGCTTTTTCAAACTCATCAAGAGTCGGAGGACTTACATTGATTCGCCATTTAGGTTAACTGGAGATCGTGGGCAACAGAATTGTGGCCGAAGGCTAGTTGAACTACTCCCTTAAGTGTTCTGCCAATCTCCTGGATTGAGAATTAGTAATAGTCCTATCTTTACCGAGATATTTTCGCTAACAGTCGAATTCTTTTCCAGTTGAACCTAATATTTTGCCGTATTGTCTTTGTAGTTTGATAGTCTTGTTGCTTGTCTTATGTGAAAACCGCATTCGTAAAACATACACACAGTCATAGAAATGAATCTTATTAATATATAACCTAGAATTTCATTTGCACTCTTTCTTATATGACTCCATCAGTTTTTTGAATGGGAACGATAGAGTACTGAATAAAATTTATAAAAGTTCTTTTTCGCATTGATAAGTGCATATATATAAATTCGAAACAAAGACTGCACATAAAAACTATGGAAACTTGAAAACTCAGTAAGAGACTCGCTTTGTTTCCAGATTCAGCTAATGAATATTTTTAGGAGTTAAGTAAAATTATTATTATTATTATTTGTCGAACAAAGACTAAACTTTTTACAAAACAATCAAGATCCGGAGGAAAACTGAGTGCCAAACGCAACTTAGCAGAAATCAGCACAGAATTTAAACCACAAGAGTTGAAAAAAGTGATGAACAACTCACTTTATCTGTTGATTTAGCAGCGATACCAAAACAACAGGGTAGTTCATCTGCAACGATCCTTTCTAAAAGACATCCAAGTACATTACTGTCAGTAGAAAAAGCAGTGGATCGTTGAGAGTAGATTGAAAAAGAATTTTCCGCATGAGGATTTGTAGTATTTTTATTGATATTATTCTCGTTTTCAGACATAGGTTTGGAAAAGTCGCTTGATTTACTTCGTTTGGGTGGATCGGGACCACGCCATGAAAATGTGATAGTAACTTTTAAATCTTCATTATTCCAACTTATAACTTTCCAATGAAATACAGCAACTGGAAGACATGTTACTTGATAGTCATGAGGTATAACGGGAGATATCTATACAAACAAATTATTAAGAAAGAACTGATATTTACATTGTTTTGTTTTGAAAAACGAACATATAGTAGGATATCTCATACGAATATTTATTAACCAGTTAAGATTTCTACGTGTTCAGGAGTACCAATTAGGTGTATAACGGGTTATGAATAGCAATAACTAAAACACTTAGGGTTTCTGCACAAAATTAGAGAGAAGAAAAACAGTTCAGACACAGAAAGTGAACAAATTTGTTACCCATTAATTAAAAATTGTTACTGACCATAAAGTTTTTATATTGTTTACCCAAGAATTCAGAGAAAGTAGAACAGTTCTGCTACTTATTTGACAATCCAGTCAAAAGATGTAAGCTCAATAATAATAAAATTATCTACATTTACTCACTTTAAGATTGCAGATAGCTTGGCAATCGGTGACTGAGACTGGTCAGATGGAATTATTGTCAGTCACCAAATTGTAGCTGAGATATCAGTCAATCTTGCTACTAAAACTGGACCACCATTCTCAAAAATCTCAGGGGTAAGCCTGTCAACGACGAAGAAGAGGAAGTGGCAAATTTCCTTATTTTTATGAGTCTTTCCTGTCCCGTCTAGTCAGACAGTGCATAAGCAACTATCTACTGGAATCCAGTTGTACATACGTACGTAGTTCTACGTTGCAACTGACTGACTGGGATCCAGTCTGAGAGAACTAATTCTGCCTTATGACTTAATACTATACCTACAACAGCGAGATCACGGGAAGCAGAGTGGGGCTTCCGGATACACAAAACGTAAATCGGGAAGGTTCGTTATTTGGAAAATGTGAAGTTAAATTAATGATGCTATTCGTATCCTGTATGCGCGTTTCGGAGACACAGTGAGAGATTTATAAGTCCTCGCTAAGGAAGCCTGTTGCCCTATTTGACAAAATGTCCGTACATTGAAAACTCCAACATGTAATTTAGGACGGCGTTTCAGGAGACCAGAAATAACTTTTCGTGAACTCGTATCGTTTGCATTAGCGGTGCAGTATGATAAAGGAATGTGAGAAGAGTTAGTTTTCGAGATAAGTGAGATGTTAAGGGGTGTAGGAAAGATTTGACTGTGACCAATGTGGTCTCATGTGTTGTTATGGGTACGAGGACGGATCTTACCTCCCGGCTGTTCACACCGCGAACGGGTGTCTCTTGAAGAAAATGAGAAGAAAGGTATATTAGTGTCGGTCTTAACGACCTGGGAGCGTGATTGTAGAGCCTGAGGGACAACTGCTTGAGGCCGGTCAAGCCCGGACTTTTCACGAGAAGTTTATAAAGTGTTAGCTCCGCTCTTGTCTAGAATGCCTTTACGCCGGAGACGGAAATCCGTGAGGTAAAGTGAGGTATGAACTCAAAATTTCAGTCATTAGCAATTTTTTCGCATCCCATGCAATTAATAATATGTAATCTTGAAGGTAATCAATTCAACCCAAGTAACTCCCTTATTAAAACTGTATTCTATAACACTTTTGTTGTCACTAGTATATGACAATACATTTATTTGTAAATGTGACATGTTGTTGAAAGTGAATCTCTTTGTTGTTACTAAGTAATATTATTTTACGTTAAAAATAGGCCATCATGAAAAGAGTTTGTATTCATTCTAAGTCATTTATTTGTGAAGCCGAATGTCAATTTTTTTAACTACACTATAAACGAGATCTCCCGTACGAAAAGGTAACCAAATTGCAAATTTTCTTTTAAATTCACTTATACTTATTGCACTTGTGAAAATATATAAACTCTAAATCAGTAAAATGAGACACTGAATTAGTAATATATCATTTTAAGATATTTTATTCATTTACCGAAGATATCAAAGCTAAAATGTAATTTTTCACTGAATTTTTCATACCTGTTGGCAAACTAACACAAGCTGAAGTTCAGGTATTTCATAAACTGTCCACGATCTAGGATACAGACCAATATAATGACCATTTTTTGGATTAAAACCCCATCTCCACTTTTTTAATCTTTTGGCAGTTGATGATGGTTTTGTTTGAGGTGATAGAACTTGATGATAAACAGTAACGTCATTTTTTCGGACTGTTAAGATGAACTGAATATGAATGAAAGAAATTGAAAATAACGAAGATACAATAAAAATACTAATAAAACTTTAAAAGCCAATCGACAGTAGTAAAAGATGTAGAAAAATCCAATCAAATGTATAACTTACATAGTACGAGAAAGGGTAACAAATTTATCTGATGTAAAATTATTTAAAAGACTAATTTGAGGATTATTTTCATCTCTAGTTGAGACTAGTTTGAGAACCAATAAAAATCAGGGATCATCGAACAGCTATTTAGTCCCAATCTGAGATGCTTTAGTACGTATACTCAAGCCACGACTCGGGTTGGAACCAATGACCTTCAGAATTCATGGCAGTTACAAATAGATTCGATCACTAGGAAAGAAACAAGTCGATAATGAGAAAGCAACTTTCCAATGATATTGAATGAGTAGTAATCTAGATCAAAAATTGACTAACGTCGAAGTGATAAAACCATTGCATTTAGACTTCGTGGTCTGAAAATATTCTGTCTGTTGTAATTTCAATGTTCGCAGTTTAATCCCGCATTTGTTGGTGTGCACTTTGTATTCATACTTTGTACATAAGCATCTTATTTTACCGTACGAAAGTTCTGTTAATCTTGTCAATAATCTAGTCTTTGATTTCCAATCATTCAGCGGCCCAAGTCACTAATACAGTCCCCTGAGTAGCCATAAATCAACCACATTATGTGGTTGCGTTAATCAATCAACCACAATCCACCTCATCGACATAGATAGTTAAAAATTTTTGTCTGATCACACCACAGAAAGCATCCTCCATAGCATTTATACACTCACCCCACTATTTATTCTTTTATTGATCTTGTTTTTTATGAGCTAATGAGTAATGTAGTAATATGAACCAAAAAATATTACGTTTACTTTTTACAATCAAAAAAATAAATACCATGATAATCACTAGTGTAACTGTTAGGATATTGATCCAAAATCCTAAGAGAATTACTGGTCGATTCCTATTGGTTAATTCCTACTGGTCAATTTTATGGTCGTCCTAGATAGCAATGTCACTTTAAATGTTGCTTCCTATTGGTCGTCTTAACTGTCAATGTCACAGACTTCGATGCTGTTTCCTCTTTGATCAAAATGTATAAATACGCATTATCTGTTACGTTTTATGAAAAGGACCAGGACCAGGACCCGGTCCCGGATCCGTAGTCCGGGATCCTGACTCTCTTCTGGATTCGGACCTCGTACTTTCTGAATGCTTGTAGAATACAGGTTCTGCTTCATATCAAGTCTTGTCTTATTTTTACTCAATATAGGGGTTGGGATAATCGGATTTGAGTAGCATGTCGTGTCACCGGATCCTCGATCCTCGCTCTCGTTTTCCGACTAGGTAAACTCGTAATAGTTCAAGCACATCAAGTTGACGTGTTTACGTGCAGGCGTAACAATAAGAAAACGGGATTCTGGAAATCCATTCATCCCAGCAAGAAATAATAACATAAACATACTCCTAGCAACCAAGTCCTTAAATGCAAAAATATATAACTATCATAACAACGAAGGATCTTTCGATAACTAGGTAAACGATCTCTACGATCATTGGTTACTAATACATCCGTCTGACAAGGGCTTATGCTTTAAATTAGCAGGCTGAATCGGCGGGAGGCATGCGATTTTGAATTATTTATATAAACCATGCTCTGGCTTACTTCAAAGTGAATTATATCCACCATTAGAGAATAACGGCAGAAGACAGAAGTTATTTTTGAAATATTATTGAATTACTAGGAGTGAAGTTGAGCAACAACGCATAGTTTTACTCCTTTTCTGACCCACAGCTCCCATATGTTGAAGTTCGAATTACAAGACAATAGGACTACGTATGACGACACTTATGACAAATAACTGAATACAGTGAAAATTCCTATTTTGCCATTCAGCAGAAAGAACCAGTAGAGAGACAATTCTCTTAGCTCGAGAAGAAATTACTGAATAACCTGTAGTGATCTTGTTAATGAAAATCCCCAAAGCTAAAACTGCTAGTGGAAGCCAGTAAAGAAATTGAGTGAGTCACTATTCAATAAATGATAAATATATGTTACAGAGAGTAGGAAGTAAAAATGTTCGGTTATAACTTACTTGATCGACAGGTTGTACGTCGTAACAGTACATACCTGGTATTAGGCTTGAACGACAAAACTCCCCACGATATCCGCGTCCGATAGAACCACTACCAATACCTCCTATCGGTACGCCATATATGGGTCTCCATGGCACGTGAGAAATGACGTCGATAAAAGGTAATCTGTGCTGGATAAAACGTTTCTTTATGTAAAACTGGAAAGCGTATCTGAAATTGAATTAGAGTTTTAAGTTTCAAACCATGTATTTACTGGATATTAATAAGTCATAGCTTTCGGCTAATGGTTATATGAGGTCTAATTACTAAAAAATCAATAAATATCAAATGCAAGTACGTAGCATTAGTACTTGCTAATTATTTAGCAGTGTAACTAGTTTTTACAAGGTTGTAGTTCATAGACAACAAATCATAGTGAGATTGGATTTCTCCTAAATTAACCAACTAGGATCTCGAAAAACATATGGGTTCAAAGTAAGGATGGAAACAAAATATGTTTGAGTCGGAACTATGGCAACAATTACGATTTAACCATAAGAAATGAACAAACCTTTGTCCTTAAGTCATGCAAAAATTCTAAAATAGCCATCACAGCCTATGAACCAAAAGTAATACGACTATTTAGTGGCAAGTATGAATATAACCCATAGTTCCAAGTTGCTTCAGCTTAATAAACGTCAGTGAAATAGATGGTATTAACAAAGCGATACGTGGCTTGGAATAGATGCTCATCAAGATTCTAGAACAAAGGACTGTTTAGCTCGAAGGGTGACTCGAAATACCTTATGCATTAGTTATTTGGTAGCCACGCACACAAACGATTTCCTACACCATAATACCTAGCTTAGGTTAAACATTTTGCCAAAATCGTCAATTTTTATAAAATAACATACTTCTACCTGTTGAATTTCGTGTAGCGCCCTTAGTGGTTAGCCTATAAGTGTGTTTTCATAACTGAATTCGCCGCACACATAGTCGACTTGTCGATGAGTTGTTGTCAGCAACTGGGTAAGAATGGGTTAAGAGATAAGAAATTAATTGTGCATTGAACAGACACTACAGTGTAACTGATCAGTGGCTTTGTATTCGATGTGAAATAAATTATGTAAAAGATAACGACACAGTTAACTGACAAGATACCTAGATATCTTGATGTTTTGCTTCTCGATTGAAACCAGAGAGCATTCATTAATAGAGGAATCTAAGCTTCTCACTTATTGGTTTCATATTAAATGAATGAGCCACGGTTCCTGAAGTTATTTCAAATGGTCACGTATTCAACCACAGTTGACAGCCACGATTCAACAAAGATAAGTTTACACTTCTCTAATCTAATAATCACAGCAAGCTTTCATAGCTTTTTGATCGATTCAAAACGGGTATGTAACCGATCTACCAACTACATGTTTGAGAGCACAGGTATCAATGAACATCCCAAACCGGATTTGGAGTTTAATATGAACCTACTACTTGTCGGCTGGAAACGAAGTGCTTTAATCATTAAGCTACGGTTGCAACAGAATCAAACTTATAAATGTACAGTCTAGTGACGAAGTTATTGTCAGCAATAGTCCGCTCAAATATTTAATGAGGCGGGTTTTAAACTACGAGGATTGAACCAGTTATAATCAAAAATGATAATTTACCAACTGCATTATCATTAGGATTCGTAGAGATACGATTTTATTACACACGTTATGGTATACAGTATGAGGCTTTTAGATTTATTTCACTAGATTCGACTTCTTGGATAATATTTTCGGACCCTAATCTCTCCAATTACTGCTAATACTTTTACCACATGAACCATTATGGGATTTAAGGTGACAACTGCGTTTCTGTGCTAATGTGATGTGGCAACCTGAACTGATGTACATACGTATGAAGTTGTACGTCTTAAATGATTGACTAATACGGTATGAGTATTTTGACAATTGAAGAACATCTGTAACTCAAAATAGCTGTCAAACGACGCCGAAGTCACAATTTTCAATACGAACATCTAGACAGTTTAATTGTACGGTGCGGGAACCTGGAGACTTACAGAAGCCGTCATCCACATGGTACAGGTGTTAATTAACGGTTGCCTACACAAGATACTGAGGACCCGTTGACCAAACACCATCAGTAACAACCTGCTATAGGTGACTAACTGGAGTCCAGCTGGGGAAGAAATTAAGAAAAAGTGCTGGAAATCTGTGGGACACACATTGCATCCAACTGCATCATGGGGCAAGCCCTGACTTGGAATCCTCAGGACCAAAGGGAAAGAAGTAGATCAAGGAATACACAGCACAGAGGATCGGGAACACACACGAGAAGAATGAATGGCAATCGATAGAACTGGGAAGGAAAGCCCAGGACAGAATCGGCTGGAGATTTCTGGTCGATGGTCTATACTCCATTAGGAGAAACAGATGCAAGTAATAAGGTGTAAACCCGGTAGTGCTAATACTTGTTTCAACTGCTAATAAAAAGCTTCCCATTCCACTTATAAATAGTCTACAGAAAATAGTATTCACTGTTCAAAAACTGTGATGTGCTTGTAAACTAACCGAAAGGACATCCCCACAATATCCTTCATTTGCGAAGCCCGTGGCACAGTAAAGGGACGACATTTTATTTCGTATTTACGATCAAAGCGAGCTTCCCATCCGTAGGCAGGTACAACGCCAAGCCTTTTAATTACCTCCAAAACAGAAGTGTGTTGTTCATCCATTAATTCCAAGAACGTATTGAATTACGTCCCAACTAAGTATCATCAGTGGACAAATTGACCAGCGTGAAGCAATATTTCCTAGGCCAGATTCGAGTTGGGAAGTGTTGTAATCACAGTTATGAAACTGAAATAAATCAAGGCAGTAGTTACACAAACATTGAAATGTGGAATGCAACTTTTCAGTCAATAACTAGGCTGGCTAATAAGCGAAAACGGGTCATGTAGGATTTAAATTGAGGAAAGAAATAAATCAATATATGAGTCATCTTACGTTTAGATTATGATCAAAGTAATAACCTTAGGTGTAATAAAATATGAGTTCAATAACGTTGGCCTGCGAACTACATAAGTTACTTTTCACTCGAAAAGGAAGGAAAAGGAACAGTAAGTACTATTGGGAATATTAAGGGGTAAACATTCTATGTATTTATAGGATATTTAAATATTTATAATCAATAATCTTAATAACCCAACGAGAATTTTCTTCGTTATGACAAATCCCATGATTGTTTTGAGCTTAGGATAAAAATATAGATTTATCGGTCGTTAAACACATTCCAGTGACCTTGCAAGCCATTGATGTCACAAATGAATTGAACAAATTTCGTGCACCCAACAAATGAATAGCGTCTACCAATGATTCTCGAAAAATGTTGGAAGATAACGTACGCAACAGTATTTAAAACGTGAATGTTCAAATGATCAAAAACCCAAAGCAACTATACTTAGTGTCTACTATGCCAAAACATATCAAAAACCTATGCATAGTTAATGAAAAGGAGCACTCAAAATTCTCACAAGATATTTGGAAAAACGAATACATTCGCCCGTTATCTGGTTGGTTATTCAAGATGAGGAGAGACACCAAGGTTACACAAAGGCCACCAAAGTGAATGAGTCCAATATCCAATATCTTATCCACGAGTTAGTATAAACCAACTTATTTCTTTGCCCTCGATTTTTGTTCTTTCTTAGCGTTTCCAGATAATTGGTTGTGTCCAATGGATGGAGGTCTGGCCAGTGGACTGCAATAATTCTAGTCGGTTGGCAGTTCTTTGTGAGTCTGTCTGTCCCGTGATCTGAATGAATACGTTTGTTTCAAGAAAACAAAGTTTATGGGTACCAGCAGCTATCACGTTATCAGGCCGAAGATCAGTTAGTAGTAATGTGGATCATAATCGGGAGAAAATTCTAATGCTAATAAGATTTCAAAACTAAGCAAATAAATGGGTAATTTAGTTTATTGATTAGCAGTGAAGATTGAGTGAGAAGACTGATATTTAAGCTAGAGAGAGGAAACAGAGATAATAAGCGAGAAAGCATAAGTTAGTCATCTGAGGCGATGACAATATTAACAAAGGTTTGTAACCCTCGTTCAGGAGGAATCATTAAATATCTAAGCAAATTTTTGAATTTCGGTCTGTAAATCAGCACAATATACTAAAAGCTATGTGGAATAATTGAAACAGACGTATAATATGAGAGTTACTATGAAAGATTGCCACAGAAATGACCGCACTAAACTAATCGTCGAACCATCTCTAAGATGCTGAATATGGAAGCTCTTACTGTCAAGACGAGGCATCTTTGTGAAAAGTAGAGAGTTTCTGGTAGAATAAAAAGTGTATGTACATGTGTATAATTCTGAAGTGTGGAAAATTCATGGAACATCAACAGATTTCAGTTGTGGTCGCTGATGAAATGCAATATTTAGATTGTCGCTGCTAGTCAACCTTGTCCGGGTGTGCACAGAATGGAGATAACTATCTTAAGCTGATTGTTCATAAGCTGATTGCCTCATCAACAAAAACAGTTGCACTGATGATTTTTAAAAATTAAAGGGAACCTCGTAGTCCCAGGATCACTAAAGCTTCCTTCAAAACGACGAAACAGAAGACTATATGCTATGTGCCAACCAACGCTGAGTACAACAAAGACGAAATCGACAGGAGTCTTCAGTCGATAGTTGAGCGGTGTCCAACAAAGGACTTGACCATTCTTACAAGAGTCTTAAATGCTAAGTTTGGAATGGACAACATTGTATACGAAGACATCATGGGAAGACATGAACTGTGAGAACGCAACTAAAGCAGTCATAGATTCATAAATCGATGTGCCTTTAACAAAGTGTTTATTAGCATTATTATTATATTCCCACACAAAAGTTTTCGTAAAGATAAATGGGCTTCCCGGAGACAAAACAAAACAGATCATATTTGTATCAACGAAACGTTTAAAAGGACCATGGAGGAAGTCAGAACAAAGAGAGATGCTAACAGTTTTAAATCACCACTTGCTGTTAGCCATGATGACATTGAGAGCTATACAATACTTGACAACCGGGATACTAGCAAACCTGGGGAATCCAAGATAGCGCTCATCAATAAGATCTACGACTAAGATGGCTTAATCAATGAAAATGTCCACTAATGAATTTCTGAGCTACAGAGTTAAAAATACAACAATATTTTAAAAATTTCCACAACATTAAGTCACTGTGCCCTCATTATTACACTCTGTGGATACAGATAGTTTTTAACAGTTCAGTTCTTTTGAATATACACAATCCACACAATCATTTGCCTATTCGTGATCTTAATAGCAACTTGTCTCCCTTAACCTATGCAAACACGTATAAAGCTAGTGTTTAAAAAAAGTATAGTGATCGCACTTTCATGAAGTGAGTGCAATAAGTTTAATGGAAATATTTATTACTAAAACCAATTGTACCAGTGATTGTTTGACTGTACTATTTGCTTAACTGAACTGTACTGACCCACTTCCCACTCATGTGGCTTTCACCTCAAGTACGGCAGTTTCGCCTGTATGTTTTGGTATGATCTTGGTATAATTTCGCTACCACAAGATCGCCAACAAATATATATTCATTCCTGCCTCCAACCTTTTTCTTGATTTTCGGTTTTATGGAGGAATTTCACTAAACCCATCACAACCGAACAAGAAAGATCTGAGCAATAATAGCTTTAATTTATCCAAAACAAATTATCTACTGAGTCATGACTCAGCCTTAGACAAGAATATTGTATGTTCTTCCACCCGCCCTTTTCTTTTATTTCATCGTTGTCAGCACCTCATCCTATTCCTCGAATATCAGCCTTGATAAGTGTTGAAGAATTGATTGCTCCACTAATGAGTCTGTCAAATTATTATCCGGCGAATCTCAACAAGAAAATCTTTTCACATCCACCTCATCTTTTCTCGTTATATTCAAGCCTATATCTAGCTTTCATTGGTACATTTCAGAGGCCGAAACATCATATACAATGGATACATATAAAATATTAGGGCTCTAAAAAAAGGCAATATATCTTGTGAAATAATAATCTAAATGAACAGTCCTTCACAGAAAATGTGTTATTATATGTAGAGTTCGTCACTTAGTATGCTTGAGGCTATTACGAGTTTACCTTAGTCGATAAACGCGAACGAGACAATTACCAGCGTCTAGATAGGCTACCTTGAATCCGAGGCTGAAGTTGAAAGGCTTTGTAAGCGTAGAAAGTATATTCTACAAACACCAAGCAATCACAATACAATCAAGCATACAACTCTGGTTTATTTATCCAACATAGAAACTTCCTTGAGACAGTTAAGAAAATAGCACACTAAAATACACAGCAGCCAATCACAGCCATGGATTTTCCTGGTGGGAATTGAAATCTCAAGGTCAAGTGGTCAACCCATGCTGGCAAACATGAAAACCAAAATAAGGCATTATCAAGCGAATTTTGGGGATCTAACATCCTCAACACTCCTCCCCTTTTTAATAGCGTGTTCTCCTGGGGTCGACTTGCATCTTGACTATTGTTCGCCGCTGTCTGAGAGGATACCTTCGGGAACGAAGAACAGCTTGCTGCTGAGTTTCTTCTCGTGGCGGGGGTCTCGGTAGGTTGAAGGTATCAAGCAAGATGTCAAGGGGAAGGCTTTCTGGTCTTGATGGGCGATCTGGGGCTAGCCGTCTGCGTATCTGGTTTCGATGACTTGACCATTTGTTACCTTCTACCTCTACTTCGTACATAACTCGACCAACTCTTTTGACCACTCTCGCTTCTGCCCAAGGACCATGGTTCGTTCTGTAGTCGCGGGCAAACGCAGGGCATCCCACTTCGTAAGCGGATTGTGTTTTCTGCTTTGCCTTTACTGATGAGGGTGCATTAGTCGGATGCATCAGGCTGTGGATCGTTTTCAACCTTCTTCCCATCAGGATTTCTGCTGGGGGCTTTTGCTCCGGTAACAATTCATTTGGTGTTGTCCGATAGACGTACAAGAAATTTTGCATAGCGTCGGCTGGCGTCCCCTCCCCTTTTGACTTAAGCAATGATCTTTTAAACGTATCCACAAACCTTTCGATGGCGAGCGTAAGTGTCTTACGGCTAACCGTTGACAGAAAGTCTGGGGTTGGGAAGAGGTGAATTGAGAGCCATTGTCGGATACGATCACATCTGGTATGCTATTTCGTGAGAAAATTTCAGTTAGGAGCTGTATGGTCTTAGTTGTAGTGGGCGACATAACAGGGCTGATTTCCGGCCATTTAGAGAACGCGTCGACAACAGTTAAATACATAGTTCCACTAATTGGACCAGCGAAGTCGACATGTATCCTGCACCAAGGGTGCTCAGGTTTTGGACATGAAACCGGCAGAATTTCGGCACTCGTCTTTGCCGCCTGCTGACACCGCATGCATTTTTCAACCAACGCTGTGACATGTTGATCCATGTGAGGCCAGTATGCATAACTCCTAGCTATGAACTTCATTCGTTTAATCCCAGGATGACCAAGATGGACATGATACGGAAGCTATTAGTCATCTGCGTGCCAGACATGGGAATTCTTCAAATGCGTTTGCACCTACCTCACGCCCAGAACTTAAGAGAGTCGTTAATTGTATTAGAAAGGCATATACTCTTGAAGACCGAGCATGTGACCCTGATGGTTTAAAACCCCTTGATGTGTATCCTAGTGAGAAGTCGGTATGTGTAGCAGATAAGGTGGGTTTTTTGAGGATGGAAAAGAAAGAAAAAAGCAAAAAGGGTAGGCATCAAGACGGATCCGAGGTGTGTGATGGTAGAAGCTTCCTAACTGCTCGGAATGCAAGGAACGGTAATTTGGATTCGAGCAAACAGAGGTTAATGAGTACAGTGAATATGAATAAGGACAAAACAGGTTTGGCTGTATGGAATAAAGCTTATGTTCGGAACCCTTCACGTAGGATAAATTATTTGACACGACCTAGAATTGATCCTAGGACAACAAGCGTAAATAGTGACACAGCACTTCATGTTGCTGAGTAATCAGGATGTCTGCGGGCTACTGTATCTAGTTCTACGGAGCATCATGATATTGAAGTGGAAGATAATAGCAGCTTAGCGCGTCCTGCTGATATTTGTTTGCAGTCAACGGATGGACGGTCGTATACTAGTCCAAGTAATCATAGCAACATTGATAGTGTTAGTGTAAGTGGCAGCAGTAGTAGCTTAGCTTTAAAGCCTGCATGCCAACTATCTCGCAACTCGTCATTAACTGTGAATAGTCGGAACATCATTGTGGACAACAATAACGTCAAAGTGAAGGTGAAATCCCATGTATCTATTAATAGCGTAGTTGATGTGAATAATAAACGTGATGGTAACGAGAATGGAATCACTATAGGTAGTGCAGTTTCTTCGGTTGCTCTGGCTAATGTAGCTTCTTCGAGTACTTCAGTTCAAGACGAAATTGGATGTATGAGTGTGGAGAATGTAGGCGTCGGTGGCAATAGCGTCGGCCACATTGGTGGCACTACTGAGAAGGCTAACATCCAGTGCCCTAGGTGCAATGAGGAGTCATCTAGGCTTAATGGACATGCTATTGTGTTGAATATGCAGCGTGAGGAA